AAACCTAAATGACTGATTAAATTTCGTCCAATCAGACGAGCGTATTTTTGCCAGCCACCAGAAAACTCGAGGGAAGCCGTCAGGAAGAAAGACCCGAGCCACCTGCACCAGCCAAGCCCGAGGGGGAGCACAAGATCAGAGACACGATGGCCGACGTCGCAGAGAAGCAGGAGCTGCCGCCCGCGGGCGACGCCGCCGTGGCCCCGCCCGCCGTGCCCGAGGATGTGGCCGCCATGTTCGACCTGAAGAAGAAGAAGAAGAAGTCCAAGAAGGTCAAGAAGGAGGTGCGGACAGAGCTGTCTTATTTATCGTAGCTCCTCGCATTTTATTTATTTATTATTATTTCTCATTAAATATTCTAACGTAAAAACTTCAACAACTACCACCTTGACAATCCGCAGAAGAAGGAGAAGACGGAGGACGCCGAGGCCGCCGCCGATGCCGCGCCCGACGCCAACTCGGTGCTGGTGCAGGACCCCGCCACGTACTCGTACAAGGACGAGCTGCTGGCGCGCATCATGGCCAAGCTGCACGAGAACAACCCGGAGCTGACGGACCGCAAGCGCCACACGATGAAGCCGCCGCAGCTCATGCGCGTGGGCACCAAGAAGACGCTGTGGGTGAACTTCCAGGAGATCTGCCAGATGATGCACCGCAGCCCCGAGCACGTGCTGCAGTTCACGCTGGCCGAGCTGGGTACGGAGGGATCCATCGACGGCAACCAGCGCCTGGTCATCCGCGGTCGCTACGTGCCCAAGTACATTGAGTCGCTGCTGCGCAAGTACATCACGGAGTACGTCTCGTGCCAGATGTGCCGCTCGCCCAACACGACGCTCACGCGCGACTCGGTGAGCCGCCTGTACTTCGTGCACTGCCAGGACTGCGGTTCCTCGCGGTCCGTGGCTGCCATCCGCTCGGGTTTCCACGCCGCTACTCGTGCCGACAGAAGGGCCGCGCGCAAGTAAGGCGGTCGGTTGGTCGTATGCAGTTGCTGGTGCAGTTGCAGTCGCTTAGGACGCTTTGGCAGGTGAAGATCGGGCTTTGAGCACACGGTGGAGCTGGAGGGGAAAGGTTAGAGCAACAATTGGACACTCCGCAGCTATGGCGCTAGAACCCTCTGTTGGAAGCCTAGAGCTGCTCTCGTTGGCTTTGGAACTGTGAGATACGTACGTGAGCCTTTGAGGAAGCGAAGCACGAGAGATGAACACGGAGAAGAAAGAGGAATCTATTATAGCTGTTCGGTGTCGCTAGGCTACTGTCGCCAGAGTCTTGCTGTGTGTGTTTTCATTGACCCAGGTGCTCGCGAGCAGACCTAACTTAGTGGTGACGGTGCTTGCTCTTCTTCGCCTTGTGCCCATGGCCAGAGTCCGCAGCAGGACGCTTGGCACCAGCGCGCGAGATTATGATATGACGCTCCAGACCTTCGCCAATGCTCTCGTGCGCAAGACCGAGACGCTCGGCACAGTCGTGTGCCAGCAGTCTCTCGAAGCCATTGAGGTTGGCGTCCAGGTGCAGCTCGCTGCCTTCGCCCGACTCGTTGAAAGCCTCGATCTTCTTCACCAAAGTGTGCGAGCTGCCCTCGGAGATACCACCCGCCTTGTTGTTGCGTACCGGAGCGCGACGAGGAGCAGGCGTGGGCTTGGGAGCAGGCTTGGTCGGAGGAGCTTCGTCCTCGGAGGAATCTGACGAGTCTGAGCTTGACGATTCTGACGACGATGAAGACGATGAAGCTGCTTTCTTTGCCACCGGCTTGGGGGCAGGTGTGGACCTTGCCTTCGCTGCTGGCTTGGCGGGTGCTTCATCCTCAGAGTCATCTGAAGACTCGGAAGACGCTGCCACTGGAGCAGGCTTGACCGCAGGCTTGGGCGTCGGCTTGGCAACTGGCTTAGACGGGGCTTCATCGTCAGAGTCGCTTTCAGATTCCGATGACATTTCTGCCAGCGTAGGCTTGACGGTTGCTACAGGCTTCGAAGCAGGCTTGGGAGGAGCCTCGTCATCGGAGCTGTCGGACGAATCCGATGACAGCTCCATCTTCGGCACATAAGCAGGTTGCGGGGTTGCCTTCGGTGAGGGTTTATCGTCGACATCATCATCAGACTTGGACTCCGATGAGGAAAGCTCCATCTTCAGCACGGACGCAGGCGACGCCGTTGTCTTCGCAGCAGGCTTTTCGTCCTCATCATCTTCAGACTCCGAGTCCGATAAGAGCTCCACCTTCGGTAACGGCGTTGCCTTTGCAGCGGGTTTATCGTCCATGTCATCTTCCGACTCAGTCTCGGAGGACTCGGAGGCCTGCTGCTTGACCACAGGCGAGGGGGTAACAGGGATTGAAGATTGGGGCTTGACATCGTCGAAATCCTCCTCCGACTCCGACGAACCATCAGCAGCGGGCATGGACTCGTTATCGTCATGCTGGACAGCTGAGGCTTGGGGCATTTCTTCGTCTTCCGACTCCGAAGACTCCGGGTCGCTAGAAAACTGGAGCTGTGGCACACTCTCGACGTACTGCACCGGTTCTTGAACCTTGACTTGTGCATCTTCCTTCTTCTTGGACGGTTTAGCCTCTTCCTTGATCTTGGCCGGCTTGACGGCTTCCTTAGGTTCCTTCGTCTTAGGCTTTGCCTTCTCGGCCTTGGCAGCCAGTTTGACACGGGTGTGCTTGCGCAGACTCTTGAACTTGTGAACACTTGCGTCACAGGACGCACATAATGCAACTTCACACTGTTCGCAGCGCACGCTGGCACTTTTAGACTCGCACTCGCCACAGCGCGGAAGCTTGGGCACCGGCGGGAGCTTGGAGCGCTTGTGTTTCGCCATCACACGAGCCCGGTGCACCGCGGAGTTACAGTCGTTGCAGTAGAGCGAGTTGTCACACTTCGCACACTTCCACACGGCCACGCCAAGTTTCTCGCACTCGACACACGTGCGGTCCTCCCCGTTCTGTTCTGCTGCGCTTTCGCTTTCATCGTCACTGCTATCGCTTTCCGCTGAAACCTTTGCTGCTGATGCCTTGGCTGAAGTAGGCTTTGTAGCCTTTGCCGGAGAAGGCTTCGTGGCAGGAGCCTTAGCTGCAGAATCCTTCGATGCGGCTGCTCCAACGTGGATGTACTTGCAGTCATCCCCACGAGTGCACAGTCCGCTCTGGAAAAACTGACAAATCTTGGCGACCTTCCTCGCAGGTTCCTCTGACTTCGGAAGGCCCAACACGTGAGCGAACTTGCACTCCGAGCCCTGTGCACACGAGCCGCGCGAGAAATGACGGCACAGCCGCGAACTTGGGATAGCTTGGATCTCAGGCGGCACTACGACAGGCCCAGCAGGCTCAACAGACTTCGCAGGCTTAGCAGGTTTAGCAGCCTTCGCAGGCTTCGGTGCCTTTTTCTTCGGCTCTGGCGCAGCCGCCGCAACGACAGGAGGCGCAGACTGTGGCGGTGCAAACGCCGCGTTGTCTGTCACGTGGTAGTATCTGTCAAAGCCGACGCCAATAGTCAGCACCAGATAAAGCAAACCAACACCAAATACACTGCACGTACTTGCACAGGTCGCCGTAGCGGCAGATTCCGGCGATGAAGCCGCGGCACGGCTCCGTCGTCTTGAACCTTCGCTGCAGCGATACCTTGAGCGTCTTGCCGAACACCACGGCACCGTTCGTCGCCGCCACGGCCTCCAGCGCATGGCGCTTCTGCTCAAAAACCACGTGCCTGTTCACACACACGATTGCGTAAGTATAAACTGCATTGCAACCAAACTGACCCAACAGCTACAAATGCGGATGATACATACGCCGAGTTGGTTCCGTTGTGTCCGACGCGGACGATGGGGCCGTAGGTGCGGTACATGTTCATGAGCACGGCGCTGGTCAGCTCCACGCCGACGCCCGAGACCACGATGGTCGAGTCGATGCCCACGGGGACGTACGCCATGGACATGGTGGCGACTCAACTCGACTCAACTGCCAATTAATTGACTTTTGGCTGGTCACGGACGCCGCCGAAAGCCTCAAAAGTCTACGCACGTCACTATGTAGAGGGAATTACGACACTAAAACGGAATCGACTCTGTAGTCGGCAATAATGGAGGACGGCTCGCCTACGACGACTGGCAAGCGCCTGAGAGAAGAGCTGGACGAAGACACGAAGGAGAATGATGCCCAGTTTGGCGCTGAGATCGACGTGAATGGCCAGGACGAAGAGGAGAAGGCGCCTGCTCCACAGTCCACAGCACCAGCAGCAGCAGTAGAAGAAGACGGCGAGCACAATGGGGACAAGAGCGAGGAGGAGGAGGAAGAGGCTCTGGTGGTGCTGGAGCTCTGCGACTTTAAGAACCACCCGCTGTTCGACGACTATAGCACGGCAACGCTCGAGGTGCGTAGCGTTGATGCGATATTCTACCTATTGGTGTTGCTGAAGGGGTGACGGTTTATGGTATTGCTTTGACTAGGGCATTGACACGGCCACGCCGATGCTGCGCATTGGAGAGTACGCACTGCACGGGCAGCTGGAGGAGACGGTGGGCACGAACTACTTCTACGACACGGACACTTCGAAGGCGCCGGACAAGAAGTACCGGTTCGCTGGGCAGACCATCAAGAAGATCAAGTTCACGATCGCACCGCCGGAAGACGTGTAGCCCTGGTGTCGATACTGTAGTTAGTAACTTCAATGCATCCTCTGTACAGGTAAAAACACACTTGCATCGTTCTTGGGTCTTTGCTCGATGAACCCGAATTTGTCCCCATCGACGCTGGATGCTGCCTCTGGAGGCGTCTCTGCGAGGACGTTGAAGAGCGTCATCTTCCATTTCATTCGCTCTTATTTTCTTCGTTATAAAGGCATCCCACTCGTCTACCTCACGAGAAGCAGCCACCACGGGGCTGACGCTACAACTTACACCAAGCCACGCGCTGAGCTGCTGCTCGAAACGAGGATCCGATGGCAAAGCTACGTCGCAGGAACGCCTTCTCTGTGTGTCATTGCTTGCTTAACGGTACAGCTGCTCCACCGAGAGGTTCTTGGCAATCTCGAACTCCCACTTGTCGCCGTTGGCCAGCAGCTTGGCCTTGTCGTACAGCAGCTCCTCGTGGCTCTCGGTGGCGAACTCGAAGTTCGGGCCCTCGACGATGGCGTCCACGGGGCACGCCTCCTGGCAGAAGCCGCAGTAGATGCACTTGGTCATGTCAATGTCGTAGCGCGTGGTACGACGCGCGCCATCGGCACGAGGCTCCTGCAATATTTAGAGAGAGAAAATTATCAGCCTCTTCCAAAGACCAATCCATTTAGCATTCCGCTCACGTACCGCCTCAATGGTGATGGCCTGGGCGGGGCAGATCGCTTCGCAGAGCTTGCAGGCAATGCAACTGCAGTGCACAATACACAACATCACATATAGAATATGAGAACGCGTGCGCCTCTTCGACCAAGAAGTGTCCGGACCACCAGAACGGCGGCTCCAGTACTCACCGCTCCTCGCCGCTCGGGTAGCGACGCAGCGCGTGCTCGCCACGGAAGCGCGGGCTGAGCATGCCCTTCTCGTACGGGTAGTTGATGGTGACCTTGCGCTCCACGTGGATCTCCCAGGCCAGCCAGGTGGCGCGGAACACGTCCGAGAGGAAGAAGGTGTCCGACATCTTCTCGACCACCTCGCCCCACGTGGGCTTGGGGTCCGGCTTGCCGGGCGCTGGGATGTTGGCCATGCCGCGCGCGCTGCCGGCCGCCGCGCGACCCAGAGTCTGCTTGGCGGCCACGGCCGCGGCCGATCGACGCAGCATCAGGACGTTCATCGCTTCGCGTTCCGGTAGTGTGGGGAGCTGCTCGACGAGCGGCTCTCGACCTCCGACGGCAACTACGCGCTGCGATTGGCTGTAAATGGTGTAATCCACTGAGAACCGGCGATTGGATGAAAAAGGCGAAATTCGTTGAAGTGCCGCCATTGGATGTAAATAGCTCGGCGCTTTTCATTGGAAGCGAAGGCCGGCGCGGTCATTAGCCTGTTTGTTGGTGGTGGCAAAGGGACACCGAGCCGTAGTGTACTCGGAGCTACGGAGGGCATCGTCGCCGGCTGTAGAGATGGTGTCGAACGCGTTCGTGCTGTGCAAGGTGCGGCACAATGTGAGTCTGGCGCCGTGCCACGCCATGGAGCCGCGCGTGGGCATCGAGCAGGACCTGACGGCGCAGCTCATGCGCTACTCGCAGCCGCTGCAGGGCGTGGTGCTGAGCTTCAGCGACGTGCAGCTGGCGCAGCCCCACGGCGTCATCGTGAACGAGATGCCCCACATCCACTGCAAGGTGCTGGCCGACGCGCTGGTCTTCCGCCCCAAGGAGGGCATGCAGCTGCGCGGCGTCGTCAACAAGATCGGCAGCAACCACGTCGGCATGCTCTTCGCCGGCGTCTTCAACGGCTCCGTGGCTGAGGCCGAGCTGCCCAAGGGATATGTGCACAACTACGCCCAGGACTGCTGGTACGCTGCCATTGCAGTTGGTTATTATTGAGGTGGTTATTGGTGCTGACTTTGAAATGCTGATGTTGTTTTCAGGCTGGGCGAGGACGGCTCCTCCATCTCCGTGGAGGACGAGGTGGACGTTAAAGTGCTGCGGTGAGTGGACTGCAACTGTGGATACTGAAGCTCCAAGAGCTAATCGGATTGTTGTGTGCGACAGTGTCCACGTCGCTGGTGGTATGATTGCCATTGAGGCCACCATGCGCTTCGAAGGTGCCGGCGTCAAGAAGGCGACGGTTAAGAAGGCGAAGAAGGCCACGCACTTAGATCTGTCAGCAGCTGAGCCGGAGACGGAGACCGTCGAGGTGGTGGAAGTGGAAGCGCCGAAGGAGAAGAAGCAAAAGAAGGAAAAGAAGAGCAAGAAGACCAAGCACCTGGACCTCGCAGCAAGTGAGCCGGTCGTGGCGGAACCCGTTAAGGAAGAGGCGGTGGAGAAGGGGAAGGTAAAGAAGAGCAAGAAGACCAAACACCTTGACCTCTCGGCGGCTGAGCCCGAGGTGGTGGAGCCCGTCAAGGAGGTGGCGGTGGAACAGGTGAAGGAGAAGAAGGTTAAGAAGAGCAAGAAGCGCAAGCTCGCCGAGGATGAAGTAGTAGCAGAGGAGCCGGCTCCGTCCGTGGAGGAACCCGAAGTGAAGCCTAAGAAACACAAACACAAGGACAAGGATGCCAAGAAGAAAAAAAGCAAGAAGAGCAAGCAGGACTAGACTGAAGGCGAAGCGGCGCTAGGCGAGACGATAGAGGGGCGGTAGACGTCCAGCTGTGTTTATATACTTTCAAGTGCATTTGTCTTGATCCAGCAGTGGCCCGTTAAATAAGTGTTCCGTATCGATCGATGCCACTTATCGCTAGGAAGAATTCATTCATACGAAACCAGCTTCTCCAGCTCGGAAGGGATTTTCGGTAGCGGCTGCTTCGGGTCGCGGATGCACCAGTTCGGAGACTGCTGCGCTTTGTGCCACTTGAAGTCGTTCACCTTGGCCCATAGACCCGAGTCCTTCGACACGCCTAGACGCTCGAGCTGCGTCTTTAGTCCGTCGAATTGCAACCGATACGGGCCGAACTGCATCTGCTGGCAATCCTCGATAATGGGGTGGCTCGGGATACGCAGGTGGAACGCTGTGGTCGTGCTCAAGTGGACGCGAAGCTGGCGACACGCCACGAAAAACTCACAGCCGTCGCAGTCCTCGAGCCACAAGCTGCCGAAGATCGCTCCAGTGTAAAACACACAGTTCTTCAGTGCGTCGCCCCGAATCGCTGATGTCTCCACGCGCACCAACACAACACAGTTGGTCAGATGTGAGAAGTTCAGGTCGCGACGCGTCTTATCGTCCGCGTCGGCGAAGCTGCTGCTATCGATCACGATCACTTGGTTCTGCTTGTTGGCGTGCACTAGCTCGTCGAACTCCATGGCCTTCTGCGTGCTCGACGGCGACAACTGGTTGCCTGTACGTTCCGTCAATCCGTCCTGTTCTGGCTGGTCCTGCTTCTCCGCCGACTTGGCCTTTGCTCTTCTCGCAGCATGAGCTCGGAATGTGAACTTCTTCCTGGGCGCGAAAGTCGCTCGCGTCGAGTCAATCAGCTCTAGCAACTTGGACAGAATCAATTGGGTCTGGCGCGTATCATACGGCGACAAGTACAGCGAGGCAGCCGTGGCTGCAGCATCGCGCATCGCGTTAATCTCGAGCACGAGCGCGTCCAGCTTGACCTCCTTGGCCGGCTCGCAGGGCAGCGGCTGCTTCTTCTGCTCGCAGAACAGCCCCACCTGCTTGCGCACGTGCTCTTCCTGCTGCGTGAACTTCTCCCAGAAGGCCGTCGCCAGCTCGTCCGTGGTTAGCTCTCGCTGCAGCGTCGAGAGCTCCTCAGCGTGGCCATGGAACGCGCTCTTGGCCCCCTGCTTCTCCTTGCGCCGCTCCTCCAGCGCGTGCGCCAGACTCTCCTCGTGAGTCGTCAGGATCGGGAACTCCCCTCTTGTATTGACCCGCTCGGGCCGCACGATGGCGCCGTGCAGCGGCTTGCAGTCGAAGTAGCGCTTGCCTTGGAACGACCCGTCGCCTTTGCCCAGCGGCTTGTCCAGGCGCACGCCGAGCCACCCGTCGCCTGGCAGCCCCTCGACCGCGCCGATGTACACGATCTCACCGTAGCGCTTGATGCTGGCGCGCAAGCTGCCGCTCGGCCCGGAGGACAGCAACTCGCAGCGAGTACCCACAGCCAGCGGCGCTTCCATCGCGGCTCGTTGCAATAATGGAAAAGTGAGCTAAAACGAGCGGACTTCTGATTGGTAGAAGCTTCCTGAAAATGAAGGAAACGACAGCTAAAAAAAACGAAAAATGACAGAATACGTATGAAATTTTTCTTAGACAGAAATTGTCGGACGAAACATCGAGTCAATGAAGCGTAGGTAACCAATGCCCTGGCTCAAGCAGCAATATGTAGTCGCGCGTTGAATGTACAAGCTCGGTGGGTGAACGGTGGGTGAACTGGAACAGGTGGAATGAATACCGATAACTACTGTATTTGCTAGCTGAGCGTGTATTGTGGGCAGGACCTGAAAGAAGCGCGAACTTCCGCGTGAAATGTCGATACGTACGATGTAGGTGTTTGCATGCGCTGCGTATACGTGTGGTCTCGCGTAAATGAACTAAAAGAGCTCTTAGCGGTGAAGAAATCTAACACTTTCTTCATGGATACGTACAAACTTCTAAATAGCAATTGAGGAACGGGATATATTTTCTTACGGCGCTCGATAACATACTGTATCTGCTTGAGCGCTACGGTATCGGTAACCTTACCATCCAGGAGGTGGGTGGTGATGGTGGTGTGGCGGCGGCGGGCCTTCGTAGAAGACCGGAGGGGGAGGTGGCCCATGGTGGTGATGGTGGTGTGGAGGCGAGAACGGCCTCGGAGGTGGCGGTGGAGGCGCATACACTGGCGGAGGGCATTCCGGGCCGGGCCCGTATCCGTACGGCGGCGGTCCCGGAGTGTCTTCCGCGCAGCGATCCTGGGTATCCTCGGTACATGGTCGTTTGCTGCTGCTGCTGTTGCTGCTACCTGGAAAGTCTTCCGTTGCTTGGCGCGGCAAATAGCGTTGTGAGCCTGGACGCGATCCGGACGCACCCCCTCACATCCCCGCGCCAGCGCGCGCCGCCACCACAGCAGGAGAGTTTTGGAGCGGGACGTGCAAGCCAGTCTCACGTTCTCGTGACAATCCACAACGACACACGCAGACCTGATCTCATAGACCTGATCTACAGGCCGTGACGCCAGCGCACTTCAACTAGGTCAGGACCTGGCCTAGGTGAAGTGCGTTGTCACCTGACTCAGGTGAGCGTCTACAGTACTGTAGTACACTGTAACGCGTGCTGTTGCAATAAGAGGGCACATAATTCAGCTAGCCTCGCGTTGTGCTTCGCATCGATACATGTAGTCGTCGGTGCATTCTATGTTGTTTTGTGCGCGCTACTAAAGTAAAGTATCGCTTGCCGCAACTACCAAAATGACACTATTATTGTACTACCTACGCCGGTAAAGCATGAAATCGACACGATCGGGTGGAACATACATTGTATATTTCATGGCGGCAAAGCGGTGCTCGAGGTCGCCCTCCAGCTCAACGCGCCCGCCGTTTTCGGTTCATGAACACGACCTGCTTCTGGGCGATATCGCGACTTCACCAGCCGCGCGGAGGAAGAGGTACGCGCTGGTCCGGCGGAGGTCCGTGGTGGTGGTGCGGCGGGGGTCCGCGGTGCTCTGGCGGCGGCGGGCTGTGGTGGTGCGGTGGGCTGTGCGGGCGGCCAAACATGTTGCTTTCCGGGGGCTTGACTGTTGCTTGGTCGGTAAATTGAGGAGTGGGCGATGGCCATCACCGCTGCAGCGAGCGAACACTGGCATGGCAATCCTGCCATCGTCAAGTGATGAACACATCCAACTCTTGCGAAGAGTTAACCTCTGGCGAATAGTCATTTTGGCGAATCATATCGCCGCGCGTTTACAGGACATGGGCTAGCGTCTCACAAACGTTTTACACCAGAATCCAACCAGGAGATCTGTGCGCTGTGCAAGCGGAAACATGCACTGGAAATCAGAGCACAGATTATGCCCCTCCGTCGAGGACATGACAGCAGCAAGTTTTGGCTGCCGGCAACAGTTCCAAATGCACACAGTATGTGCTGTACTGTACATGCATCGAGCGTAGTGTACTCCGCAAACATGTTTTTCACAACACATTTACTTACAGTTAGTGCTATTTGCAAACGCGTTTGAATGGAACTCTTCCAAAACTAACACAAACGCTGTCACAAATCGCAATTTATGTGCCAAATATGTCGTTTGCGTCGTGTTTGCATTACCGACCAAAACCATCACATTTGAGTGCTAAATACATGGCTACACTCACTTATCGTCAGTAACAAACAATGCGTAAGGTGCACGTACAATCAACTTGGGTGGTATTAAACACTCAGTCTCTTCCGCTGGCTCTGCTGTCCACGGCTTGGGCGCGCTGACGCAGAGCTTGAGAGTGCGGGCGTGAACGCTCAGCATGAGTGGTGATTGGGAATTGAACCAAAAAAATGGTACGCTTCATTTGCGCTCGACGCAATTTGTGGAGACGTCAAATTCGTCTCCAGGGTACACAGGTCGGCGAATAGTTTCATGGACGATGATAACGGATAACAATTGAGTAAATCCCAAAGTTTTGTTGTTTATAATCCTTTTAAGGATTTTAGAAGAGCAGTACCAGCCGAACTCTCTAGTTGATTCTAGTGTGGGCATCTACTGCGCCTGCTTCGCAGCCGCAGCATCTGCCCGGGAATAACACTCTGGCCAGCGTCCAATGGCTGCGTTGACGCCAGCAACGAGAGAGCTATTTCATTCAGTTTGCAGGTAAGGTATACTGTGCTCATTTAGTACTATGCTGTGTGCTAACGATCAGACGAGAGCTAGCGGAACGAAGGAGAGATGCATGGTGCGCTGATCTTGATCTTTTAACTTGAGGGTAAATTGCGGAATGAGAAATACGTTAATGTGCCAAGTCCTTGGGAGTGGGCGCTTCAACGCAGGTAAAGAAAGCCTAATTCAAACGAACGATGCTCGGTTGGTTTGGCGAGAGACACGAGGTTGGGCATCTTCGGCTAAGTGATTGAGTATTGAGCAAATTGACATGTAAAAAATGCAGCCTGCAACTAGATAAGTCATGTTGGTCATCTTCAGCTAAGCTTGGTCGATTATGGCGCAAATTGATACGCCTTCAGCGAGGCCATGACGCTCTCATAGTGTACTGGAGCGTCCATAAGTGTTTGAACGCAGGTTTTGGTAAAGAATGAACGATTAGTATCAACCTTTGGTAAATAATGTGCATAAATCTTAGCATTTATCGACGGGTACCCGATTCCGGTAGATATTAGCTTAAACATTACAATTAAGAAAGAGAGACCCGGTTTGGTACCCGGTTTTGGAAAGTTACAAGTTTTTTGCCGGCAGGTCTTCGACCTGTGAATACACCAGCAATTACTGTACCTGGATTTGTTTTTTTTTCGAATCGGATCGACTAACAGTGGGATGCTTTACTACAATCTCCACGTTCGCTTGTTTGGACTGAATAAATGCACAGTATTGTACAGTGGTGCAGGTGTTGAAGTCGCCATTGTATTGTACAGTATTGTACAGTGGTGCAGTTGTGCTCGGGTTGAAGTCGCCACTACAAAATACTGGCCAGTAGGAGCTGTGCGACTCAAGCGCAGAATCCAGCGTCGATGCATGTACAGCACAAATATTGTCGCCGGCAGCCAAAACTTGCTACTGCTGTCTTGTCCTCGACGGAGGGGCATAATCTGTGCTCTGATTTCCAGTGCATGTTTTCGCTTGCACAGCGCACAGATCTCCTGGTTGGATTCTGGTGTAAAACGTTTGTGAGACGCTAGCCCAGCTGTTGAGCTGTCCTGTAAACGCGCGGCGATATGATTCGCCAAAATGACTATTCGCCAGTCAGCACCGCCCTAAATCGTAGGTTAACTCTTCGCAAGAGTTGGATGTGTTCATCACTTGACGATGGCAGGATTGCCATGCCAGTGTTCGCTCGCTGCAGCGGTGATGGCCATCGCCCACTCCTCAATTTACCGACCAAGCAACAGTCAAGCCCCCGGAAAGCAACATGTTTGGCCGCCCGCACAGCCCACCGCACCACCACAGCCCGCCGCCGCCAGAGCACCGCGGACCCCCGCCGCACCACCACCACGGACCTCCGCCGGACCAGCGCGTACCTCTTCCTCCGCGCGGCTGGTGAAGTCGCGATATCGCCCAGAAGCAGGTCGTGTTCATGAACCGAAAACGGCGGGCGCGTTGAGCTGGAGGGCGACCTCGAGCACCGCTTTGCCGCCATGAAATATACAATGTATGTTCCACCCGATCGTGTCGATTTCATGCTTTACCGGCGTAGGTAGTACAATAATAGTGTCATTTTGGTAGTTGCGGCAAGCGATACTTTACTTTAGTAGCGCGCACAAAACAACATAGAATGCACCGACGACTACATGTATCGATGCGAAGCACAACGCGAGGCTAGCTGAATTATGTGCCCTCTTATTGCAACAGCACGCGTTACAGTGTACTACAGTACTGTAGACGCTCACCTGAGTCAGGTGACAACGCACTTCACCTAGGCCAGGTCCTGACCTAGTTGAAGTGCGCTGGCGTCACGGCCTGTAGATCAGGTAGGTCTGCGTGTGTCGTTGTGGATTGTCACGAGAACGTGAGACTGGCTTGCACGTCGCATGAACATGCCCGCTCCAAAACTCTCCTGCTGTGGTGGCGGCGCGCGCTGGCGCGGGGATGTGAGGGGGTGCGTCCGGATCGCGTCCAGGCTCACAACGCTATTTGCCGCGCCAAGCAACGGAAGACTTTCCAGGTAGCAGCAACAGCAGCAGCAGCAAACGACCATGTACCGAGGATACCCAGGATCGCTGCGCGGAAGACACTCCGGGACCGCCGCCGTACGGATACGGGCCCGGCCCGGAATGCCCTCCGCCAGTGTATGCGCCTCCACCGCCACCTCCGAGGCCGTTCTCGCCTCCACACCACCATCACCACCATGGGCCACCTCCCCCTCCGGTCTTCTACGAAGGCCCGCCGCCGCCACACCACCATCACCACCCACCTCCTGGATGGTAAGGTTACCGATACCGTAGCGCTCAAGCAGATACAGTATGTTATCGAGCGCCGTAAGAAAATATATCCCGTTCCTCAATTGCTATTTAGAAGTTTGTACGTATCCATGAAGAAAGTGTTAGATTTCTTCACCGCTAAGAGCTCTTTTAGTTCATTTACGCGAGACCACACGTATACGCAGCGCATGCAAACACCTACATCGTACGTATCGACATTTCACGCGGAAGTTCGCGCTTCTTTCAGGTCCTGCCCACAATACACGCTCAGCTAGCAAATACAGTAGTTATCGGTATTCATTCCACCTGTTCCAGTTCACTCACCGTTCACCCACCGAGCTTGTACATTCAACGCGCGACTACATATTGCTGCTTGAGCCAGGACACTGTTTACCTACGCTCGTTGCCTCGATTTTTACTTGATATCCGCGTGTGCATGTCCCACGTGCACAATGATCTTCGTCAGAAGTTCCGGCCTTGCTTTTCGCCGTGAAGTTTTTGAAGAGCCCACAACTCAACTTGCCACTTCAAACACAAGCGTTCACTTCGAGATTACCAAGTCAAGACAATGTTTCCCTGGCCCGGATCTCCGCGACGGTGCCCTCCTCCTCCGCTGCCTGAGTACTACGGCCCTCCGCCCCCCGCGCCGGTCATCTACGCAGTGCCCCCACCGCCTCCAATCGTGTACGAGGTTCCTCCGCCACCTCCAGTAGTCTACGCCGCACCGCCCCCGGTTGTCTACGAGGTGCCGCCTCCCGTGTACTACGAGTGCTCGCCACCCCCGTCACCGCACTTTCACCACCACCACCACCACGGATGGTAATCCTCGCAGTCAACAACGACATTCAATCATTGCTAAGAAAAAATATAATTCATTGCACCCGTTAGTTTACTGTTAATCCTCGTCGTCGCTATAGTATTTGGCCACGACGTTTTCCAGTCGATCTCTCTGCAGCATCGGCAAAGCCTGCACAATAGAACGGGGCTCTGCATGTCACTTGTGATGAAAGTTTATCCTGTCCTGGACAGCAGCCTCTCAAACCATCGGCGGTGTCGCACGGGTTGGGCCCAGCACTAGGTCGACTATCGAAGCGCGGGACCGACAGATTGCTAAAAGCTCCGAGGCGCACAAGCGACTGCAATACACCGACGATCGCCATGAACCGCATCTACGGAGACGGACACCGTCGCCACCACTCCGACTTCGGAATCCGCATTCCAGACCTTCGCGAGTTTCCGAGACTCGCTGGCAATCTGCTTCATCCCCACCACCATCAAGCAGAGTTGTCACGGTCTCCAGGAGCACGGACGCAGCATTGGCGCTACGTGCCGCCTCCGTTTTGCTACGGCCCTCCTCCTTCCCCACCGCCGCCGCCATACTCGCCAGACTACTCGCAATTTGCACGGACTTCGTCATCGACGCTTCAGGATCCAGCGAATGCACAGCGGTACACCCCGACAGCGCGTTCGTACCCAACCTTGGCGACCGCAGCTCCATCTGCGCCGTCTTCCGATGAGAGCGACAGCTCGAGCCTCCTGACCCCGTCAGCACCTCCAGTCGATCGGGTCTAGAGCTTATAAGCTACTGTAATCCGATCGCCAACTCAAATGTAAGCGCTAATGGACCCAGCAAAGAAACGGCTGTTCCCTCGTGGAGACAGGCAGGAGGACAACAATGTCCACCGGCAGAGTCCATCGACAGAATCAGAAATTAGCCGTCTGAGTCGGCATTTAATCGATTTTGATTTGCCGTCGTCCATCGCAGCAGCACATCGGAATTCTTCCCAGCCCCAGCAAGCGGACACGGCGCAAGCAGCAACAGCAGCTCAAGTCGATGTACAACCAGCAGCAGTACCCGCCTGCGGGCCAAGCGCCACCTCCGCAGCAGGGATACCCTCCCCAGCAGTACCCCGCGCAGCAGCAGCAGCCGTACCCTGCCCAGCAGCCGCCTGCAGCCGCGCCTGCGCCTCAGCCTGCTCCGTACCAGCACCCTCCTCCTGCCGCGCAGCCAGCATACCCTCCTCAAGCATACCCTCCGCCCGCTGCGCAGCCGGCCTATCCACCACAGCATGCGTACCCGCCGCCGCCTCCTGCTGCTCACCACGCTCCGGGCTATGCCTACCCGGCGCCGGCGCCGCACGCGTACCCTCCCCCTCCAGCGTACGCTGCACCGGCGCCCGTGGCGTACCCCGCGCAGCCAGTCTACGTGGTGCAGCCGGGTGTGCACCATGCTCACCACCACCACCACGGCCATCACTATGGCCACTACAAGCACAAGGGCTACAAGCGCAAGGGGCTCGGCGGACTGCTCGGCTTCGGCAGACATCGCCACCATGGTTATGGTTACGGCCACGGCTACGGCTATGGACATGGCCACTACGGCCATGGATACGGCCACTACAAGCACAAGGGCTACAAGCGCAAGGGCTTCTTCAAGTAGGCGGGGGTGCTGGTAGGCGGGGGTGCTGGTAGGCGGAGACTCTCCGCCTACCAGCACCGCCGGAGACGCAGTTGGTATTGATAATGCACAAAGAGTCTTGATCATGAATGCCTCAACGATTGGGGAGCTACGTACACTGGCACCACCACGTTTAATCCATTTTCTCCGAGATGTACACGCATAGCAAGCAGGCTTGGCGGCATTGAAGCATTGCAACCGTCCGCAACGGCCGGCCTGGCCTCGAGTGTCGGTGCCGCAAAGACAGTGGCATTTCAACCGATGTACCCATCTCCCATTGGCTGAATTTCGCTCGGAACTACCTGTGACGTGTGCACACTTGCTCCGAGTATGGTGCGCGGGTGCAACGACCATTCCTGTCTGGACCTCTTCCATGCATTAGAGCACTCGACCTCTCCGCTGCCAGGCCCCGCAGCAGCCATGCCCAACGCGCTGCACATGTATCCATCAGCGGCGCTGCTGTTGTGGCTCTGGGGCACGGGCGTCGTGCTACAAGTCATCGGCCTGCTCGTTTGGTGGGCGTATCGCCACGAGCGAGCAGCCAGGTCAGGACGCGGTCGCCAGTATCGGGCTCTACAGCAAGACTCAGACGACGCAAGTGACTGCGCATCCACTGCCAGGGATCGACGGACGTCGGACGACGTGCCCGAGCTCAGCACCAGACGCCACTCCACTGCGACGGTGGAAAGTGTCAAGGAAGCAGCTCAACTGGATGCCAAGCCAGCGCGTGCAGGAGCTGAAGACGACGAAGACGACGACAACGACGACAACGACGGCGTTCACTTGTTCAGATGGAGGCAACTCGCGCGACGCTCGGCGATCGCAACGCTGCTAGTGGCTCTGGTGAATGTCATCACCACGACGATTGTGCTCAAGCTGCGCACTGGGTCGTTCGTGGAGGAACCGTACGATTGGTACTCGCTGGAGAACACAGGGAAGCGGTTGTTCGCGGCTACACACACACTGCCGGCCAATATCATGGACACGTGCAAGTTCCGCGACGCTATGGCTGACTACACGGAGTTCCAGACGCTGGATGCAGTTGTCCAGAGGCATGCAGAATGGAAGAAGCCGCGAGACGACGCAAAAGCTCAGCGGACTGTCGTGCACGTGGTCCCCTTCGACTACGACCACGTGCTTGAGTTGAATCCGGATCAAATGATACCCATCGTGGAACCACTACCTACGTCGTGGACGGCTTCCAGCTCTTCTGGTGACGGCGATCGAGACGCAGCTACGGTTGTAACATCGGGGTTTGTGAAGGCACGCCCTGTGGACAAGATCACGCTGTTCCCGTACCTGTGGCATGATCTCCTAGGATCGTACTTCGATCCGCGAGTGGAGTCACCCCCTGGTAAACCCTGGACTCGCACAGTTGACACGCTGGATTTGGAGTTCCGCATGATCCACAACGCTCACGAGCTGCGCAGTTTGCCGGCCAAGAGTAACCTCTTGGTTGCTGCGCAGTCGCTTGATAGTGTTAACCGCGTGTTCGAGAGGGACGTTCTCCCGGTGGAGCCTCGTGTGGGTTTCCTCACGCTGGCGAGAGAGAACTGCAACAATCCGAAACCCGAGCGCTTCTTGGATAACGCAGCTATCAAGTTTGGGTTGATACCGTACGGCGACTGCGCTCTCGTGGACGGCAAGCGATTTGCGTCCCTCCCGTTGGGGCCGAGTTTCGAGCATGGCTTCCCCCTGAACGCGCACCACCTGAATCCACCCCCACCTCTTGCTACTGGTATCGGCCGCAAATTCTTGCTTAACCTCATGGTTAGCTGGACTGTGGAGAAGCCCACACGGGTGCAGGCCATGATGGCTGCTCTGCAAGTATGCACAGACCTGGAGCGCGCAACGCGAGCAAACTCGCGACGCTGTGTTGTTGAGCACAACGATATGCTCTTCAAGGTCCTGCAAGCCGTGGATAAGCGGCTGGGGACGGCGTGGCGCTGGTATTTGTCTGCGGCACCTGCCGCCTACGTGTCAACACTCCAGCAGTCGGTGTTTACTATCTGCCCGCTGGGCAAGAACCCGGAGCAGTACCGGATCTGGGAGGCCTTGTCTTCTGGATCGATCCCTATTGTGGAGGAGCTACCCGCACAGTGCCAACCCCCTGGAGTGTTCTTCCACCCAGCTTACCCGGACTCGTGGCGCTGCGTTCCTGAAGACGTCCACGGGGTCCTCCGCCGCTTGAACGCGCCCGTGCTGTTCGTGAACGACTGGAAGCGCGACCTCCCACGGCTCATGAATCGGTACTTCCGGAAGTTGAACAAGAATGGAGAAGAGATCTCACCCGACGCAGAACTGGAGTGGGGGGAGTGGACGCCGACAGAAGAGCTCTTGGCCTTGCAAGCACTCGCTCGGTCATGGTACGTGGGGCTTAGCCTCCACCTGCAGTCAGACCTCATCGACAAGGTCATGACACATTTTGGCCCACAGTATTAGTTGACATTCATTCATCCGGTTAAATAAGAAGGTTAAATAAGAAGTTAGTTAGTATGTTCACGGTGCTTCCTCTGCGCACTGCGCAGTGCGCAGCAGTCTTGACAATGCACTTCAACTTGGGTGTAGCCATGTGCTTGTTGCCACGTGGAACGGTTTAACCTCAGAATTAACGAATTCAACAGGGTATCTTGTCTAGCAGTACATTATACTGAGCTTCTGTATGGATCAGACAACTTCAAGTATGCTAGATACCAAACTCGCCTAATGTTTAAAGGGATCTCATCCGCTTAGTTCCGAAACGTTGTCCCTTCTGAAACGGCCAAACTGCGAGGAGCTACGCAGCGTAAAAGGCAACAACCGCCGCCACCATGTCGATGCAGTCGCTGGCCAATGCGGCCTACATGACGTACTTCCTGGCGGCCAAGTCCGTGCCCGTCGTGGCCGTGGGCTCGTCCATCGTATTCGCCATATCCCCGTGGTACGTTCGCCCACCGTTCTCCCTTGTCTCCGCCCAGCACTAATTCCTGTCCCCTCCTACCTGATGCAGGCCTACCGTCGCCACCATCCGCCGCGCGCGCAGCACGCTGCAGTTCTCGTTCGCGCCGTTCTTCTTCTACTTCGTGCAGAGCGTCATCTACACGCTGTATGGCTGGACGACGAGCAACCCCGTGGTGGGCGGGACCTCGCTGCTGGGCGCCGTGCTGGGCTCGTACTACGTGCTCGTGTTCTACAAGTACGCGCGCGACAGGACGCAGGCCACGAGGATGCTGACGTCGGCCATGCTGGTGATCCTGCTGCTGGCGCACCAGGTCGTCACGCGCTCGCCCGAGGAGACGCAGATGCTCACGGGCATCCCGGCCAACATCCTGTCGGTGTTCACGGCCGCGTCGCCGTTGCTGCAGGTCAAAAGCATCTTGCGCCGTAAGGACGCGTCCTGCCTGCCTCTGGGCATGTCAGCCATGAACGTCGTGGCCGGCACGATTTGGATGATCTACGGCATCATGCTCGGCGACCCGCTGGTCATCTGCCCCAACCTGTTCGCGCTCACCATGGGCTCGATTCAGGTGTCGCTCATCCTGCTCTACCCGGGAGGCAAGGACAGCGGCGCTGCCGAGCCGAAGGCCAAGGCGTCGCCTCCGACCAAGCCGGCGAAGAAGAACTTGAGCCCTCGCAACAGGAAGAAAGTCGAGCACCCGGAGTGAAGGGGTGGCTGACTGAGGAATGCTGTTGTGCTGAGCTGGATGCTGCTCTTTTGGAGAAGAAGTATGATAGCTGGTATATTGGAGGTTGTAAGTGAATGCAGTCTCCTACTTTCTGCGATGCTGCACAGATGCCGTTGTTTTATTTTGGGGAAAGCTGGCATATTTGCTTTGCTCACTCTTGCTCCTGACAGCTTTTTGTCAAGACTCATGATGGAACCCAAGGACTTTGTGATCTCCAACGTGGTATGTTCATGTGTAAACGATCCCTTCAGCCGCGTTCGCTAACGCTGGCTGTTGTCTGCAGCGTCACGGCGAGATCCAAGTTGAAGTATTCGTGGCAGGTGACGGTCTCAACTACCCGAAGAAGGGTCAGACTGTGGTAATCCACTACACAGGATATGTAGGTCTGAGCTTCGACGTCTTGCTGTTCATCTGCCACGACTTACGTCTTCTCCTTGTTATTGCATGATACTTCCAACTCGTAGCTTCAAGACGGCAAGAAATTCGACTCCTCTCGTGACCGAGAGAAGCCCTTCAAGTTCAAACTCGGCGCTGAACAAGTGATCCCTGGCCTGGATGAAGGAGTTGAGCGGCTGTGCATGAAGGAGCGTGCCAAGCTGTTCGTGCCTGCAGATAAAGCGTACGGGCGGAAAGGATTCCCGGGACTCGTGCCTCCCAACACTAACCTGATCTTCGACATCGAGCTCCTTACATTCCGTTAATACGCGCCTGTGTAATTCCTAAGAAAACCTGCTTGACTACTCTAGCTACCGGCAAAGAGCTCCTTTTTCTTCCGTTCGAACTCTTTCTTGCGCATCAATTGAGCCTCGCGTGCGTCAAGCTTCGCCTGGATATTGTGAAGCTGCGTTATGTGCTTCTCAGCCACATTCTGCGCTTTTTGCTCGTCTTCACGCTGCAGTGCCGTGAGCTCCTCGTAAAATTGGGTCGTTACAGGAAGCGGCTTGATGAACTCGTCCTTGATCACTTGCTGCATGCGCTCGCGGTGGGCCTTGGTGTCACTTTTCGCAGCTCGGATGAACTCGTCTCTTTCCTGGAGTTGCTTGCTGAAGCGAAGCGTGCCTTGAATCTGCCGCTCGTTGCAGATTTTCCTCCAGTTCAGATGCGCGATTCGCTCTTCCAGGGAGGCGAACGCCGTCGGCGAGGGGAGCTGCTGCATTTGGGTCGACTGCTTCAGACACACGAAGATCGCAAGTGTCATCGACGCTCTTCACACAACTCCACGTCGTCCTCATTAGCACAGGATAAGTAGGAGCACTTGTTCCTACTATCCATCGCTGCGTCCTGGGGAATATTTTTGGATACTTGCCCGTCTTCAAGTCACCTGGCAAAGTCGCTGTATCTGAGCCTGCCAGCCGAGAACATGGGTGATGCTATCATTGCCCTTCGAGTATGTCAATAGTCCCCGAAAAGCCTGGAATGGGCTTTTCCAGCACATACCACACCATACAAGCGTCGGTGGTGTCGACTGCCGCCTGTTGTGCTGAGGATAGTAACTCTAAAGGTGCGCCACCATTCGCCTCTGACGATTCGTTCTCCATTGTGCAGAAGGCATCGCTTTTGGTCGGCCGAGTATCTTGCTGCGACGATTTGTTGCTGCCAACACCCCCACTGCTGATAGTCACGTAGTGTGTGCGCACCCCACCCTTATCCTTTGGAAGTCGAAGCTTGAAATGCTGCTTTGGGAGGAATCCTGGTATGCGAGTGGACTGCCGCTCTGCCAACACAGCGATGTGTAACTTGGTCGTAGGGAGGGCGCTGAAGGGTCCACCACGAACATTCGCCATTAGAAGATGCATTTTAGCTGGCACCACGGCATATCCTTACCTCGAAAAAGCCCCCATGGAGTGTGTGTGTAGTGCATGTATGAGTTTCTGCGCGCACAAGCGCATCAACTTCTCCCTTCCCATTGGCGGCGACAGCGGGATCAACGTCTGCGAGGAGTCCTCCATCGAAGCATCTTCTGCATCAGTCTGCGGCGAAGCTGTGCTCGACTGCGACAAGAAGTCCTGGTCGTTTACCTCTGCGTCAACCTCGTCAAAATCCACGACAACAGCCTCCCGCGAACTCATCATCGAGGCGCCAAACACCAGCGCAACTGCAAAGGTGCAACGTGAACACCAACACCTCGTTTACTAACAGCATTCCGATCTAGCCCCCCAAACACAATAACCTCTACCTCGCTGCACTTTCAGCGAGAAGATTGCGTCCAACTGCTCATAGAACAAGGGCTCGGCCGCCCCCGCGCACTTGACCGCCTTCTTGATGCCCATGAGCAACCTGTGCCCAATAAAAACGTAAACCTCAGCTCTAAATCTTCTCGTCACCACACCAAATTAGATCTCACCTCCTTCTCCTGTTTCCCCCCACTTGCCCCTGCCGCTGCTGAAGTTGGTAGCTCTCCACAACCCGCAGCAGCTCGTCGTAAAGACTGCGCCACAGCAATTCCAACACTTTCAGCGACTAATTCCCACGAAATTACGCCATAACCTCGCTTTTCTACTAATTTTAAAAACGCGCAACGCACCACGGGATCTGACCGCGCATGAAGAGCAAATACTTGACCAGCTGCGCCGTCATCGCTGCGCGTAGCTCGCCGTCCAGCGGCGTCTTGTAGGTCACGCGCAGCGCCTCCATATTAATGCCTTTTTGAGCCAGTGGTACAATGTACCCAGTTCTTTAAATCGGTACAGTGTACCACTTCCGCTTCACTATTGAATTTTACTCCTACTGTACAGTGCTCCGAGGGCTGCGCAGCATGGAGGTGTCGGCGCATGTGGACGACTACAACGCGTCCTTCCGCGACACGGTGTGGCTGCAGTCCTTCCCGCTGAACGCGCAGACCGTGCTGCACTACTTCGCGCTGTCGCCGTTCTACGACCGCTCGTGCAACAACGAGCGCCTCAAGATGCAGCGGCTCGGCCTCGACCAGCTCAAGAACCTGCGCGGCGTCGAGTACGAGCTGCTGCCCAACGCGGCCAAGCAGCTGCCGCAGCAGCTCTTCATCATCCGCAAGCAGCGGCGCAGCGGCCGCACGCAGGTGGAGCCGCTGGCCATCTACTACGTGCTGGACGGCACCGTGTACCAGGCGCCCAACATCCACGCGATGCTCACCTCGCGCCTCGTACGAGCTGCTGCATCTGTGCTATGTAGGGCTTGCAAGTGCCTATCTAGTGTACTCATGGTGCTGTGCATTGTGTGTGTGTGATTATTGTAGAAAAAATGCAGCTACAGGGTGAACAAGGCCTTTCACGGGCTGGCGGCGGGCGTGCGCTTCAGCCCCACGGAGGGCTACGCGTGGGACTTTAGCTCCAAGGACAAGAAGGAGCCCGTCATCCCCTCGGAGCGTAAGTCGGAGGCCAATTGTTGGACGTTCTGGAGTGGCTGTACTGATGCTGATCTTTGTGTGCGTGCGAGCAGAGCTGCAGCTCAAGCTCAAGCAGAAGTACGAAAAGATGGAGAAGCAGCGCGAGAACTCGGCGCGCGTGGACTCCATTCTGATCCAGTTGATGAAGAAGCACGCGCCCGAGATCGCAGAGAAGCTGGAGAACAACAACAACAACGCTGTAGCAGCTGCAGGAGCACCAGGCGCAGAGGACCCGGCGGCTATAAAGCGCGAGGGCGACGCTGCCGCTGGTGCAGAAGCCACCAAGCGCCAAAAAGTTGCTTAAACACACACAGACCAACGCAATACCACGTTGTTTTCATTTCCCAACTTGTTGTGTTGCCAAAGCGAATTGTATGAAGATATCAAAGGAGGCGCATCGCTGAGGGAGACAACTTGCTTGTCAACCCACGCGATGCAGTTCAACGGCAGCTACAGCGGGTTACTGGTCTTTCTTGATCTCCGGCTTCTTCTCTGGCTGCCCGTACTTGCTGCGCGCTTGGTCCATGGCGCTGCTGCCTCGCTGCTTGCCGTACTCGATCTTCTCCTCGAGCTTGCCGGCGGCGCCCTCCAGTTGCGACTTCAGCTTCTCGCTGGACGGCACCTCGCGCGAAAGCATCATGCGCGGCTGCTTCATCTTGTTCACGCCGGCCTTCCATTTCTTCGGGTAGCGACGACGCATCATTATCAGTAGCAGCAAGGCGAGCAGCGGGATGCCGAAGAACGCCACGTGCCGAGCACAGATGCGGTTCGTGGGCAGCGGCAGGCAGTACTCGCGCTCACCGACGTTCTTGGCGGCCTCGGCGCTCTGGTGCCACGTGTCCTTCGCCTTGCCGCCGGCAGCCATCATCGACTCCTGGACGCGCGCCTTCACGCTCTCGGCTCGCTCGCTGAGCTCGCTGATCTCGGCACTGAGCTTCTCGCTCGCTGTCTTGAGTGAATCCATCACGGTGTCACTGACGGCGTCCGTCGGGACGGGGGCAGAGTTCGGAAGTCCAGTGGACTCGCGCGCTGAAGCGGCTGCCTCGCGCATCACCTCGTTCATGTGCTCCATCTTGCCGCGCGCGTACTCGCCGAGGTTGCGGGCGTCTTCCTGGAGCTGCTCCAGCGTGCGACGGCCGGGGTCGCCGAGGTCGTTGCGGCGACGCATCTGCTCCGCCTCCGACAGCATCTCGTCCACGGCCTCGGAGGCCGCCTCCTTGGCTCCGTGCTCCTTGGGCTCCTTGTTCTTGGCCATGCTCGTGGGCATTCGCACCATCTTGATACGCCGTTAGAGGTTCTGTTGGCTTGGTCGTCAGTCGGCGCGTTGCAAAGTGTCCAAGTCTTTTGAGGCTTGGCCAAAGCTTTTCTCCTCCTTGGGCTTGGGACGAGCGCCGCTTGCAGAACAGTCCCCACAACTGGAAAAGCCAAAGCCGCCGCAGGTCCCATGGAGAGACACGAGGAGAGAAGGGAGAAGAAAGCGCTTCACAAAAGGCTGCAGCCTCACCCAACGGTGGCGTCAAAAGACAACTTCAACTTGCCTTTGGTATGGTGTGCGCCACACCACGTATCCTGTCAAAGTCGTTCCCGCGTCATTTGCGAGCCACCGGATAGATCACGTGAGCGACATGGCTGCCTCGCACGCCTCGCACCCGGCCTTCTCCTCGCCCGCGCAGGTGGACGCCGTGGCCGCGTGCTCGCTGCCGAACACGCTCTTCTCCGACGAGGAAAATGGCGGCGCCGAGGAGCCGGAGCTGCCGCTGCTGGCCGTGGCGCAGTCGCAGCTCGAGGGCAACGTCTGGGGCGGCGGCGTGGCGCTGCTGGACGCCGCCACGAGCGAGCGCCTGTGCGAGCTGCAGCTGGAGACGGGCATGGGGGCGCTCGCCTGGTGCGGCGCGGACGGAGACGTGCTGGCGCTGGGCTGCGATGACGGCGACGTGCGGCTGGCCAAGCTGTCGACGGACGTGGCATTCGCCTTCATCCCCATCGGAGCGGCAGGCGGCGGCAACGACTCGACGGCGGAGGAGGACGCGGTGGTGACGGGATGGGGACACGACGACGTGGTCACGGGCGTCAGCGCCTCCAAGATCGAGAAGACGCAGCTGGCGACGTGCAGCTGGGACCTCACGTGCGTTAATTGAGCTCTTGGCTCTGCTGGTAGTTGGTACGGAGGTTTGTTGACTGGTGCTATATTGCTGTGTTACAGGGTGAAGTTGTGGGATATTAACGCGGTGAACAAGGGTCTTGCTACGTTTGATGGTGGGTTGGCGAAGCTGGATTTCGGGCTGAGGAGGAGGTGGCTGACGGTGTCTTTGATGTCTGCAGGACACACGGACTTGATCTGGGGCGTGGCCATGAACCCGATGCACGCTCATCTGCTTTGCTCGGCTTCGCAGGACGCCACGGTGCAGGTGTGGGATTCTCGGCGTCCTCACAGTGCGGCGTTGGCGGTGTCAACGTTGTTGCCTGCGCTGTCCGTGGATTGGCACCCGAAGCAGGCTACGGTGTTTTCCGTGGGTTTGGAGAACGGTACGGTCTGCACCTTTGACGTGCGCTCGCCGCACACGCCGTTGGCTCGACGTGACACTCACGCGGCGGCGGTGCACGTCGTCAAGTACTCGCCTTACCACGACGACCTTCTCGCCACGGGAGGGGACGACGGCAAGTCCTTCGTGACTACTGACAGCTTCTCGTCTGACCGAACTGCGGGTAGCGGCACCCGCGAACTGCTGGTCGGTCAGGAGAAGGCGACGCCTCACCGCGACTACGTTCGCGCGCTGGACTGGTTCCAGCTTGCGTCGACGGCGTCTTCATCCGACGACAAGGAGTTCGACACCATGCTCGCAACCGGCTCATGGGACAAGACTGTGCACACTTGGAGTGTCGACGACTACGCTGCCCCAGCAGCGGGCTCATCGTCGTCACCCGCTGCTGTAGGCGTGAAAATGCCAGCAGCTCCACCCGGAGTTCCGGTCCCGGTCGCGTAACATGATGCATAACACGCTGAGTGTTCGGGTAATTCACTTATTCATTCATACATGGGTTACTTTAACTTACTTAGAGCTCATATTCTACAGGGTTGACGACGAGTTCTTGCTGACGGTGACGCATCCAAGGCTCCTCAAGGGCCTTCTCGGGCGTGAGGCGCTGGCTCGGGTCCCACACAAAGCACTTGGCCAAAAACTCCAAAAATTCAGCGTCATCGGACTTGACGGCGCTGATCAAACTTCGAGACCCAGAAGTCCGTCGGCGTCCACGGGAGTTCACGAACGGCTTGGGCACGTACTCGACAGTCTGCGCGTCAGCGGGGTTCACCACTTCGTCAAAGAAATTCAGGCGGCGCTTGCTTTTGAGCACCATTTCGGTCGGAGGGGCGCCCAGCACCTCCATAATGCAGGCGAACTGCTCACTTTCGTTCTCGCCGGCAAAGATCGGGTGGCCCGTGTACAGCTCGACGAGGATACAGGCAAAACTCCACATGTCGATCGCACCCGAGTACGTGTGGCCGAGCAGCACTTCCGGGCTGCGGTAGAAGCGGCTCTGGATGTACGTGAACATGGGCGCTCCTTCGAGACAACTGCTGCCAAAGTCGATGAGCGTCACGTTGTCCACAATGCCGGTATTCCGCGCGTCTCCAGCCAGCGCAGACGCGTCGAGCAGCACATTTTCCGGCTTCAGGTCGCAATGGACGACGTGCTGCTGCTCGAGGAACGCCAGGGCCTGCGCGAGCTGCTTGCCCACTGTGCGGATACTGCTCATGGGGAGCCCGTGGAAGTAGCGCAGCTTGAGGAAGTCGTACAGGTTCGTGCCCAGCACCTCGAAGGCGATGCACACGTGGTCGCGGAACAAGAAGTACTCCTCCATGCGCACGACGTGCGGGCTCTCGCTACAAGCTGCAGCTGCCCGCTGAAGCTGGGCCAGAAGCTGCACCTCGACTAGCGCCTGATCGCGGTACTTGCGCCGACTGCGGATGATCTTGACGGCGACCTGCTTGCGCGTGCGGTGGTCCAGGCAGCAGACGACCTGGCCGAAGGAGCCGTGGCCGAGAGCACTGAGCACCTCGAAGCGAAAGGCCAGGTGATCCCCCACCAAGACCAAGTAGTCTCCGTGCTCGTCGTCGTAGCCGTCGTTGCACAGCTCCGCTGGCAGCTCACCGGTCTCCTGGGCGGCGTTGTGCGCCGCTGCATCATCTCCGTGGATCGGAAGGTCGTTCTGGATCTTGCCATTGCGGCGACTGCGCTTGATAGCCCGCGTCGAGACGAAGCGGACCTCGTCGTACTGCAGGATCTCCGCGCGCTCCAGGGCCGTGAGCTCCGCCGCCTTGTCCGCGTCCAGCAGGAACTGCTTGCCGCTGGGCGGGCACGGCGCGGGGGTCCTCCTGATCTCGGTTTCCTGTCTGTTTGCGCGCGGCTCGAGCTCGTGCCTCTTCCTGCGCTCCGTCTCGGCGTCGTCAACGTCGCCGCTGAGGCGCAGCCTGCGCTGCGGGTGCTGCGGCGGTTTGTGGTCGTCCTTGCTCCTGTCCTTCTCCTTGAGCTGCAGCTGCTGCAGGCGGCGGCGGCCGCCCTTGTCGCCCAGCGGCTGGTGCGGCTGCCAGAACTTGCGCTCCTCGACGGCGGGCGGCGTCGCGACCACGCCCGCAGGCGCGGAGCCGCTATTGCTGCTGGCCAGCAGCGAGCTGGTGGTGCGGCGGATCAGGTCCAGCGGCCGCCGGTTGAAGAAGATGTGCGCGAGCGAGGAGGACGGCTTCTTGCCCGCGGGCGCGGCGGGCCGGCTGTCGTCCGTGGGCTGCGGCTCGAGCTTGTGCGGCGCCGCGGCGGTCGAGGCGGAGCTGGGCGGCGCGGGTGTGAGCGCTGGCAGCAGGCGCTGCGCGCGCCGCGGGGGCCGCGAGCCGCGGGACGACGTGCTGGACGGCGGCGGCGGCTCCATTGCTGTGTCCGTGTCTGGCGGCTGAATCTAAATCGGGCCTGGACGCAGGAGGTGACGATCCAGCGCTGCTAAAAAAGGAATGTTTTCGATTCATTCGAGCCCGGCATCGCAGCAGCTCCCGTGCCTTCAACGCGAGTGCGGCCCCATAGTGATTGATAGTCAGCGCCGCGCCCGGGCGCCAGATGGGTAGTGTGTCGCACACGCCACGAATTTCCGGCATCCAGCAGCATCTGGCCGCTTCGTGGCTTCCGCATTCTCCGCTGGAGCAGCGCGACCCCATGCAAGTATCGAGCCATTGCGCGCGGTCGTGCATGAAGACGTCGGGCATCATGCCATCGCATCGCAGCAAGCACGTTGACGCAGTGCAACCTACCCAAAAGCATATAGAAGCCTACCGACGGCATATTAGCAAATTTGGGGGTTACGAGAGCTCCTCGCTGTATACGAATGCAGACCTCGTCCCGACAAGCATCGGGGCCACCCAGATGCAAGTTGCCGCACCAGCATACAGTAGCCAGCCCGCCAGCTTGCATGGAACCACCCGCTGCTGCGCGCTGCCTCTCGACGCCCCGCTCAGGCTTCGACTCGACTCGCGTTCGCGTTCGCGTTCGCGTTCGCGAGGACCAGCCTTGAAGGCAATGGCAATGGCATTGCCTTCAAGGCCAGCGGCGGCCAGCGATCTTATCCTTGATACAGGCGCCCGTCTACAGTCCCGACGAAATCAGAGGCGCCACGGCGGTTTCGCCTGAGATCCCACTGCGAGCAGCGAGATGACGCGGCGAGATGACGCGGCGAGATGACGCGGCGACTCGCGGGCGCAGCGCGATCACCGCTTCCTGTGAAGTGGCGAGCGCTGCTTGCTGCTTGCAGACTGCGGGTAACACCAAGCCGCTGCTGATCGCGGGCGAGGCGAAGGCGGGTGGGACCGGGCGGCTTCGACTTCGTCGACGGAGTGTGTATCCAGCGCGGGGATTGCTCAATGCTTCTGATTCCAGGCGCTCTATGCCGCTGACCTCAACGGTTGAGGTTGCCCTTCCGCTACTAGCGAAATGCGGGCAGAGCGGGGGCGCGCGAGGGCGCCCGCGCCATTTTTCGGCACCGCTGCGTGCAGGAAGGAAGGAAGCGCAACCAAACGCTGCTTTTTTGCTGAGCATGGCCACTCGCTCGCTCGCGCTGCATTCTTGCACTGCTGCTGCTGCTCTGCGTGACGTGACGTGATGCTGCCATTGCCGTTGCCCCAAAAGGATCTCGCTGCGAGAAGTGGGACGGTTGCACTTGAAGTGGGCCCGGCTAGCGGCCCCGGACGGTGTGGCGCACACCACGGGTACAGAGACACAGACACTTCTCGTTTCTCTGCCCTCGGGAAAGCCGTGCTTTGCAGCAGCGGGCGCGACGCGGACACCAGCGGGGCGTCCATCTTGTTGATCGGCGATCAGATGCCGAGGCGGCGGCCTCCACGGTGGCTGCAGCTAGCTCGCCGCAACGTCCGCTCCGGAGGCCGCTGGATGGAAGGAAGGCAGGAGGCGATGCAGACTGGCAGGCAGGTACGAGCTGATGATGATACCCGTCGTGCTCGATGGTGTCCGAAGCTCTATGGATCGCCGCGAAGCTCCGCAGCTGAGGACTGTCGCCATCTGGGAGCGCCGCCCGAGCCTTGGACCGACGCGAGTGTCCTCCAGCACCTTCGGAGCCCCCGCCATGCTCTGCGCGGCGCGCGGGCTCTGCGCTCGGTCCCTCCAGTGGCGCTGCACGCAGAGCAGGGGGGTCCGGCCCAGCCCCAGTGCAGCGGCGTCAATGTGAGCAGTCCAATGCCTGCTCCTGCAGCAGGGCAGGAAGAGCCCACGAACGTGCGCGGAGTTTACTCTTCAACCGGCGGCCTGATATTCCAACTCAGGCCGGTGTGTCGGCGGCGGCGCCACCGGCAGCGTTTCGCTTGCCGGCGTGTCGGGCGCAGCGGCAGCACTTTGCAGGACACGCGCGCAATATCCTTGGTTAACCGACGTCGGTGGACTATCATAGCGTGCGGCGGGCCGGCAGTACGAGCCGCGCGATGACTGTAAAGCTTCTTGGCGCACAGCGATCCGAACCCACGCCCGTTTTGGCAATCGCACGCCAGGACGTATAACTCGCCGCGCCCGGCAGAAGGTCCGCGCCGCAGCTGTATCGGTCGCCGTCGCCAGTATCCCACGGCGGTCTCTGCACGAGACCGAGGCGAGGGCAGCATGAGGCGGCCCCGCCAAAGCGCTTGAAGCTTGCCGCCGCGAGGGTTTCGCGCCGACCCGCACTGCTCCGGCCGCCGGCAACCGCCCTGGAAGCATAGCCAGCTCGGCTCAGCTCGGTGAGGCAGGCCCGCCGACATCGTGCCAGCAAAAAAACAACCAAGGCAGAGACTGCGGCAGCGCAGTTGGCCGCGCGTCGAACATAAAGCCAAGGTGGCTGTTGCCTGCGACGGAGCGCGCCCAGCGCTTGCAAGGTGTCCACCGCAGTGGTTGCGAGGTGCATTCCGCCCGCAAGACGCTGCGGCCGAAGGCATCAAGCGGGTGTGCTGCGGGCGAAGCTTAGCGGACGTTTCTAGCGGCACAGCCCAGACCTAGCGCCTTTTTTCTGGATAGCTCGAAATTCACCAAAGGAAAACCTTTCGGCGCCAAAAAGTGCTCCCAAACCGATGCCGAGGTGGATTGAACGCCGCTGCACGGCCAGCGCAGGCTGGTGTGACTATCGGGTCACGAGTGCCCGTTACTCACCGCGCGGCTGCAGCGCGCCTCAGCCTCAGCGAATATTGGCAGGATTTTCACCATAGTGCGGACAAGAACAACAAGCAATATGCTCGCTCGCTGCTGCTGCTCGAGCCGGGCCGGGCTGGTCGAGGCTCTGTCTGTATCAGGCGGTCCCTCCAGTTGCCAGTTGGCTCTGCTAGCGTCAACTTTTTGAGCAGTTTTGACCAATCCGCGCGCTCGCTCATCTTTCCTGTTGTGATATTCGCGTTACTGCGGGCGCATCCCCCAAAATTGGAAGGAAAAAAAGTGGTGTGCGGCACTCCACGCAGCAGCAGCAGGCAGCAGCGGCGCGGCTCGGACGAGCGCCGGGCCAGTCCCATTCGCCATCTTGCTGGCCACGACACAGACAGACAAGCAAGCGCTTCTGGTAGCCGGGTCCGACTGATCTCGCGCTGCTAGTCCAGCCAGACAGGGAGCATCGAGCCGAGCAGCAGAGCGCGCGCGGTGCACGCAGAGCACAGGGAGTGACACAGGGAGAGGACGCAGGGATGGAGATCGCCAAGAACGTGCGCGACTTCCTCGTGGGCATGAAGGAGTCGCTGTCCCCGGAGGAGGACCAGCTGCTCTCGAGTTTGCAGACGCTGCACGAGCAGTACCTCAACATCATGGAGGACTTCCACGGGCAGGTGAACGCCCAGGCGCTGAGCATGAGCCCCGAGGCGCGCGTGGTGGCGCACCAGCTGCGCCTCAAGATCTACCAGGACTGGCGCGCCAAGCTCATGGAGCGCGTGTTCGACAACTCGAAGGAGATCGCGTCGGCTGAAGACGCGGAGACGCACAAGCCCGGCTGCGACTGCTGTTTCTGCGAGCTGACGCGGCGGCTGAGCAGCTACGAGACCGTGACGGCCGAGTACATCCAAGTGAGTACGCGGATCAAGAACCCGGAGAACGACGCCGGCGAGGACAGCGTCTTCACCATGCCGGACTTCCTGGCCACCTAGGGGGCGCCACGCGGGAAGGGAGGCACGCCAAGCTAGTTAGGGATTTCTCGGCAGCGAGTGCGCCGGGAACGCCCGCGGATCTCGTGTGGAACGAAGAGAAGGACTGCATCGCGAGATGGGACCGCCCCCGCGCCTCGGGGAGGCTGCCGAGCAGTACAATACGTGGAACTGCTACTACTACAACAACAACAACAACAACAAGAAGAGGCGCTCGCGCGGCGCTGCGATCGTGGAAGTCGCGGCCGCCCCGGCGCGAGCGAGTGGGTGTGTGTGGAACAATAGAGTGCTCCGACTGCGTCTTCGCCGTCACCGGAAGCGCGTGCATTGCAGTCGGTAGTGGTATTATGATCCCCCCCGCCTCGGTGCGCAGGTTTATAAGCAAGTTTATAAGTAACAAAGGGCTCGTTTGATTCGTTTGGGTGCGCTAGCTAGCTGGTCGTAGCGGGGGAGGCAGGCAGGAATCCGGGACCGACGTCGCGCGCCACGCAGCATGCCGCTAGCTAGCTCGCTCGCCCGCTCGGCTCCCGTCACCCTCGTCCAAGCTCTGCGCCGCGCGACGAGCAGGAAACGAGCCGAGCCCCAGCAGAAGAGTACGCGCGCGTGCAGATAACCTGCCGAGAATACAGAGAGCTTCAGACAGTTCGTTCGTCCCTCCCTTCCTTCATCGTGGCTTGCCCCGGTCACTGACTGCTGCTGTTGTCGCGGGGCCCAAAAAGTATCCTTTCTGCGGTGCCGTGCGTACGTGGCCGACCTCGCGCCGGGCTGAGGCCAGTGGGGCGCATGCCACATGGGCCCGCCACGTTGGGCCCGCGGTTTCGCCTTCCTTCTCCCCGTCGTTGAGCGCGTGGCCATTTCGACGGCGCTCGAAGGTAAACGCCGTGATATCCTGGGGCTCGACGCTGACGCCGCCGCTGCCCGGGGCATTGCACGCGGCCAGCGCCGCACGCGGCCTTGCTCACGCGGTCCAGCGCCCCGGCGCTTGCACGCGACGGCTGACGCATGCTGCGCCCGCAAGTCAAGTTTGCAAAGACCCGCAAAAATTAACGTTCGAATCGAAGCGCAAAAATTGGCCCCCCACCGCGATTTTTCGGCTGGCTGCCTGCGAGAGTGCATGTAAGAGTATGCGGGGTCACAGGGGGATCGGCTCTCGCGCCGCCGCAGCATTCAAAGTGTTGATGAAACCGCAGCGACAGAGATCAGCGTGCAGCCCCTGCACTATCGCGTTTCGGGGAGCGGCCGCGCAGCCGGTCAAGAGAACCCGGCTGAATGGACTGCGAAAATGCTCCGAAAAGCTGGGTTGCGCTTGATTCTCCCGTTGCCGTTGCTGTTGCGGCGGACACGACCAGCGGAAGGCTGCATCGACGTGGGGGAAGCTGCAGGGCGCATACACCAGGGCGCATATACCGTGGGGCGGGAGAGGCCGCACTTCAACGAGGGAGGACACACAACTTGGGCCCGACGCTGCTTGGCCGCTTCAACGGAAACCTGCCGTGCAACCAGGTGGTCCCGCGCCTGAATTCGCCCCCCCCCCCCCCGCCGAGGCCTCTTTGAGGACCCGTGTCGTCCACCAAAACGAGGCGTCTTGGTGCGCGAAAGCCTCGTTTCGGCCGCAGCAGCAGGGCCTCCGCCAAGTCCACGGCACCTTGCAGTGCCTCTTTCCTCCGCGCATTGCAGCTCGATTGAGTCAAGAGCGGGTCGGCCTTGCAGATCCCGCAGGCTCGCTGCTGCTGCAGAAGTCGGCGTCAGCGAGCGAGCGCTGGCGGCCTATCCACTGGTGCTGCGTCCGTATCGTTATCATCGAGCTCGGACCTGGCACTGCCAGTGGCACTGCCACTGGCAGGTCCTCTGCAGGTCCTCTGCAGGTCACCCGCAGATTCTGCAGGTGCAACGAGCCGGAGACCGCCCCCACCAGCCGAGCAGCGGCTTTCCAAAGAGCCTCACGCAGCGAATACACTTGCTCCGAGCGATACAGTGCTCGCCGATCGACAGCAGCAGCAAGATCCGTTGAGCCGACGAGGGACGTGCGCGTACATGTAGAAGTCGGCTCCGCTTCGGACGTGCATATGGGCGAGATGCGGTCATTCCAGCAGTCGCGATCCCCAAGGCGAATTTCTGATCAAAAAAGTCGCAATGGAAATGTGACGTGAGGGGCGACGCTGGGACTTTCTGGTTGGCGAGAGCACTGCAACGCGGGCTCGTTTGCGGCGACGCCATCACCGCTTAGCGCTCGTAAGCGCTCACAACCGAACGGCGGCAGCAGCGCGCGTGCCTCGCTGGCCAGCCACGCGGCGCAAGGCTCTCGGCGCTTCTGCCCGCTTGGCTTCACTCGGCCCGTTTGATTGACTGTGAGCGGGGCAATGTGGCGACGAAGGTGGCAATGTTGCAGAGCGAGCCGGAAGGACCTGAGTTCGTGGCAGCGCACTGCAGCGCGCTCTTAGTCAGGGAGGATGCCCCGCCGCCGCCATTTCGATCGACGCAGCACCATCTGAGGAGGCCAGAGGCAACCAGACGAGGAACGCCGCCGGCCGCTTCGCGCACGACAGCGAGGCACGGCATTCGTGACGTCGCCTTTCATGCCAGACAGGTCGCGAGCGCAGTGGCGTCGACGCAGTTGTCACGCAATGGCATGTCCGCCAACTTGCTGCTCGAAGTGCTCGCCGCACAAAATGTTTTGTGATCTCGTGAAAATCGCGTTTCGAAAAAATGACAGTGGTGTACTGGTGTGGTACACATCACTTCAATTTTCACATTGCGAACTTTCGCCATCCTACCATCATGGTGCGTGGATCTGCTGGCGACTCCGCGCTCGCGGCCTCGCGCTGACCGGCCCGCGCGGCCCCTTTGTGTGTATCTGTGTGGTGATGTATACCAGGCGGCGGACCGCTTCAACATCAACCGGCAGTGGGAGCACCTGCAGGCCAAATACGTGGGCACCGGCCACGCCGACACTACCAAATTGTGCGTGCGGATAGACAGCTTTGTGTGGCCTGCTCGTACTGACTCCAGCCGTTGCGCTTTGATTTATTTACTGCAGTGAGTGGGCCGTGAACCAGCACCGCGACACGCTGGCGTCGCACCTGGGCCACTCGGACATGCTCGCGTACTTCGCCGTGGCCGAGAACGAGTCCATGGGCCGCGTGCGCTACAACATGCTGGAGAAGATGCTGCAGCCGTGCGGGCCTCCACCGCAGAAGGAAGACGAATAGCCTCCACCTCGCTCAGCTGCTGTAGTGGAGGGCGGCTGATGCTAAGACGCATGGAAAATAATGCAGCGCTCATGAGGTCGGTACTTTTGCTGTATGTACTCAGCTTGTGGGGGCTAGTTCGTCTGCGTGTTGCCCACATCTCGGAGGTTGATTTGGACAGTTGCTGGACTTCCAGCTCGACACGGACGAGCGTACGGTACACTGGTCGTCCTGAATGATGCGCGCCTCGAGCGACACCACGCCGTGCAGCTCCGAGAGCAGATTCGCCTTCGTGCGGAGGAGCTCGGTTTCCGACATCTGCACACTAGTGTGTCAGTAAGGAAGAGTTAATGGACTGGCCGTCTCGCCCACAGCTACGCACCGTACGCAGATTCGCAGCGCTGAGCATTGGTAGCGGCGGTGAGTTCCGAGACAGTCGAGCGCGGTCTTGCTTCCGGTATACGTTCTTGTAGAACTCGAGCTCCTGTGATGTCTCAACGGTGCCGCGGGAATTGGACGTTGGAGGACGATCTTCACAGCGGCCATGGTTAGTGCACAATGGCTGCGCCCAGTACATTGTGCCGCTACGTACCTTCAACTTCTCCCGCTTTTGCCGTTGGCGCGCGAGGCCCTGCAAGCCGATCCAAGGTGTCCTGGGAGAAGGTCGCTCTGTGCGTCTTCTCCTTCTGCCGGTGCGTCCTCTGCTGAGCGTCGCCAGCTTCGGGCGCCACTTTGACCACCCCGCCCGTCGCCTTCCACTCGGCAATTTTGGTGTTCAGCAGCAGCGCGTGGTCCTCCTGGATGTGGCGCAAACGATCGCGATCCGAGCTCCGCTCACGGGCAAACTGCTTCTCTAACCGCTTGGCCGCCTGCTTGCTGGTGGCCTTGCGCAGCTTCTGCTTCCGCTGCTCCTCCGCCTGCAGCGCATCCTGCACGGCCTGGATGTAGTACGCGTTCTGCTTTGCGCGCAGCAGCTGCAGAGCGGTCGCAGTCTCCATGCCGCCCATGGTAGGTCAACGAGCCAAGTAGCGAAGTTCTGATGGAGATGGCTACACTGGTTGAAGCATCTAAAATTAGTCTGAAGTTGGCCTACTGCGAAATTCACTTTTCGAGGAGAATATTGCGTTGGGCGTGATGGCGAAAATCAACCTAGTCACCAAGCTGGAGGCACGCCTTCATCCATGCACCAGTGTGTGTCTCCGCAACCTCGTTCATAGTCCAAGCTGCCTCAAGGAATCGCGGGCATCGCAGAGATCTGTGTTGGGCCTTCCAGCTCAATTTCCGAGCCATGTGACACCATGTCCGCCAAGGAAATCGACCGTTGGTCTCCGGCTTCGGCATTACATGCGCATGCACACTGCCGAGCGCGATGATAAGGATACGGAGGATGCACAAGTTGTGCAGCACAACTCGCAGGCTTCTGCGGACCGCAGACTGCGGCGGTAGCGACAATGGACAGGCCTCCTGCGTCTTCGGCAGGATATTGCTCTTGGCGGCACGACGCAAGCCAAGCACGCGGCTTCGAGCAGAGGCGGAGGCGCCGCAGCTTCGCGTCTGACTCGCCGAGTCGCACAATTGACGTGACGCGGAAGTCCTGCCGCTGCTCTGCCCGGCCGCCACTGCAACGTGTGTCGTAGAGGATCCAGCCATTGCTGGTGGAGGTCGCGCACCAAGAAACCTCGGGGCGGCCGGCCCCCGAGGTTTCTCGGTGGACGCCACGGCCTCAATGAGGAGCGGCCCGCGGCGTCGTCACGGAGCCCGTCGAGACTGCGTGTGTCTCAACAGTTTTGCTCGGCGTTACGGGGCCAAAGTTTGGAGCAGCAAAACTTTGGCCAGTTGTTCCTTGAAGCTTGGTCTCGCCTTCCGGTGCGCCCGAGACGACGCCGCGCCGCGAAAAAAATGCTAGGCCCGTTGAAGCCCGGGGTGCTGCACCCCGCAACGGCGGTGAAAAATGTCGTGAACCCCCGCGCTGACGCAGCGGGCAACGCTGTCCGGGCCGGAAGCAATGACTTTCACAGCAGAGAGCGACCAACGGTGTCGTGCAGCAATAGGTTTGCACAGACAATTAGAGTAGGCAGTGCAGCTCCCAAAAGTACTTGTTGCAATCTGATGGCTACATTGTGTTCATCGCACACAACGTAGCCATTCACTGATTGTGCATTCCGGCATTTTGTAGAGCTCCATCAACCACCATGCGCTTCCGGCCGTGCATCGACATCCACGCCGGCGAGGTGAAGCAGATCGTGGGCTCCACGCTCACGGACAGCGAGGGCGCCGCGCCCGTCACCAACTTTGTGGCTTCGCAGAGCGCCGGCGACTTCGCGCGGTGCGTCACCAAAAACGCCTCGACACTTTTTGTCATTCCGACGCATTCCCTCATCCATCGCTTCTAACGCGTCTCCAATGGTTTTCTGTACTGCCACAGCATGTACCAGAAGGACGGACTGGTGGGAGGCCATGTCATCATGCTCGGAGCCTCGGAAGCCAACACGAACGCGGCGCTGGAGGCGCTGCAGGCCTATCCGGGAGGACTCCAAGTAGGCGGTCAGTACAAGAGCTCTTGTGTGTGCCATTGCAGTGACCTGATGTTAGGGTGCTCTGTGCATTGCTATGGCTGCTGCTAGGCGGCATCAACGCCGACAACTGCCAGTTCTTCGTGGAGAAGGGCGCGAGCCACGTGATCGTCACGTCCTACGTGTTCCGCGACGGCCAGATCGACTTCGAGCGGCTGGAGAAGCTCAAGCAGCTCATCGGCAAGGAGCACCTGGTGCTGGACCTGAGCTGCCGCAAGAAGGCGGAGGACAACAAGTTCTACGTCATGACGGACCGCTGGCAGAAGTTCACCACCACGTCCATTGAGTGCGTTCGTTGGGCAAAATATATTGGTTGGAGCCGCTCCTTAGCGACTAACGTTGGCTTTGTGTTGCAGCAAGGCTCTGTTCCACCGCCTGGCGGAGTACTGCGACGAGTTCCTGGTGCACGCGGTGGACGTTGAAGGCAAGCGCTGCGGCATTCAGGTGCGAAGCCTCCCAGGTGGTTAAACTGTGGACTTTAAAGCTCATACTGACCGACCGAGTCGTTTGCTATTATCTGTTGCAGCAAGAGCTGGTGGAGCTGTTGGCGAAGTGGAGCCCCCTCCCCGTTACGTACGCTGGCGGTGCTAGCTCCTTGGTGCGTTTGTTCACTCGTAGCGCACGTCATGTGGTCGAGTGCTCACAGAATCGTGTTAACAGGATGATCTGGACTTCGTGGAGCGCATCGGTAACGGCAAGGTGATGAATTGACAGCACGCTTGCCTGCCTGTCTATTGTAAACTCGTTCTAAGTCGCTTGTCGTGGCAGGTGGATCTCTCGATCGGCAGCGCTCTGGACATCTTCGGCGGCGACATTCTGTACGAAGACGTCGTGGCTTGGGACAAGAAGCGTGCGGAGAAGTAAGGTCAAGCCTAGAGGTCTCTGCCGCGTCGTGTCAAGCGGATGCACCGTTTCAAAACGCGCGTTCATTTTGCAGTCTTCCTCGAGCTGTGCAAGAAGCTGCGCGAGCACATAGATACCTTTCGGCGAGGCAAGTTCAAGCGCTGCATTGGGTGGTAACCTAATAGATAGGATGCTCCGGTAGGTCGAGCTCTCCGCGCTATTCATCCACGGCATCTTCAAACTCGTCCCTCTCGCTCTCCTGTCCGTGCTCAAGCTCTGTCTGCAGCTCCGTCGGATGTACTGCAACCTGAGGAGCAGCCGTTTCTTGGTGATGATCCCCCTGCTCTTCTTCTAGCTCGAGCAGCGCTGCTGGATGCACTGCAGCTGCGTCCTGGACTTGATATGCATTGTCCTCTCCTGCCCAGCGCTCTGCCATCTCTGCAGGATGCACTGCAGCCTGCTCTTCTCCCCAGTAGCGCACACCCTCCTCAGCCTGCGGATAGGTCGAGTGGGCATCTTCCTGGAACATGTACTGGTATCCTTCGTCGCCTGCCGCTGGAGGATATGAACCGGCGACTGCATCCTCCGCCAGGTCGTTCGGATCGACCGGAGAACTTGCAGTCATCGTCGCCTCGGCCACCGCCTGCGCAGCGATCTGCAGTGCCTCCTTGAGAGTCACGATCTCGTCCTTGTAGCTGCGCAGAAGCTGCTCGAGGCCGGCGCGCGATTCGTACTCGCGCTTGAGCGACTCGTGCGCTGCGTCCTTCTGCATCCGAACGTGGAGGAGTTTCTGCGTGGTTCAAGACGATCGCGTTCAGATCCGTATCCACCACCAAAGCCATAACGCTTGAAGAACGTACCAGTTGTTCCTGCTCGAGCAGGATACGGGTGGCGTCGTGCGCAGCGCGTTCCTGGTCGACGAGTCTCCGCACCAAACGCAGCACGCGCCACACGCGCAGAATCCCCAGTAACCGCACAGCTACAAAGCGAAGGTGAAGGTGAGAGAGAGATCTCCTATAATTTCAAGCCACCGCAGACACTCACCTTTCGACTGCGCGTAGAGCTCCATCGCCAGAGATACTCCGACAACCGCCGTATCCAGCACATACCCAGCATGCGCGAAGAACTGACGCCGGAACGCTGCTAGCAAGACGGCCAACTCGATCAAGAAGAGGAACAGCGTGAAGCCGGTGAAGGACTCGACCAGTCGAGTCGCAATCCTCGCCAGCACCGATCCAGCCACGTCTAAGCTTGCGCCTGCATTGTCGCCGTGGCTAATGAGCTGCTGTAATGCCAACGCCAATTGCTGCTGGTCGTGTAGATGCATCTCCAATGCAGTGCAGCCAATGTCCATTGCGATGAGCACGACCATGGTCATCTGCATCTCTGTCGTCTCCACAATCTCCCCAAGTCTGGCCTCAAGGGACGGCAACTGCTCGTCTGCATCCTGCTCACCTTCTCTGTGTTCCTGTTCTCCTGCTCTGACATCGCTGCGACTGCTGAGCCGCTCCTTAAGCCGTCGCTGCTTCTGCTTCCACGACGAGCTACTGCTGTTGCTCTTGCTGCTGCTGCTACTGCGCGTGCTGACGGTGGACTCGGCGTCGCTGGCCACACCGCGCGCCGACGCCTTGCGCTCTCCAGTCCTGTGACGGACAGACTTGCGCTTCTCCATCAGCAGCGTATCTAAAAGATCAACAGGTGGAGCCAAGGGGTGTCTGAAAGATCGGCACGCGACGGTTTATATTGACGGGAATAGCGGGGCCGTGTGTTTAGTGCCTACCTCACGGCAGCTTGAACACTGTGTTCTGTTCCAGATGCAGCACCGACTTGGACAGCGTGTCGAGCTGGTTCAGGTCCACGACCGTCGAGGGCCCGCGTCGCACGTTGCCCAACGGCTTGGGCATGATCATTTGGTCCGCTGCGTTCACCTCCCAGTTCAGCGACGAGCAGTCTATTGCAACAATGAAACGTGAGTGCTTAACACTTACACCAGCACAATGCTACCTCTAGTAGTTACGTACATTGCATCGCGTCTTCGTGCCGAGCGAAGCCCAGCGCCAGCGCCGCGTCGCTGACCGAAATCGTCGAGTACGCGAGACTCAGCAGCTCAGCAGTGCCCTCACGAGTGGCAGCTACACAAATACCACCACAATACAGCAGCAACATTCAAGTTCAGCATCAGCTCCAGCACAGCAACTCAATGAGAAGAACTTGACGCACTCTTCAGGGCCTCGATGAGTCCTTGCAGGGACGGAGACCAGTCGTAGTCCATCGCGGCGTAGGCTGCAGCCAGGTTCCTGTCCCCATAAAACCGCAAGTACTCGTCAGCAACTGCAACGCATTAACTCACTTGATCTCTGCGTCTCTCACCGCTGCCACAGCGCCTTGCCAATCTCCCACACAGCGCGAAGCTCCTCGGAGTTTTCCTTGATCTCGGGCACGATGCGCTTCCACAGGAACCGCGCGTCGTTCCTGCAGGTAGGGGACAATGCAGCCGTCTTTCAGTCTACCAACCCATCTTACATTATGTAGCCATGTTGCTCGCGCACAGGTTCTTCGCCAGCAGCACGACGAGCAGGTAGCTCGCGTAGAAGTCCGGGGTCAGCGCGGCGGCGAGCGGCGCGGTCGTCGCAGCGGCCGCCACGAGCTCCAGCTCCTCGGACAGCGTCTTGAGCTGCTGCGCCAGCTGCTGCGCGGCCTCGCGGTCACTGGCGGCGGCGTGGGCGGCCAGCAGCTCCTCGCGCTGCGTCTGCAGCATCAGCACCAGGTTCTCCATGATACACTTGGATGCAAAGTGACGGAACTGCGATCAAGAATACACAAATCTGATTCCATGGCTGAGTCGTGACTCAGAAATAGTCCTCTATGGCTACACTTTTAGTCTCAGTACTCAGTTCCCTCTTCTAGAAGAGAACAAATAGGGGACGACGATGGCGACGTCCGAGCAGTTCCTGACCAAGAATTACGAGAAGTGGAACAACTTCCAGGTGCGTGCCAGCTTCTGCACCGCCTTGTCCATCGCCTGGCGGTGCCGGTCGTGCCGTCCAGGTCGTCTGGATCGCTAGTAAAGTCGAAATCCCCCGTCGACTACCCAAATTCTTACCTATTTTCCTCGTTTTTGACGCTGCTACTGCCTCCCTGCCGCTGCTACTGCCTCCCTGCCGCTGCTACTGCACTTGAAGGATGACTCGGACTCTGACAGTGAAGATGTGCCTCGTGTGCCCACCCAGTTCGAGGTGGAAGGCGATGGTTCGTGCCCAAATACACACAATGTAGCCATGTGTCAATGCTCAATTAGAACAGGGCTGACTGTATCGCTTGCTGCTGCTTGTAGCCGACATTGTGGTGAGCACGGAGATGCTGCTGACGCCCAAGCAGGTGGAGCGCTACCGCAAGCTGGAGAAGAAGCAGTTGGAGGTGTGGCAGGTGGTGGTGCGCCAGCTCCGAGTGTGGTCGGCGTCCAGCGCCGGCGCTGAGGAGGGACAAGACGCCGTGCCCTGCCGCCCGTACTGCATTCTGGTGAACAACCTGTACCCGCTGGGGCAGGTGGTGTCCAAGAAGATCTGTGACCCGCCGGAGGTGTACCCGTCGCCCCAGACCGTGCTGGACCTGACGCTGCAGGCCATGCTGGACCCACCCACGAGCACGCCCCAGCACCGCCCCGACAAGGTCGTGTTCCCGGACAAGAACTTTGTGGGGCAGCTGCGCAAAAGCTACTCGGCGCTGGGGATCGAGTGCTCATATCTCTCCGAGTCGGACGGCATCGATGCTTATATTCAGTACGTCTTTGGTCTATATTGCATGTTGATAGGGGGCTGTATTGATGCTGACGCACTTAATTACTTAGGGAGCTCTCGCAGCACTTGATCCGCAAGGATCTTGCGTCCGTGGCGGAGGTGAGCGAGCGTCCTGGACTGATTTCGGGCGCTGGAGTCACGACCGAGGCGCTGTCCGCCTTCTACTCGGCCTGCGATAAATACGCCAAGCTGGAGCCGTGGAACCGCCTCGCCGAGCGCCAGGCCATTCAGGTGGACGCGGTGGGGGAGGAAGAGCTGCGGCTGGATGCGCGTCACCAGGTTGGCCGAGGCACTGTCTTCTCGTCTGTCATCAGCACGCACACGGGCAGTGGGCCGAACGGCGAAAGTGGTGACCATATCCGCGGTTTGGCGCTGTTTTACACGCGCGCTGATCTTGAGCGCCGCGTGCTGCCTCCTGGAGAGAAGCTGGCACTAATGGAGAACCCGGAGCTGCGTCGTTGTGCCAAGTGCGACAAACGCGCTGCCCCGGGCAAGGAGCTCAAGCGCTGCACCCGCTGCAAGTGCACCTTCTACTGCGACGCGCAATGCCAGCGAGGACACTGGAAGGACCACAAGGTCAGCTGCACTCCCCCTGGAGACGCTGCTAGCGGCGCTGGCGAGCACAAGATCGTGTGGGGTGCGAAGGAGATGTCGATCCTCTACGGCCCGCAGACGTCCGTGCCCTTCGACGACCTGGACGTTGTCGCGAAACACTCGTTGCCCATTGCCAAGGTCAAGCTCGAGGCTCTCTACCCGTCGGCTGTCGTGTTCCGCAAGGGTGTTCCGAGCGTGCCCGATGTGACTGAGCTGGCATGGCTGACTCGAGCTCTGAACGCGCAGATCGAGATTGTGAGTAACCAGCCTCTGTTCATGCAGAACACAATGGGCGAGCTGCTGGGTCTGGACGAGCACAACGGCGAGCAGCGCAAGGTGGAGCTGAAGTGCAAGACGTTCGGCTTGGACGACGAGCTCGTGATCCGCAACAGCACCGTGCTCACCATGCAGGACGTGGAGCGGTTGCGGAAGGTGATCAAGAAGCAGCAAGAAGGGGGTGAGACGATCGCCAAGGGCGCTGAAGGCGACGAAGCCAAGGAAACGTCCAAGGAGGCAACGAAGGGCAAGGCCGAGAGCGACGACGACGATGATTACAACGACGGTGAGGATCTGCAGGACGGCGAGAAGGGATGCGTTGTCATGTGAGTAGTTGCAAGGCGCGTTGACATTCGTGTTCTCTACTTGTCGGTGCACTTTGAACAATAATGTACTTCCACATGCAAAATTGAATGCTGTCCAAGTCCGATTAGCGAAGACGTAGTGAGTTCAGTCCCAAATCAAAGCCACAGCTTGTTCGTCAAGGAACTCACCCTAACATGTTGCAGCTTATCTTTTAGTTCTACTGTAGTACGGGGCGAGCAGGCCCGCTGGCCGCTGAGGCAGTCCAGCTGCCCGAGTACATTATTCTCACAGTCACGAGTGCAAGAGGATGGTCGAGTTTACAGCTTTGGTGGCGTTGAAGTTGCCTCACGTACGTGTTATTCATGCCCATCCCCCTTTCTTTAGCGACTTGTTGCTTCCCGTCAACTTTCGGCCGTGTGCCGGGCGGGACCTTTGTCTCCATCCGATTATGGTTTGGAGTACCGCCGCATCACGAAACTCGACTCCGATAATTGATGCCGGTGCTGCATGACCAGCGCCGAGAGCTCGGCCTGACTGCATTGGGCTGGCCAAATCGAATGCTGCTTGGACGTCGCAGATCCGCGTTCGAAACCCAAAGTCACGCTGCTCTTGCAGCTCTTGGCCCAACTCGCTCAGATTTCAATTCGCCCGGTAGCCAACAAGTCGATCGTCGAGTCCACTCTAGAGCTTCAAAAGCCAATGCAAGTACCGTCATCACCGTCGCCAAGCAGCACCAGCGACTACGTTCGCGTGGTGCCGACGCCCAAAGTTGCGTCCACGGCACCGCCCGCTCCAGATGTGCACGCTCCCGTTCGGCCCCGGTGGGTGCTCTACGCCAACGTGCTGGTGGCTCTACTTCAGCCGCTGCAGTACGGGTGGTCGACTACACAGCTGAACCTGACGACGTTCAACAACGAAGACGAATGCGATGCCAGGCCCGTTGCACCCGGCACGTGTCTGATGTTTCCTGGGCATACCAAGGCGCAGTGGACCATCGCCGTCAGCGCCTGGATCGTCGGTGGCATGATCGGAGCGCTCGTGTGTGGACGCTTCTCCAACAAGTTCGGCCGCAAGCGGGTCATGATGTCCAACTGCCTCTTCATGATCGCTGGCGCTGTGGTTCAAGCGAGCGCCTCGAGCATGTGGATGTTCATCGGTGGTCGAGTGGTCTCAGGTATCGCATCAGGGGGTGCCACAGCGGTCATCCCTGGCTTCATCAGTGAGATCTCTCCACCAAGTCTCCGTAACAGCCTCGGTGTAGGCTTCCAGATCGCGATTACTGTCGGGAACCTGTTGGTTGCTATCACGTTCTTCTTCGCCGACACAAGTAGTGGCTGGCGCTACATTGCCGGGTTCCCTGTCGTGTTGGCGGTGCTCTTCTTGGCTCTGGCACCTTTCGTGATCGTGGAAAGCCCGGCGTGGCTGCTCATGCCGGGGAACAACCAACTCGCTGAGAGAGAGCTGGCGCGACTGTATGGCGAAGAAAACGTGTATCTCGCCAAGACGTGGATCAAGCAGAACCATCCTCGAGTTGCCTCAGGCAGCGAGTATGTTGCACCGCAACAAAACGACACAAGGACGGACGAACCAAAGCCGTGCAACTTTGCCAAGTTGTTCTCGCCGATGCTCATTCGACAGCTTCTGACGGCCATCGGTGTCGCTGGAGCCCAGCAGCTCACGGGCATCAACGCCGTGTTTTTCTACTCGTCTACACTATTCGAGCAGGCTGGCATCTCGGACGACCGCATCGGTATCGTGGCCGTCAATTTTGTCAACGTGCTGCCGACCATGTTCTGTGGCATGCTAGCGGCGCGTTTGGGCAACCGCAAGCTCATCCTGTATGGGTTGACGGGCATGTTTTTTAGTGCGGTGGGTATCACCGTGTCGCTTGTTGCTAGTCTGCCTGCGCTCGCCATTGTGTTCACGGCATGCTACGTGACGACGTTTGGCTCGAGTCTCGGGTCTCTGGCATGGGTGGTCATGGCCGACCTGTTCCCGGACGACGTGCGCGCAATGGGTAACTCCGTTTGTGTGGGTTGCAGCTGGCTGTCGAGCCTCGCGGTGGGTGTCTCGGCTATCCGTACATTGCTGCTGCGCTGGTCAACTTCAGCTTCACCCCGTTCATGTGTACGGTTGCGCTGTCGTTCCTCTTTGTGTACACAGTCGTCCCGGACACGTCGGGCAAGACGATGCAGGAGATCCAGGACGAGTTCAACGCGAGGAGGCTATCCAATAAGTAGGTGGGGGAGAAGATTGTGGTTTTATGGACACGCCTCACGTTAGTTAAGGGGGCTCAACAAGTATTAATAAAGTTTAATACAATATACACCCCTGTGCTGGAAGATTGCCATCAAGTTGAAGTTGCAATGTTGCTCATGTTCCGTTGCGCGTTTGTTGCGGAAAAGTTGTCCTAAAACCTTTATAACTATATTCCCGTCATATCGAGCTTCTTCACGTGACGCGCGGACCTCTATCCTTTATAAGCCAGCTGGTCGGGCCGAACACTGACGCGACTTTCTGACTTCACGATCACTTGCTTTCAGTATTGGCGCCTTATTAGCCTTTGGTCCGCCTTTCCAGCGAGCAGCTCCGCAGCTCCTCGCGCCGCATCATGAGCACGAGTCCGTGCAGCCAGCGCGCGGGCACAAGCGCTTCGCCCTCCGACTCCTCCAAGTCGCCGACCATGAGCATGCTGGAGCTGCGTCCGCTGGGGTCACACCCCGTCCTCGGCGACGGCGGCGGCATGTTCTCCGTCCCGAGCTTCCCGTCGGACGCGCACCCGGACCCCGAGCTGGGCGACGACAGCCCCGCGATCCTGCGCCCGTCGTCCGTCGCGATGCTGCGTGGCCAGCGCGTCTCCGAGGACGTCGGCCAGCCCTCGTGGTACGACGAGGAGGCCACGACCAAGCGCCTGAGCTGGTGCCAAGTGCTCCGCCTCTGCTTCGACTCGCTGCTGCTGTTGGCTGTCGCCGCGGGCATCGTGCTGGCCGCCTACGTGCCCGTGGACATTGAGCACGGCGTGCGTCATGGCGGAGCGCTGCCCTACGTCTACGCGGTGTTCGTGGCTGTCGCTGGATACGAGTTCGCGTGGCTGGCGTACCGCGTGAGGCTCAAGCTCTTTATGCCGTTCAAGCTGTACGAGAAGCAGACGTCGAGGGAAATGTACAGACAGATCATCGCCTACGCGGTGGACGAGGAGACGTGCGCAGTCACGGCGATCGCTGAGAGGATGTGCTGCGGCAGTGCGGGATTCGCAGCTTTTGTTGTGTCGACGCTGACTGCCGGGGCCGCGGTGGGGCTCTGCTTCGTGCCAGGCATTACACAGATGCCCATGATTTACGTTGGAGTGAGCACTTTTGTCGGCACATTCTCGGCGCTGTTGGCTCCGAACGTCCCGACGGCGGTGTGCGTGTTGACCCGGTACGCGTACTTCTTCCTGTCGTCGCTGAATGTGATTCTTCGCAGTGCTACGAACAACGCGAGCGTTGTTGATGCGAGTGGCAACGGAAGTGGCTCGACTGAGGATTTTGGTGCGGAGTTGGACAGCCGTCGAGCGATGGACAAATACCTGGCGGTGGTCGTGGAATCCTACTCGCTGCTGCTGCTTGGCGTCTGTGTGTTGCTCGTGACACGCGCCGTAACCAGCAAGGACTCAGTGGAGTCGGCCCTTATGATGGTGCTCGATGTCGCTGGGCTGCTGTACCTCAGCTGTGCTGCCGCTGTTTTGGAGCTGTTCGAGCAGTCGACGCGAGTTCGTGCAAGTGGTGCGCTAGCAGGTTTCTTTGTCATTGTGTGGAGTTCCGAGCTAGGAGCGTTCCTTACCGAGCGCCTTCTGAAGACAGTGCAGTTCCCGTGGATGCATCCGATCTCGAAGCACGTGTCGTCACAGCAGAACCTCGAGAAGTTGCTTGGGGAGATTGGCTTCGCCGTTGGCGCGACGTTTGCTGCTGCCAATTTCGTCGAGTTTGACATGAACACGGACTTCGTGGCGCTGGCGAGCGCAGGCGCGGTGGCGTGCGCGCATGTGGCAAAGCTTTTCCTCGTGAGTCTCAAGAAGATCGCCAAGATCTCGAAAACTGGATCGTATCTACGTGTTGGCGACGGTGTTCTCGACCGCCTCGACACGCTGCTCTTTATGGCCGTGGTGTTTGCCCCATTCTTCCAGCGTGGCGTCTACAACCAGCCGCAGTGGTGATCTGCTTGATAGAACGAAGTCAAGCAACTACCGGAAGAGTATTTAATAATGACGTCAGTGAGTATTTTTCTTTATCGGCATCGCTGTTATGCTCCTTATGAATGTTATGAGTTCGTGCGCGCCGATACAGAGCAGTCGGGACGTCCTGACGCTAGCGACGCTGTTTAGTGGCGCAACATGACAAGCAAAGGCACAGCACCGTAGATCTGTCCCGCCTCGAGGGTTGTTTTTGCGGAAGCTCCCAAATATGTGGCCAATCGCCCCAAATGTCCTAAATAATGAATTGTCTCTGTAACATTTAGGTACATATTTGGGGCTAAGTAAATGACTGCTTTCTCGTAAAACTATCCCAAATATGTACCAAAACGGAGTTGATTGATTATGGTCTATAGTCTATGGGCGAGGGCGAGTGGACGCGAGCGCGAGCCTCACTCGATGCATTCACTAATCGCCAACACCCGCCGATTAGGCGGGGGCGTGTCTGTGCGAGCGAGCGAACGCGAGCGCTGCAACCCGATATTTTATTTCTAGACACCGCGCCTGGCCGAGACGAGGAACTTAGCGTAAGGGACAAGGGGGTGGGGCAGGCCGCGCAGCGGCGCCCCCCGAGCGAAGCGAGAGAGGGGAGGGCCCCCCGCAGACCCGTCGCTAAGTCCGCAGACGAGAGCCAACGCGCGAGTGTCCGCCCTGTGCTGCTCTTTCATACTGAAGGTTATTCTGTCCTAAATATGTACCAAAACGTTCCCATGGTCTTAAATCATTTGGGAAAAACTTTGGGATTTGGGGCGTTTTCGGGGTGCATTATCCAATACCGTTTTTGCCTCCGCGCGCCTTCCTGGACGACACGGCATGAAAGCTGCTCTATGATATGATTCTTTACGATTCAGAATCGGCGTTACGGTCCAACCCGGGCAATCACAGCGTGCACGTGGAAAACCACAAGCCGAAGCACCCGCAGCGATCGCCGTCACAACCTCTAATAACGATATCCACCGCAAACTCGGCCCCCCAGCACATTCCGTCGACAACCGGTAGCTTCCCTGCCGTTCCTGGTTCAGCACTTATTAATACATGTACATCCAAACACGCAAACACCCATCCTACTCCATCCATCCGCTTCGTGCCTCGGCTGCATGGACGCCCGCGCATGACAAGCTCCAGTGGAGCAGTGTTGACTGGTGCAATTTGCAGTGCATGCTTGACGCTCATCCCATCCCGTCCGCGGATGAGGCGGTTAGCCAATCCCGTGTTTGCCCCGCGGTTCTGCACTACTGCTCCCGTCCTACCTTAGCGCCATATGTATCCTAGTTTAAGCGCTTTAACAGCCGCCGTCGGAATGTATACTTGCAAAATGTATGAAATGGCTGATTGTCCTAGTTTAGGCGCCTTGCTGCGTAGCCACTCAGGCCCGGCGCTAACGTACGTGAACGTCTCCTCATGAGCTCCACCGTCACTTCCTCTTTAGACCTCTTCGGAGCAAGCAAGACCAAGCAAAGCAACTAACAGACGCAACATGGGTGACTACGGCCAGTACGACGTGCCCAAGGCGGACGAGATGATCAACTTTAAGGTGGGACAGCCTGCGCCCTCCATGCTGCCGCTGGACAAGATCCGCGAGGCCGCGACGCTCAAGTTCGGCGAGACGGACCCCATGTTCCTGCAGTACGGCGTGATCAAGGGCTACCCCAAGTTCCGCAAGACGCTGTCCGAGTTCCTGACCAAGGGCTACCAGCACGAGGTGGACCCGGAGAAGCTCTTCGTGACCAACGGCGTGACGGGCGGCCTGTCGCTCATCTGCTCGCTGTTCCTGCAGTCGGGCGACCTCGTCTTCATGGAGGAGCCGTCCTACTTCCTGGCGCTCAGCATCATGAAGGACTTCAATATCAACGTGCGCCAGATCCGCATGGAGGAGGACGGCCTCGACATCGACGAGCTCGAGCGCCTCCTCGAGCGCGGCATCGTGCCCAAGATGCTCTACACCATCCCCACGTGCCACAACCCCACGGGCCGCACGCTCTCGGCTGAGAAGCGCAAGCGCCTCGTAGACCTCAGTGTTAAGTACGGCTTCATCATCCTCGCCGATGAGGTGTACCAGCTGCTGTCCTTCCCGCACGTGACGCCGCCCCCGCCGATGTTCACCTTCGACGAGCACGACACGGTGCTCGCTCTGGGCAGTTTCTCCAAGATTCTGGCCCCCGCCCTCCGTCTCGGCTGGATCCAGGGCTCGCACAAGCTGCTGAGCAAGATCGAGGCCTGCGGTCAGCTCGACTCGAGCGGTGGCATCAACCCCGTCATTTCGGGTATTGTCCACTCCGCCATCTCGTCCGGCCTGCAGCAGCAGCACTTAGACACGACTGTGCAGACGCTGTGGGAGCGTGCCGATGCTCTTATGAAGGAGTTGAAGGCTCACCTGCCTGAGGGTGCGACCTTCGAGGTGCCCGACGGTGGCTACTTCGTGCTTGTGCGTCTGCCGGAGGGCATGAACGCCAACGACCTGCTGCCCATCGCCCAGAAGCACAAGGTCATGTTCCTGCCCGGAGCCTCGTTCAGCAGCAACATGAAGAACTTCCTGCGTCTGAGTTTCTCGTGGTACGACTTCCCCGACATGCAGCTCGGCGCCCGCCGTCTGTCCGACGCCATCCGCGAGTACCAGGAGGTGTTCGCTGCCCAGCAGAAGTCCGCCGCCGCTGAGGCCGCCAAGGGCACCACCGAGGGCAAGGGCGTGCGCGTTGCCGTGCACGGCCACGACGGCCGCCTGGGCTCGCTCATCGTCGCTGAGCTCAACAAGCTCACGGACCACAGCGCCAGCTTCGCCGGCGCCATCGTGACCCGCCTCGAGTCCGGCGTCCAGGCCCCGGACCTCAACAACGTGGACGTCGTCATTGACGTGACGCTGCCCGCCGGCACCAAGAAGGTGATCTCGTACCTGCGCGAGCAGAAGGACGCCGGCAAGATCAGCAAGCTGCCCGCTCTGGTCGTCGGCACCACGGGTGCTCTGCCCATGGAGGACCTGGAGGCTTACTCGAAGCTGGCCCCCGTGGCTCTCCGCTCGAACTTCTCGGTGGGTGTGCCCCTTGTGTCCGAGCTCATCAAGGCCGCTGCCTTCAAGCTGCCTGCTGAGGGCTGGAACGTCGAGGTGACGGAGATCCACCACACCAAGAAGCTGGACGCCCCCAGCGGCACGGCCAAGACTCTGGTCAAGTCGCTTGCCGCCACGGGCGCTCCCTGCCTGGGCGAGACCGGCCAGGCCCCGACGCACTCGCTGCGTCTCGGCGACGAGGTCGGCCAGCACACCGTGCTGTTCGCTGGCCCGGGCGAGCGCATTGAGATCGTGCACCAGGCTACCCGCCGCGAGGTGTTCGCCATCGGCGCTGTGCGTGTCGCCACGCAGGCTCCTTCCCTGCCTCTCGGCCTGCACTCGGACTAAACAGCTCGCGCGTGAGTCGGGAGTCTACGCTCTGTAGTGTACTCTAGCCTATGCTCCTATTCTTCTATTGCAGTGTGCGGTGCTCGCCATTGAACTCCGCGTTGGCAACGGTGAACTTCGTGCCATTCAATAAAAATGTTTTACTGCTGCCTTTGACCCTGTGATACCTCTATGGTAGCGTAGTTGATAAGAGGACTTCTCAGTCTTGCATAACTTGTCACTACATATGAATGCATTTGCGTCCCAGCACTGGTCCTGACAAATACATGCACACACAACGCAGAACACTTCATGTTGGTCAAACTTTGTGTTGACTTCTATGAACTTTGGATATTTACGTAGTATCTCAAGTGTAAATTCGCAGCAGCGAGACGATCTCCTGCTGGCAAATGGGGCACGTGGGGTACTCCGACGTGCAGTTGCGGCGGTAGGACTCGGCGTCCTGCTCGCAGAAACACAGGTGACCACAAGGCACAACAGCAGTCACCGCTTGCTGGTCCTTGCACACCACGCACTCGGTCTTCTCGAGTATCACGGCATTCTTCAAGGCGTGGACATTACGATCCACTTCAGCCAGTAGACTGCGTGTTGTCTGCTCCAGCAAGCGCTTCTGGTCAGCTACGAGGGCCATTTTCTCGTTCATCTGTTCGCAGAGCTGCTCGTAGCGCGCCTTCACCGAGTTTTCTTGTTCCACACGCGCCTTCTCGAACGCGAACCGTTTTTCAGCATCGCGCAGCAACACCCGAAACTCGCTAGCCTCCGTCTCTGCAGCGTCCAGTTTCGTTAGCGACTCGTTCAGTTGCTCAAGGAACTCTTCTTCGCGCTGCTTCCACTTGCGACGGAGCTGACGCTCGCCTAGAAGCCGCCGTTGCCATTCAGTCTTGATCTCGGCATTGCGCTTCTTGAAGAACTCCAATTCGTTCATTAGAGAGGCAACCGAAGGGGCATTGTCGTCACTGCCTGTGTAGTCCTCGTCGTTATCATCATCACCCGCACCCGACGTTTGGCTTATCCTCCGTCTCTTACCAGGCGGCGGCAAGCGAGGTGTTCCGGAGCCGCTGTCCGCACTAGCATCAGACTGAACGTCTTTTTGCTTTGGTGTGGATTGCTTAGCACGAGAAGCGCTTGAAACGGGCGTCCTGGTTCTTGAGCTCGATGGTGTCTCCGGGTCGCCTCCGTTACTACTGCTTCGCTGTCGAGCAGCGGCGTCCTGAGCCCTTTTCAGCGCTCGCTCTCGCCGGAGCAGAACCTTCTTCTTCTCTTTTTCTTCAGCCAAGAGTTGAGCACGGGTAGGTTCCTTGATCTTTGACTTGGATTCTGGTGGCCCGATCCAGTGTCTTACATTGCGCACTCCACACACCCAGCAGTTTGCTCCACGACTAGGCACCATCCATCGCGCTGCAAACACCTCGGTGGGGTCGACGTTGATATATCCATCTTCATCCTCGCAATCCTCGCTGCTTGGGTTTGTGGCTACAGCCATCATCGCTTCTGACTTGGTTTTCGTGCCATTCGAGGTAATCGTCGGAGTGTACACCCTCATGGGTGCTTTAAAAAGCGTATTCTCCGATGCATTTTTGCCGATGATACGTAGGTTCACTGCATCAGCTGAGCCCACAGCAGGTAGGTTGTTTGAGTAGTAAAATATGCCATCCGTCGACACAGCAACGACCGCCTTTCCATCGTCGCTAGCTGCTAGCCCCGATGGCTCGAGCATGACGTTGGAACGACGAGACTTGCTGCTTCCACTCCCGTCGATCTTCTCCAGCTCAAACTCCTGACGAGGTAGCCGTTCACAGGGCTCGCTACTCATGCTTGATGAATCAGGTAAGCAGATCCGGTAAGCTTCGCCGATGAGAGAAATACCGTACGCATGCTGGCCATGAATTGCGCCATAGCAAATATCCGCCGTGTTTTGGATATTGAAATGGGTATTCACGGTGTGAACTCCTCCAAGGAATTCCGTGTCGTCCATTTCAGAAGCCGAGTCATCATTGGTCGCGGAAGCTGAGCCCGGTGACGCTTTTCGGAATTCCAGCGGCCACACACGCATATTTTTGTCCTTACAGGCTGCTGCAATCGCCAGCACTCCCGGAGACAGGCTTGACGGAAGAAATGCCCCAACCATCGCCGTGTTACCGCCGGCACCAAAATTTTGCAAGTGTTCCCACACGGGCTCCTGGTGCTGGTTTGGTTCAACGAAACGCCATAAATTCATGGTGCCAACACCAAGTCCGGTCAGGATGTAGTATGCAGACCTGCCACATTATGCGGACAGAACATTTAGCTATTATAACATGCTACAGCAAAGCTGACTTCAGCTTACCTTTTGCCTTTGTTTTCCTGAACTTGGCCGACGGGTGGAACGTACGTTGTCACGTCAGCAAAGCCCTAAAAAAATCAACCCATACATTATGGCATCAGTGCAGGTAAGGCAATGCAAAAGGCGAAACACAACTAACCCGAACTCTGCTGCTGTTATGGAAGTACTTTTGAAATTGCTGGAAGTCGTCATCGTCGCCATCTGCATTAACAATATGAAGTGCAAACATTAGTATACAGATAATAATTGCGAAGGCAGTAAGTAATACGCACCTTTCTCGCTGCGGTAGTGATCCAAATTAATGCTCATAATCGTGCGGGGTTGTGTGTGCCGGCAGCCCACAAACACATAGCGGCCATCAGGGGAGATTTTCAGACGCAAATGAACGTTGAAAGTTCCCTGCGAAGACTGCTCATCAATGTGACCCAAGAGGTAACCGTGACGATCGCTCGGAACGCTGCTATCCATTTCGTAGAGTCGCACCGAGCCGTCCGTAAAGCCAACCACAACAATTTCACCATCCGGAGTTACATCCACTGATGTCGCCACACCTTCGGTCGAAAAGCAGATTGATTTCTGAGCCACAACGACACGGGAGGAGAATAACTTGCGCACAGGCTTAGGCGGCTGTGACGGTGTGTTTGGAGTTCGTGTCGGCGCAGGAGGTGGAGCTCCGGCAGGATTACTCGACGATGTAGACGCTGGGGCGGCATTATCTCCACTTGCACCATTGCTCGAAGAAGTGGGTGGTGCAGCTGAACCCGAAGATGCATCTGCTGCGCACGTAGCTGTAGCATCTTGCACCGAAGTAGATGACACAGTATTACTGGGAGCTGCAGCTGTAGTTTGTTGTCCCGCAGACTCCTCTGGATGCGTCAGATCCATCAGTGTTGGCCCGCTTCGAGGAATAACCAGCGCTGGGCCTGCACGTGCCGAGCCAGGACTGCTCGTCGCTCTTGCAGGTTTAGCAGGAGACGGCTTGTTGAACTTGGCCTGGAAAGACTGGAAAGGTGATTTGGCCGAGGCGCGCACCACCTTGTTGGTCTTAGCAGGAGGAGCAAGCTCCACTTGATCCAACGCCGACGACAGCAGCGGCGGGTGTCCGTTGATCCTCGTAGAACTAGCCTCTCCCGGTGCCGTACTAGTAGTCGTGGCATCATCGAACGTCAACGGCCTCTTGGGCGACGCCGAGGCTCTGTGCCTCAGCGGGCTGGTCAGGAACTCGCTGCGTCTCAAGGGACTGGCCATGTTGGCACTGCGTCTAGGCCTCGCGGGGCTAGCCGCCGCCGCACTCCTTGGCGGCCGCACGGGACTGGCCAGATGCAGTGGGTTGACACCCCTAGCGCGCGCGGGGCTCAGCAGCTGCGGCGTGGGGCTCTTCATGTGCGGCGGGTAGGTGGGGCGCCTCGCGGGGCTCGTAAAGCCCGGCGCTGCCGCGTTCGAGCGTCTAGTGGGCGACAAAATGCCGGCGGCCAGCGCTGTTCGGGTAGCTGCGTCGCTGGGTGGCGGCGGCTCCGACTTCTTGCGCTTGGGCGCGCGCTCTACGTCGTCCGCTGCGGCCCCCGACGCTGCAGCCTCGCCCTCCTGCTGTTGCTGTTGCTGCTGCTGCTGGCGCTTCTTCTTGAGCGCCTCCACGATCTGCTGCGCGCGGTTCTTGGTGCCGATGCGCGAGCCCGCCACGTTCTTCATGATCATCTTCTCCATGTTGAGGCGGTTGCGGCGCACGTCCTGGCTGCTGCGCGGCTTCTTGGCCTGCAGCAGGCCGGGCACGGAGCGCGGGGTGACCCCGGAGCCGCCCGCGCCGCCGTCCGCGCCGTCCTGCGACGCCATGCTCACGCCTAGCGCCTTCCTGTGCCAGCGAGTGCGGAAGTGACGATCACTCTCGTCTTGTCCCGCGCCGCGCGCTTTTTGAACCAAACCCTGGCGCGCCATTTTTAGATCTCATGTGGACCAATGGGAGGAGAGGATGCGTTTCAGCCAATGAGAAAGCAGTTGTGTAGCGGCACACGAAGGTATCCGATAAAGGAAAAAGATGCGGACGTTGCTGTTGCTGTTGCTGCTGACCCTGACGCTGGCGGCGTTCCTGCTGGGAGGCGCCAGCGCCAGCACGAATGAGCAAGCGGAGCAGACGCCAACGTCGTTCCTGGACTTCTCGGTGCCCGATCTGCGCGGCCACCAGGTGTCCATGAGGGAGTTCAGCGCCTTCCGCGTCATCCTCGTGGTCAACGTGGCCAGCGACTGCGGATACACGGACAAGAACTACCGCGAGCTGCAGGTGCGACGTCAACGCAATGCAATGGGCAGTTGCAATGTACTTTATAGTTGACACAATTGCTTAACGTTTTTGTTGTTGCAAATATTGCAGGAGTTGTACGAGAAATACCACGACGAGGGCTTCATGGTGCTGGGCTTCCCGTGCAACCAGTTCGGCGGCCAAGAGCCTGGAACTGCCGAGGGCATCCTCAAGTTCACGCAAGAGAAGTACCACGTGACGTTCCCTCTCTTCACTAAGGTGGACGTTAACGGTGATAACGCGCACCCGCTGTTCAAGTTCCTCAAGCAGCAGCTGGACGGCTTTATCACCAACGACATCAAGTGGAACTTCACCAAGTTCTTGGTGGTGAACCACGAGCCATTCAAGCGCTACGGTACTACGACGTCTCCGTTGGAGATGGAGAACGACATTGTACAGGCGCTTCAGAGCAGCCAGCACGTCGACGAGTTCGACGATGGAGGCGCTACGGACGGCGACTACGGTGACGCCCACGACGAGTTGTGATAACTGCCTGGAAAGTTCGGGAGGTATCAGGCTTTTGGGTGATGGATCATAGTAGTGACAAACGTAGATGTACCCCCCTAAGCTCTTCTTGTGTGCATCTCAAAAAAGTCTTCCAGCCAAATTGCTTCAGCTGTTCCACGTACAACCGTCGAAGAAAATCTGTCGGAATACTCGCCAGCTACTGCGAGAAGATACGACGTATTATAGATCCTTTGCACATAACTTCCACCGATTTGCCCGAGAGAATGGTGTTGGCACGACAAGGTTGATTCCTTCGTCCGGAAGTAATCAAAATGTATTTGAAATGAGTTAACATGTATACAGCACCCACGAAGGACATGATGGAGTCCAGAAGAATTATAGACTGGAGCAACTCCAGTGATGTCCAAAACTCGTACATGCACTACGAGTGTAATGTACTGAAATGTCGGCGAAGAAACGCGGATTCTCGCCCGATTTCAGCGACAGCGGTGTGACTGCATGGGGAATCTCCCCCGACACGCCTGACGCGTTCGGCTTAGCGATCGTTGATGCAGCGGGGAGCTCGTCTGGCGGTGGCCCACGGTTTTTGTCGCTATCAGGAAGTGCTGATGCAGGAGGAGCTTCAAGTGACGGGCAGAGTGACGACCTGGATGCCGACGGCGCTGACATGCTTTTGCCATTTGCGATCGGGGAGAGATCGTCAATTGGATCAAGCGGGACTACAGCTGCCGACTCAGTCTCAACGGGTGCTGGCAGCGCGCTAAACCGTTCGTCGGGCGCGTCGTTGGATACGGCGTCGGTGGGGAGCTTCCTGCACCAGATCAAGAACGCGCCACGTTTAAGTAAGTCAGCGTCTGCCCTCACTCCATCGGCACCAGACGGAGAATCGGATAAAGCATCGGATGATAAGCCACCAGCCCCAGCACCGACCTCGGTATTCGACGATGAACTCGCAGGGTTTCGCAGCTTGCGGGACGAGGTGTGAATCATAATGGATCTACGCCTCACTATACCGTTCCCCCCCAGAACACGCTCGTGTGAGCTCAGGAAAGCTCTTGAAACGTATAGTAGCCATGCCATCCAGTAGGTATTGGATAATGCACCCCGAAAACGCCCCAAATCCTAAAGTTTTTCCCAAATGATTTAAGACCATGGGAACGTTTTAGTACATATTTAGGACAGAATAACCTTCAGTATGAAAGAGCAGCACAGGGCGGACACTCGCGCGTTGGCTCTCGTCTGCGGACTTAGCGACGGGTCTGCGGGGGACCCTCCCCTCTCTCGCTTCGCTCGGGGGGCGCCGCTGCGCGGCCTGCCCCACCCCCTTGTCCCTTACGCTAAGTTCCTCGTCTCGGCCAGGCGCGGTGTCTAGAAAAAATATATCGGGTTACAGCGCTCGCGTTCGCTCGCTCGCACAGACACGCCCCCGCCTAATCGGCGGGTGTTGGCGATTAGTGAATGCATCGAGTGAGGCTCGCGCTCGCGTCCACTCGCCCTCGCCCATAGACTATAGACCATAATCAATCAACTCCGTTTTGGTACATATTTGGGATAGTTTTACGAGAAAGCAGTCATATACTTGGCCCCAAATATGTACCTAAATGTTACAGAGACAATTCATTATTTGGGACATTTGGGGCGATTTGGCCACATATTTGGGATGCATTATCAGCTTCCATCCAGTACAATGAACCGATCGTTGAACTAGAGTTGCTGCGAATCTGAAGATAATACTCAACGTATTCGCATCCAGGTGACGCACTGCTGGCTGCTTTCCTTCTGGGTCACTCGCCGCCCCGCCCCCTCTCATAGTGCTCAGCATGGCAACCTTAGCCTCTGTCGGAAATTTCTCCTTGGCGATAGGCAGACACTCCCCGTCGTGAGCTTCCAGCACATCTCTCTCTGCTCCAGCGAACTCCTCGCCATCCAGCCGAGACGCTCTCAGCTCAGTCAGCCCCCGGGCTATTCGCGTTGCTGGGTTGCTCAGATATGGCCCCAGGTTGGGTACATTTTCACTGTTGATGATATTCATCTTCTTGATGGGCCACTTGCACAACGCATCGCTGTTAGTTGATTGCACGACCACGTCGAAGCATACAAGCTGGAGAACTTCCAGCTTCGGGCAAACGACTGCCAGCGCACACAAATCGATATCGGCAACGTGTTCGGTATCGTACTCTTCATCAGGGTCCCACTCGTCCGATTGGATTGATTGCGTGCGCAGCTCGCCACCAATAAGCCCGAGTAGATCCAGCAGCAAAGTATCGAGCTCGATTCTGCTCATGTGCATTCTCAGTGAGCGAAGACGACATTGATTTTGACTTTGATGCGTCAACTCCAATGCATCACGCTCAAAGCAAGCTGCCCCATCTCCAACATTAGTCAGGCAAACTCCGTATCCAGGGACGACCGCTTCTACACATTTCGATGTAATAACTGGGCAACGACGTGCTCGGCAGGTAAGCGCTTCTCCGGTAATGAGGTTCGAGCCTTCGACAGGTGGCGTCCGTACTGACCACAATGTTGCACCTTTAGGGATTGACACGAACCCGTACTCCGGAGAAACCTGAGGGGAAGTTGTGCGTGGATACCTATGTTTCAGCGCCTCTCGCATAGCAGCTACGTCAGCCTTAGTCAAGCTAGCACTGAGCATCGATAGCTCGTGCAACCCGACTACCGACGAACCACAGCACAGCATGTAAACCAGCCAGACCCACCGAAAGAGGTTAGTAGTGTAGACGTCGAGGCTGTTGAGCGGTTTGCCCAGCGATTGTAGAGCAGATCGCCGCAAATACCCCGTCGGTCACCGACGAGGACGATAAATCACACGTTGTGTACTTCGCGAAAGTCATCGAGGATCGAAATTCGTCAGCCAATTGGCACACCAAGCGTCCACGGAGTAGAGCATTCAGCGTTAAGCCACCGTTCTCCACGACAGCAGCCGAGTCCAGTTCTCTTTCTTCGTAATCATCTGCGATGAACAGTGTCAATGTGCTCATCGGATTTCGAGCCAACGCTGCAAGCATCCCCGTGAAACCCCTTGATTCAGCAAAATTAAGACCTCGTGTCATAATATATTGGCACAGTGTAGACGGAGAACTCGTCGGATCACCACCAGGAGTCGATTTGTTGCCTTCAAGACGGGGTCGCTTCGAGGCAGGAACCACCGTAGTCTCAACTTGCCTGACCAACTCCTCAACAACTGGGGGGACACCCAGATTCAATAGCGATGTTAACTTCGAGTCTTCGGATTCACCAAGCACTTGCCACCCCTGAATTTGTGAAGCTGGGAATCGGCACGTCCAGTGAAGTTCCGAGCCACGAAAATCCTCAGTCGCTCCCAACCTTTCCAGCTTTTGCATCGCCGATCGAAACTGCGACGACAGCACTGACAACGAGGTATCCACGAAGCCAAACAGAGCTTCCCATGTTGGTGGCTTGCTTGCTTGAGACAAAACTCCGACGGGCCACAGATCCCAGACAAGATGATGTTTTGCTGAAAGCTGCGGCAGATCCTCACTCAGGAGTTCTCTGAATTTCGTGCCGTCCACCTTGAAGAGAAGAGTGAAAAGCTCGATGGCCTCCTGAAGAAGTTGCGGTTCAGTTGGCGCTCCGGAATCTCCACTAGGATGGGATATCTTGCAGCGTCGTCTTCATCAACGTCTAGTGGGCACGGGGTTATGAGCATCATGTTGAGAGTGTGGCCCCTGCGCTTGGGCTCGTGGGAGCGCAGAGAGCCGAGCGCCATGGGTCCAGGAAATCCCACGCACCAGCCATCGCACGAAGTTCAAAACTGGCGTTCCACGAAGAGCTTGTAGCTCTGATTGGACAGAAGTCCTAAAGGAAACTTAATGCAAAATTTCAAAACTATTTGAAAAGCGCTATTGATATGAGAAAAAATATTGAACTAATTGAAATAATTACAATACCATCTAGGCGTCGAGTTCGTAAATTACCTTCGGCTCCACCGTTGAGCAAACTACGACGCTGATCAAGCTGCATCTGATCATCAGATGCAGCTTTCGGCCAGAACGGCAATTTCTCCGTAATGATCTACAGACACACTCGATTGAGGGCTTTGAGCTCCCACTCCACGTCCTCGTCAAATGGTTGAATCCGTTTGAGGGTTGTTTTGTCAGTTGAACGGCGGGGTCCCGTGAGCACCCTACGTTTCTAAGGACAAATTACTCTATATCCGTGTAGTAGCCGTGCCATCCTGTACATCGAACCGATCGTTGAACTGGAGTTGCTGCGAATCTGAAGATGATACTCAACGTATTTTCATCCAGATGAGGCACTGCTGGCTGCCTCACTTCAGACTCACTTGCCGCTGTCATAGTGCTCAACATGGCAATCTTCGCCTTGTCGAGAGCTTTTCCTTGGTGATAGGCAGACACTCCCCGTCGTGAGCTTCTAGCACATTTCTCTCCGCTTCAGCAAATTCTCCGGGATCCAGCCGAGAAACTCTCAGCTCCGTCAACCCCCGCGCCATTCGAGTTGCTGGGTTGTTCAGATACTGCGACAGGTTGGGCAATTTGGCGCTGAAGACAATATTTATCTTCTTGATGGGCCAATTGCACAACGCATCGTTGTTAGTTGATTGCACGACCACGTCGAAGTATACGAGCTGGAGAACTTTCAGCCTCGGGCAAACGGCCGCCAGCGCACACAAATCGATATCGGCAACGTGTTCGGTATCGTACTCTTCATCAGGGTCCCACTCGTCCAATTGGATTGATAGCGTGCGCAGCTCGCCGCCAATAAACCCGAGTAGATCCAGCAGCAAAGTATCGAGCTCGATTCTGCTCATGTGCATTCTCAGTGAGCGAAGACGACATTGATTTTGACTTTGATGCGTCAACTCCAATGCATCACGCTCAAAGCAAGCTGCCCCATCTCCAACATTAGTCAGGCAAACTCCGTATCCAGGGACGACCGCTTCTACACATTTCGATGTAATAACTGGGCAACGACGTGCTCGGCAGGTCAGCGCTTCTCCGGTAATGAGGTTCGAGCCTTCGACAGGTGGCGTCCGTACTGACCACAATGTTGCACCTTTAGGGATTGACACGAACCCGTACTCCGGAGAAACTTGGGGGAAGCCGAGCTTGGATATCTATTTCTCAGAACCACTCGCATACCGGCTATATCTGCTCTAGTCAAGCGAGCACCGATCATGGAGAGGTCTTGTAGTTTGCCAGCCGACGATCCACAGCAAAGCATGTAAGCCAGCCACTCCCACCGAATGCGGTTTGCCGCGCAGACACGAACGCTATTGAGCAAATTGTCTGATGGCATTTCGGCGATTGTAGAGCAGATCGCCACAAATACCCCGTCGGTCACCGACGAGCAGTATATATCACACGTGTCATACTTCGCGAAAGTCAATGAAGATCGAACTTCGTCAGGCATTTGGCACACGACGCGTCCACGGAGCAGAGCGTTCAGCGCAAAGCCACCGTTCTCCACGACAGCGCATAAGTCCACATCTCTGCCACCGTAATCATCTGCGATGCACAGTGTAAATGTGCTCATCGGAGTCCGAGCCAAAGCTGCAATCACTTCAATGAAGTCCCTTGATTCAGCAAAGTCCACATCTTTTGCCACCACATATCGGCACAGCGTCGACGGAGAACTGATCATCTCACCAGCAGGCAGTGGTGACTTGTTGTCTTCAAGGCGCGGCCGCTTCGAGGCAGGAGCCACCGTTGACTCGTCTTGCTTGGCCACAAGCTGAAAAACTGGGGAAACACTCAAGCCCAGTAGCGATGTCAACATGGATGACCTCGAGTCCCCCGCATCGTCAAGCACCTGCCACCCCTGTACCCGTGCTGCTGAGAACCGGCATGCCCAGTGAAATTCCGAGCCACGAAAATCCACAACCTCAGTCGTTCCCAACATTTGCAGCTTGCGCATCGCTGGTCGAAACTCCGCCGAAAACACGGACGAACTATCCGGAGCGCCAAGCAAAGCTCTCCATGTTGGAGGCTTGCTTTCTTGGGACAAAACACCCAACGGGCCGAAGATTCCAAACTACTTGGTGTTTAGCTGACAGCAGCGGTAGATCTTCAGTCAGGAGCTCTCTGAACTTCGCGCACAATGGAATACTGATTTTTTCCGAGGCCTGGTTAAGAGCAATATTATTGATATATATTTTAAATATATATTACACATAATTTAATTATTTAGAGAAACATTCGAATAGGTACTGTACATTTTCTGTTGTTGATGTATTCACTCAGCTCTTTAAAGCTTTTAAAAAACACTAACAAAGACCACTCAAATACATGCCTTAATACGTAGACTCAGGATGTTGGCTCCCCGTTTGTGAATTGTGACTCACGGGCATTCCGTCTGACCGATAGTGAGAGAAACTAGGGCGACGATCACCACCGCAGCAACGCGAGACATCTCAGCTCAGCTTGCTGATTGCGTGCTTGCTCAACCCCCTCAATAGGCGGACAACCCCCTACACCTTGTAGTCAACTCCAAGCGTTCTTACTTCAACTGCACACTTCTCAAACATGAAGGCGCAACCTCGAACGACGTTCTTCTCGAAATCCGCCGTCCTGGCAGGACGGCGAAAGTCCGGCAGCACCTTCATAAGAACAACGAAATAAAGTTGAACCTTCTTGAGCTGCACATCTTTCAGATCATCGTGGACTGCGAGTTTGTGCAACAAGTTGACGGAGTATCGATGTTGGTAGCAGTGGCGATCTGCGCGTGTAACTTGGACGAATTTCACCAGACCATTTAGTCTATCGACAAACACAACCTGCTTCGTTCCACTGCAGCGGAGTGATCCAGACTGGCCGGTTAAGGGGCATATCAAGCGAAGCCTTGGTTGGATCGAAGAAAAGAACGTCTGCTCGCTGTAAGTCCTTTTGCGACTTGGTAAGACCCTCCATCACGCATTCGACCCCATGGGTCTTTACTGTAGACAAAAACCACGCTTCAAACAGCCATTCCTTCGTCGCCGAACTCCACCCGCGCGCCCTTGCTACTTTGCATAGCATCGGAGAGCCTCGACTGACAGCGATTTTCCTCACGACGTAGGCGCTCATCGCCATTTCACTACTTATCCCTGAACGATAGCATAAAACGTAAGTCCTGTAGCGAGAGCTGGGTTTGCCCGCCTGAAAGGTAAGCCAAAAACAAAAACAAATATTGCGTCTCCTTCCTACTTGCGAGCCGTCTCGTAGTTGGCTTCAAACCACGCTGTAGCTTCTCTCAGTCCTTGTTTAATCGTCGTAAACTGAAAATCCGGCAGCAGGCGACGTAGTTTGGCGTTGCTAGCCGTCTTCTTGAACTGTCCGTCCGCTTTGCTCTCATCGAAGACGATCTCCCCATTGAAGTCCATGGCATCTGCAATCTCGCGAGCAACGTCTCCGATCGACACCTCGTCCTCCTCGTCCACCGACAGGATCAGCGGCTCCACGCTGTCGTAGTGGCCCAGCACCCACACCATGAGCTTGGCCACGTCGTGGCTCGAGATGAACTGGCGCAGCGGCTTGCCACTGCCCCAGATGACCAGCGGCGTCGCGTCCCTCTTGGCCAGGTAGCACTTGTGGATAAGTCCGGGCACCACGTGGCCGACTTGGATGTTGAAGTTGTCGTGCGGCCCGTAGATGTTGGTGGGGATGACGGACGTGAAGCGGCAGCCGAACTGGTCGGCGTAGCAGCGGTTGAGCGTGTCGATGAGCCTCTTGGCCATGGCGTAGCCCTCGTTGGAGCTGTGCGGCCTGCCGTTATGCAGCATGCTCTCGTCCAGCGGGTACGTCGTCTCGGCCGGGAAGACGCACGTGGACAGACACGACACGAGCCTCTGGACGTGGAACTGCTGGCAGTTCTGCAGCACCGAGTCGTTGATGGCCATGTTGTCTCTGAAGAAGTCCACCTTCCTCGCCAGGTTGTGGAAGAGCCCGCCCACGAGCGCCGCCAGGTGCAGCACGTGCGTGGGGCGCACTCGCTCGAAGAGAGCGCGTGCCTGGCTGGCGTCGCGCAGATCCGCGTCCTTGGAGCCCACGAAGTGCCACTCGTCTGGGTCCGACGGGCCTCGCGTCGCCACGACGTCCTGCAACGCGTGGCCGACGAGACCCGTGCCGCCAGTGACCAGGACGACACGCCGAGGCTTGGCGGAGGAGGCGTCAAGGTGCTGGTCGCCCATGCTTGTCAAATATTGCGATCTTCCAAACGTGAAGTGGAAAAAGATCAGTTATGTGCTGTACACAACTGATGTCTTGAGCAATGCTGGATGGACACCCAGAGACGCTGTATCGAAGAAGTTAAATGTTATTTGCCGTCTTGGCATTGTATTAACCTATTTACTGCTTCTCCACGACCGAGTCGTCCCGGTTCAGGTACTGCAGCATCGAGTCTTCGTAGATCTTGACGTCCTTGAATCCCATGACCTGCTCCAGCGCGAACGCCGTGTGCGCTGCGCGGATTCCCCTCTGGCAGTACGTGATCACGGGTTTGTCCTTGTCCAGGTGGAAGTGGTCCACAAAGACCTTGTCCAGCTCCTCCTTGCTCTTGAACTTGCCGTTCTGGGTGAAGTCCACGCCCTCCATCCAGTTGAAGTTGAAGGCGCCGGGCACGTGCCCAGTCCGGGCGTTTCCATTGGCGTCCTCCCCCCAGTACTCGCCCAAGGACCTCGTGTCCACAAACTGGGCGGACGCATCGGCGATTCCGTTCTGCACGGCGTTAAAGCCCACCAATTTCTGGGTGTCCACCGGCTGCGTCCAGAGCGTCGAGGTGGACACCTCTCTGTCCTCCGGTGGACCCATCTCCACCTCGTTGTCCTCCGCCGCCCACTGCTTGACGCCTCCGTCCAGCACCTTGAGCTGCTCTACCGGGAAGCCGTAGTGGCGGAACACCCACCACATGCGCGTGGCCTTGAGGCTCATCTCGTCGTCGTAGAACACGAGCGTCGCGTGCGCCGGCACCTGCAGCGACTGCAGCACGCCGGCGAACAGCTGCGCGCTCACGACGCCCGTGGCCTGCGGCGTCGGGTCCTTGAGCAGCGACGCGGCCAGCGGCAGCGGCACCGCGTCCGGGAGGTGGCCGCGCGGGTAGGACGCCGGGTGGTTGCAGTCGAACAGCAGCAGCTCCGGATCGCCGGACTCCTGCGCGTTGCGCACCCACTTGGCGTCCACCAGGGCGGAGAGCGAACGCGCAGCGGAGGTAGAACGCAGAGAGAACGCGCTGCGGCGCAGGGGAGAACGCACCAGACGCAGCGACGAGATCATGGCCGTGGAAGGTGGAATAGTGCCCCGCGGATGATTGGCTTGGAATCGTGTGATGCACATAAATTAACATAAATTAACGCGCAGGCGGGCTACGCTTAGGCTGGGATAAATTTCAGGGGTTTTGGCACCAAATAGTATGCTCTGTCTGGTGGGGTACGGTAGTCCGTTCAAATTGTTTTCGTCTCACGACTACCAGCGACATTGGAGTACTTCGCTGACATCCGGGGACATATCACGACAATCAAAGAGGAATCCGACCGCAACAACGATCGCTGGAATTTTAACGATCCACCGCTTCTTTTGCCTAGCAAGTGATAAGAAGCGCTATGAATTCAGGCGGCTTCGTGAGCGATACCTTTATGAATATTCTGGCGCATTATATAAGTTCTTAGTAAATGCCGCACTTTAGCATGTCTTGTCATTTTCTGGTCCTAAATTTGTGGGCGTCGCAATGTTAGTATCCTACATACTAACGGCGATATACTACACTTGGTAGCGCGGTCACATTTCTAGTCGACGAGACGCGCGCCACAGACACCCCTACCAACTTGAAAACTAGTCGTTCGTAGCGGTCGTGGCGAGCATAGCGTTAGGCTTCCATTATTTGAGCGATTGAACCATCCGCCACTCGTTTTCGCAACTCTCCAAACTGCTACTTGTTAGATAGTTTCTCAAAGCAGGGGGTAAGAGGTTCTCTATTTGCGTTTAAACTATAGTCCTGTAATCGCTGTAGGGTGTTCCGAATCGAATAATGTAGTTCTCAAAGCAGTATTTGTATACAGCAACGGAAAAATCCTGCGCTATGAACCGTACTATGGGGAATAGTTTTTCCTCTCGAAGCGTCGAGTACTTTTTAATACAGAAGAATACTTAAAACATTCTGCTGTTTCTTCAAACCATGGCATTAATGTAATGATCTCAAACCAAATTCATGAACCAATGTTCAACACACTAGAATATCCCCCCATTCGTTGTTTTTCATCTTTAGCGCGTCGCGCTTCTGGCAATTCTTCCTTCATATCACTGAAACGTAATCCTGCACAAGTCGTCCTCTAAACAGTCAATATATAAGTCGTCTCGCCAACATGCATGAAAATTTACACTTTACAGTAAAAAAAAACTTGGCCGCACTTATCTTTCAATGCACTAGTTTCGCACGTGCAACAGTTCACATTTTGGCAAGGAGACAGGCCTGTCGAAACAAGGTTTGCAGCAACGTTTGCGCGTTCCTAGTCGTCAGGGGGCCTGCGTGGTGGTACTGCCGCAATCGTTGTAGCTCACGAGGCAGGAAGCGTCTAGGTAGGTAGGTAGGTAGGCACGGCATCACCAATCTGCGCGATCAGGCCGAATTCGAAATGCGTTCACGGGCGCAACACGATTGATATTTAGCTCTACTAGGAGACAGAAAGTGATATTGCCTCAGTTACTGGCTTCAGTAACCGGGTCACCAACAGAAAGACAGTGACACGGGACCACGGATACCGGCCTCAGCTACCGGCTTCAGCTACCGAGGTGCGAATAGGGCTGCCTAGCAGCATGACCTATCGGCCACTGGGTGCCTGCCAAAAGGGTCATAAGGACCCGGAGTAAATGCAGCAGATATGCTCGGTATAAGCTAACATAAATCTCGTGAGACCGGAAAATCGTCTCGATAAACTGGCGGTAATGCCGTGTACCCATCTTAACGACTTAGTTCGACTTTGTATTGAATATGTCGACCATCATTCTTGTGAAGATCGCCTCGCCTGTCAATGACAGGCTGTCATATATCTTCTTCCACCAGCCGCTTGTGAATCGCGCGTCGAACAGCTCCCAGGTCCTTGTTGTAGCTCACGTAGGCCTCGCACGGCACACACAGAGCGTCGCACGTATCATTCTGGAGCTCCATCACCGCGGCAGCGTGGGCAGAAAAGTGCTCATATCGTAAATGAGCATGCTGAGATAAACTGCAGAAAGATCTAGCCATAGGAATGTCCGGAGCAAAGTGACGCTGTAGGGCGAATAGAGGTGGTACTTGGGTATTTGTAATCGGACGGAGTTGTTGTCGATAAGCATGTTGTGGCGGGTGCAACTAGGCTATATGTCGACATATCTACCCGCATATCTGCGGTAACTATGTTAGGTCCTTATGACCCTTTTGGCAGGCACCCACTGCTATCCCAGCATAAAAACCAAGGAAAATATGGCAAAAGTTACTTGGCGCTCAAAAGGAGACCGCTGACGCTTTAACCTGAAGGGCTGTTCGGTAATTTGTCGTATTGCTTAGGAGTATCCCTCGGAAGACGATTGATCGAGTTCGTGCATTTTTTACGAGAAAGCCGTCGATGACGCGCGGCATGGATCGGTACGATATCGGTCGCCTCCTTAACTACCTGGCATTTTTGTCGAGTATTGGCATAATGTGGCTCTTTGTCGTTGAGACCCTCCACCGATCGGTCATCCGAATTTCTTCAAGTGCATCACTTGGAGTGAAAGATCAGACTTTCAAATTCTAATGAAGAAAAAAGTAGTCAAAAATGAATAACTGGTATTTACGTGACGACAGTGGAGATGGCTTGGGCGACAACATCCGAAACCTTACATTTGTTTTCGCGTCAACACCAGCACAAAGGATAGTGCTCTGTTACTAGGGACGCGTCGGTAAATACTACTACTTGTTAAGTCTTCATTGAAGCGCTCCCGCTTATCCCAAATCGTAAAAAAGAAAAATCGGCTTTCACATCAGAATAGATCTCGATCCGAGAAATGGCCATGATATCCACCACAACGAACCGACCGTTGAACTGGAGTTGCTGCGAAGCTGAAGATAATACTTATCCGCATCCAGGTGGCACACAACTTCACGGTCACCTGCAGCCCTGCTCCCCCCCACAATGCTCAGCATGGCGATCTTAGCCTCTGTCGGGTTTTTTTCCTTGGTGATAGGCAGAAAATCACCATCGTGAGCTTCAAGTAGATCTCTCGCTGTTTCACCAAACTCTTCATCATCCAGCGCGGAAATTATCAGCTCCATCAGCCCTCGAGCCATTCGCGCTGTTGGGTTGCTCAGATATGGCGCCAGATTTGGTAGGTAGGTTTAAGCTGCCAACAACGTTAATCTTCTTGATCGGCCACTTGTATAAAGCGGTATCACTTGGCGAGAGCACAACCAAGTCAAACAATACAAGCTCAAGTACTTCCAGCTTCGGGCAAGCAGCAGCTAGCGCGCATAAATCTATATCGGCCACGCGTGCAATATCATACTCGTGCTCAATGTCTGGGTCGTCTAATTTAACCGAGAGCTTGCGTAGATTACCACCGATGATCGTGAGCACGTCCGACCAAACGCAATTTCAGCGAGCGAAGACAACTCTGATTTCGACTTGAAGGTGTACCTCTCGCTACCTTCGCGTAGTAGATTGGCGCCTTGAAATCAACCTCCAGCGTTTTCACCTCAGGCGTCAAGCAATACCAGTATTGGAGAAATAGACAAAGGTGGTGTTTACCAGCACAGCACGCGAAGCGTTGGCTCACACGTGTCGAATAATGAATAGGAATTGGTCAGCGAGAATCGTCAAAAAATAAAATGAGGGTTAATCGAGATACCTGATAGCCGCCTCCGTAGCTCCTGTACCTACGGCGTCGGTTATGTCGCTTTTCTTATTGTCCTCTTCGTATCGGTCGTATTATAGTAGTAGGGCGATATTTCGTAATCAACTCCAACCGTTTTCACTTCAGCCTTGGAGCTTTCAAACACGATATCACCGCGGGTACGAGAACCCCTGCTTGTGCCGTCGCCGGAGAAGGGCGACCTTGGACGATGTTCTTGAAACCCGTCGATTTCACAGGACGCTGAAAGACGGATATTCGACACCTCGGAACAACATAGGAGAGCTCAACCATCTTGAGCTGCACGTCTTTCAAATCGTCGTGAGTTGCCAGTTTGTCCAAAAGCTCCACAAAGTATCGGTGGTCGAAGCTATGGTGATCCGCAAGAGTTGCAAGAGTAACCTGAACGAACCGCTCCAGCGCATTTGCCTTGCCCACGAAAACGGCGTCAAAACCCACTTCGCTCCACTGCACGGGAGTGATCCACGTGGGGCGATCCAGTCGTAACTCGATAGAAGGCTTGACCGGGTCAAAGAATTTCACATCCGATCGCCCCCATTGCCCTCGGACCTGGTCAGGACCTCCCTCCACGAATTCGATTCCGGCTGTATTCAACATCGATAAAAACCACGCTTCCATCAGCCATTCATCCATCATGTCGACAACGCACCGGCTTGCAATTAACCTCAACAGCTGAAAACTGTGAGTGAGAGCAAGTTTCCGTGCAACGTAGGCGCTTATCAAAGGTGTGTAGTAAAGGTCTAAACACCCCTGATCCTTGTAATAAACTGCCCTCAAACGATCGACGACCCCGACGTCCCGCACGTGACGAATTCGTTCATCTAGTGACTCCACAGCTTTATCGATCGAAACGTCAAACATCAGCCTTGCACTTCCACCGGCCACACAGTATTTCATTTCCAGTAACTCCATTCTTTTGTTCGCTTCTTCATTCGCATCCTCCGATTCAGAATACGGAGGAAAGACGTTCTTCACAGTTTCGAAAAACTTTGGGTGTCGAATTGCGTTTGCATAGTCTTAAAAACTCCAGGATAGGAGCTCAAAGCTGTTTATGTTGTTCACTTTCTGCATCATCGCATTTTTCTCCCCCGACGTTGCGCCGTCAACGTCTGCTTCACCAGTACGACTGGAGCTTGGAGTTGCTAGTTCCACACCATGCAACCCCCACCCGCTTCCAGCAAACACAGCAGGAATTTTGCTGGCGCGTTCAGGTCGGAAGTTTCCACTCGTCCGAAGTGTTGAGCACACGATAACCAATCGATGCTTGGTGGCGTCTTCCCTTGCCAGTCCCTGCAGATAATCCGTGCCTCTCTCTCTTCTTTCATATTAAAGTCATATCCATCGAGAAACAGGATGGTCGTCTTCTCGGTCGACGTCTTACTGAGTAGCCACGATAGCTGGGACTCGAGCGTTGACATCTCCAGAGTACACATTACCTTCTCGTTCCCTCGTAGCCAGACGAAGTTAACAACTTTGTCCTTGTAAGAAAGGTGAAGCCAAATCACATCCCATCGAAACGGCTCTAGAGCGTAGGCAAACGCAAGCGTGGTACACGATTTCCCAGCCCCAGGAGGACCGACGATCCACAACAGCGCATACGTTCGGACGGAGTTACGATACATCTCCTTCCACTGCTCCAGAAACTGAGGTCGGCAGAAAAGCGTCAGCGGTTCTTCACAATCTCGAAGCTCCAGGCCGGAGCCACGAGTGCATCCCACAGGCAGCTCGTGCACTCGAGTGTCGCCGAACAGAGGGACCCGTAGACGAGCTTCACATTGGGTTCCTACCATTTTGAGCGTCTCGAACGGGAAAATGATCTCCGAACCGCGATATAAGCTCGGAATAACTACGATGAGCGCATGTTCGATGTCCTCACCTAGACCAGACACTAGATCGGAGGGCTCCAGAGGCTCATGCTGCTTGTTGAACGCGTCGCGGTTCTTGAATACGCGCAGTTGACTCTCAATAAGACTCTGGAACCGCTTCAGGTCCTTCGCGTAGACCTCCGCACAAAAATCCTGGATATCAAACACGCGGATGCGTCGAACTGCACTTGCTCTAGTGTGTGCAAACGGACCGCCCGTGGCCGCATTCACCAACTGGTACCAGATTTTAGCCGACATCGTATCCTCACGGCGAATTCTCCAGTGATGCCGATAGACTAGCTTTACAAAATTCCTACCCGAAATTTAGCCTTTGAAAACGCATTACAGCATCGATTCTTTCAAACTAATCACAAAATCTGCGCAACCTGGTGGCGATGTGGCTCATTTCGGTGACTGGCTACTTAGATGCTTACAGCTACATCGTTGTATGAAGTTAGTAGAGTCGCACCTTTCCAGTACTCCACTAACATAAAAAATGCCCCCATAATAATGGAAAAATGGTTTTATGAAAAGCTGCTAGATTGCGACCTACTTGACAGTCTGAGTAATCATGCAAGTTTCATCCATCACCTTTGCTGGCGGATAATAAACTAGCCCAGTTACTGCTACCTCTGCGCAGCGTACAACTCATTCGTCACACTGGACCGATCGTTGGACAGGGGTCGAGACGAAAGCGAAAATTCGGCCCAAGCTCAGCGCATCCAAAAGGTGCACAGCCTTGAGTGAATTCCCTCCTTTCCTGCTTCTCACGACACTGATCAGTGCAGCCTTCGACTGATTGGGAAGTCTCTCCTTCGTTAGAGACAGACACTCGCCGTCGTGGGCATTCAGTGCCTCGATTTCGTCAATGTCGTAGTTCCAATTGTAATCCCCAGACACTTTCAGCACCGCTAGCTCGCGCGCCATTCGATACGATTGATCGTTCAAGCAAGGCTCGAGATCCGGGAGGCTCTCTGAGTCGTAAATCTCGATCTCCCGGACCTTCCAAACGCGCAACGCATTGCTGCGCACAGTCACCACCACATTAAATCTGCTGACGTCGAGATCTTCCAGGTCAGGGCAAGCCTCCGCGAGCCCACTCAGATCCAGCGTAGCTTGCGTTGTTGAATCCTTTTCATCGTCCATTTCCCGATTTCTGCAGATTGAAAGTTCTTTCAACCGCCAAGCTGCTAATCCTATCAGGTCCGTCACCAATACCCCCTCTTCCATTGCATCAACGCTAAGCGTAAGAGCGCGTACGCAGGCAGATGGTTGTCTCGGAAAGAGTGAACTCTCTGGAGCATCGCAAATGAACTCACTAACTCCATCGTTCAGCACAACTCCGCAAAGTCCGTACCCAGGGATAACAGCATCAACCGATTGAGGAGAGAGCAGGGTCCCGCCGTGCTCGACAACGAGCCGGACTTGACACCTCAGGCATGATTTCTTCTCCACTAGGTAAAACCAGTCGAAGCTGTGCTCCTTGATTTATTTCAACAAACCCGTACTCTGGTGGGGGCCCAGACTTGTGTCTTGAACTTATTTCAGGGAATTTGTTCTTCAGCGTCGATTTGGCAGCGCCCAAAGCCGCTTTTGTCAAACAAACATCTCCAATGTGTAGCTCTTCCATCGAGAAATTTGACGATCCACAAGTCAGCGCATACAGTACCCACACCAGTTGATCCTGAGTGGTAGATTGTGCTCCTGAAATGTCGAGCCTGTCTACTTTCCTTATCAAGCCCAAATCCGCCACGGCAGAACAGGTCGCTGCGATTATTGTGTTCGACAACCAGTCGCACTTCAAGTTCAGCTCGTCATACTCCACGTCACGAGTGATGGGCGGGAAATTGAGATTTCCTAACGTTTTTCCACAAGTTGAGCGCCCACAGAGCAGTGTACTCACTAAATACCCAGCGTTCATCGTAGAGTCCACTCTGTCAGGATCGTCACTCCTACCATACTCAAGCGACAAACACTGTGTAGCAGCTCGTACCAGCGCTGTCGTCAACGCGGGGATCCCTGGTTGTGAGAAGTCCAGATGATCAATAAGGATTATTGAGCTCGATGCTGACTGGGCATTTGTCGACCTACGGCAGCTTTGTGGCGCTGGTGTAGACGCCACGGGAGCATAAGTCGCCAGACGTGTTTTGTGCAAACGTTTCATGACATTCTCAGCATTTCCAGTCGCGAACAACTGAACTACGGGAGGTACGTCGGCGTCAAGAAGCTTCTTCAGCTGAGTTGAGAGCGGCTTCGGTGCATCTCCAGGTGGGTCAGCTTCGCATTGACCTTCAGCATTGACAGTTGAGTTCTTGATGTCCCATTCGAGAGTGAATTCGCTGAAGTCGTACAGCTTCAGAGCCTCGTTCAGTCCCATTGCTTCCAACTTGTCCATGGCTTCCCGAAACTCCGTTGAGTTCATCGAGGGGTCGTCTGGAAACCCAAGTAGAGCGCCAAAGCTTACGTGGTACTGCGTTGCAGCGGGGTCTCGAGACGGTAAAGTACCGAAGAAGCAAAATATCCATTGCGGGTGATAGCTGAACACCATATCTGGCATTGACAGCGGGTATGTGAAAGTGTCGACCCATCAGATCCGTGTACGCCTTGTTATCGACTACACCCACAGCCGATATCAGCTCAATCGCTTCGCGAAGATGCTGCACACGCTTTCGATCTTGTCGATTGAGTTCATCCACGGAAAGTCGGAGGTAAAACAGGGTTGGATTGACAGCTCGCGGGGCTAACGTTTGGGTAGAGGGGCTGGACGGATATCTGCAGCTCCGATCCAGGACATCCAGGCTCGAGCTCTCCGTACAGTAGCATGCTAGCCCGTAAAGTAGACAGCCATGGATGGAGGAACGCCCACTTCGAGTCCATCGCTGAGAAGAAAACGGGAATGAGTGGTGGAGTGAGGGAAACATGAAATGTCAGTTCAATAGCTGTCAATCAAAGTAGTTAGTACTATCCGATTGGTGGTATATACGATTTATTTTTATTATTACATATATACAATATACAATGTATTTTGATTCTTTACGTGTTCGTAAAAAAAGAAATATGAGCACGTACTTATTAATATTTGGCACTGCAATTTTTTCTCGTGTTGTTAATACTACAGTACGAAGTATTAACGAGGGGCTTGCGGGCCTAACACGAAACTGTTCTGATCGCACTGCTCTCTTCTGTCTCTGCCAAGCACACAATTCATTTGTGACAGCGAACCGATCGTCGGACAGGTGTCGAGACGAAAGCAAAAATTCGGCTGAGGCACAATACGTCGAGAAGGTTCACGGCCTTGCGTTGTCTTCTGCTTTTCACGACACTGATCAGTGCAGCTTTCGACTCGCTGGGAAGTCTGTTCTTCGTCAGAGCCAAATAATCACCGTCGTGACTGTTGAGCGCCAGCATTTCGTTGATGTCATACTCCCATTGGTAAGAAGCAGACACTGTGAGTATCGCTAACCCGCGAGCCATTTGATATGAAGGGTTATCCAAACACGGCCCCAGATCCGGGACAATCGTAGAACCGTAAATCTCAATCTTCCGGATACGCCAAGTCCGCAATGCATGACTCCGAGAGCCCACTACCACGTTAAATCCAATGATGTTGAGCTCTTCTAGATCTGGACAAACCTCCGAGAGGATACTCAGATCCAGCACAGGCTGAGTCGTTGGGTCCCTCTCGGTCTTCCTCTTGCGAACGAAAAGGCTCATTACCCTCCAGCAGATTAAACCTAGGAGGTCCGTTACCAACGCGCCTACTTCGACACTTTCAAAGCTAAATGTAAGGGAACGGATGCTATTCCACAATGCTCTCGACAGTACCGAGTTTCCTTGGCCATCTCGGACAAATTCGCTGACTTCATCTCTCAAGATAACTTTGCAAACTCCGTATCCAGGGACAACAGCATCAACCAATTCAGGTGAACTGAAAGGGTCGTACCGTGCTCGGCAACGATACGGGCTTGACACCTCGAGCACGGTTTCTTCACCATTAGGCAAAACGAGTTGAATCTGAGCTCCTTGCTTCAATTCGACAAATCCGTACTTCGGTAGGTTCACTGACCCCTGATCTTGAATTACTCCAGGGAACTTATTCTGCAACGTTGCTTTGGCAGCAGTCAAAGCTGGCTTCGTCAAGGAAACACCCTCGCATTGGAGCGTACCAATCGACACACTTAAAGACCCACAACACAGCGCATATAGCACCCACGACAACCGATTCTGAGTAGGAGATTGCGTTCGTGAAAACCCCAGCCAGTCCACCTTCCTAATCGAGCTCAACTCCGCTACGGCAGAACACGTCGCAGCAAAGACGCCGTCTGGCGCCCAGTCGCAATTCAGATCCAAGAGGCCATACTCCACATTACGAGCGATAGACGGAAAGCTGAGATCTCCTAGTGTTACTCCACAGATTGAGCGGCCACTGACCAACGTACTCAGTAAATACCCAGCACTCATCACCGACTGTGCAGTATCGACCATGTCGTATTTACGATATCCCAGCGAGAAATACTGAATTGCGGTTCGTGCTAACGCCGTTGTCAGCTCTGGTATCCCTGATTCTGAGAAATCCAGATTAAACGCATAAATTGTTGGGTGCAATACAGGTTGGTCACCATTCGATCCATCGCATAATTGCGCGGCTGGAGTGGCTGACAAGGGATACTTTAACACCACACGAGTTTCTTGCAAACGTTTCACCACACTCGCAGCATTTCCGGTCGCGTGCAGCTGAACTACTGGGGGTACATCACTATCAAATAGTTTCTTTAGATGAGTTGACAAAGGCCTCGGTACATCGCAAAGAGCAGGACAATACCGCCCTCCAATGTTACCAGTCGAGTTCTCAGTAAGCCAATCGATAGTGAATTCACTGAAGTTGTAGAGCTTCACAGCTTCTTTCAGACCCATTGCTTCCAAGTTATCCATGGCTTTTTTGAACTCCGCCGAGTCAACCCATGGATCTTTTGGAAATCCAAGCAGAGTGCCAAAGCTAACGTGGTACTGCGTTGCAGCAGGGTCTTGAGGCGATAAAGTGCCGAAAATGCAGAATATCCACTTCGGGTGATGGGTACAGGCCTCGTCAGGTTCGACGGACATGAGCTGCTGGAACGCTGCATTGTCGACAATAGCCACTGCCGAGACCAACTCAATCGCTTCGCGGAGATGCTGTAAGTGCTTTCGGTCGTGTCGATGGACTTCATCCACTGAAATCTTGACGTAAATTACATTTTCCTCCACATTTTTTGCTTTTGGATAGAGGGGCGAGAGGATAATCTGCTGGTCCGATAATACCCGCTCCAGTTCAGGCTCGCCGCACCCTAGTACACTACCCCACAGGGTAGACAGCCAAGGATCGAGAAACGTCCAGTCGGATTCCATTGTCGGCAAACCGAAAGTGAGGGAGGGAAATGCCCTATATCTGAAGAAAGTGTCACTTCACGAGAATGACAGCTTCTTACCCCGGATGATTGAAAGCAGGCGAACACTTCATGCCTTTGGAGAGAACGCATCGCTCGGTGGGGGTGGAAGAATCAATTGAAGCGCATGTGGATTGTATAGCTTCAATTCATATGTAGACTGGGCGACAGAAGTATTCAGTGGCATCCTGGCCAACTGTGTTCACTTCCTGTCCAATTGGTAAGGCTTTTCGGCCCTCCTATTGTCTGCGCTTGCCGGTGCAGATCGGAAGTTGCCACATTTCGCAAATGGTCAATGTGAGAACGACAATGCGAGATTCGATCGATCCGACCACCGCCGAGTTGACAGTTGCGTTGGCTCGGACTCCCAAAAAATATATTTCACAGAATCCCAACGAAGTGGCTGGATACTTGTTGGCAAAATTCATTTGCCGTAATGTTTGTCTTCTGACCGGCGAAACATTTCGATTCCAGTTGTGGAATATCGGACCCCTTGTGACATCTGCCACAGCTTCACGTAGTGCATTAGCGCCGTCCGACATTTCATCGTACTCGCCGTTCTCCAGACTAACTTCTGTCAATGTTGCAATCAAATGAAAATTCCCCCGCTCTATGGTTTGTATTCATTCGAGAAGGAGGCAAGCTGCACCCAGCCTGACTAGATGGCGACAATGATGGTTTTATTCTATCTACCTCACGACGATGACGAGCCCTTGTCCCGTGACCGGGCATACTGGGCCCGTGCCAGGGGTCCGTGCGCCGAGCTCGTGTGAAGGTCTCAGTGGAGACGTGGCTACATCCTACACCGGGTACCCGTCTTAGGGTACTTGGAGTTGCTGCTGGCTTCGTGAAGGCACAGTTCCCGTCCGAGTGGGACTGACTGAGGTCCAAGGGGATCTCTATTCCCGCCTAGGACGGGTGTCGTGCAAGTGGAACTATGGTATTGAACGTGAACGCGGATGGGTTGTCACTCGAGGATGGAGGACATGCAGAGCGACCTCCGAGGCACAAAAGGAGAGGTGTCACCCGTAGGAACGAGGGCGGCTGTGCCGACCCTCGATATGTAGAATCAGTCATGAATCTTCCCTGTCTTAAAGACACAACAACAACAAGAGAGCTTTTGTATAGTTTAGTTAAGCTTACTTGTTAACCCTCTCTAAAGCTCGTCTGCTCTATCACCTTCGACCCCTTGCGAGCCTCCTTCTCTCCGAACAGTCTCAGCGTGCCAACCCCTGACGGAGGAGGTACACGACACCCTGTACGACCCAGCCGATAGGTTTTCGAGTCTTCATACCAGCCATGCAGGATACGGAACTTCCACAGCAAAACTTGGCGACAGACTCAAATTATCCCCGATTGTGACCAGCCAGTCTTCCCGGAGAAACCATTGCCCGGGTCACCGACACTCAACCATGTCGTGATCGAGTCTTTCCACCGCGCTGATGAAGCTGCTGAAGTTGGCCAAAGTAATTTTTGTTCCTTAAAACGGTATTAGCGAACTCAACGATGCCGAAGCCGGAATTCATATTGATCTGTCCGCGCTGGCTACGCATGCCCCGCTCTTCAGCATTTGCCCATTACAAAATATGGCGTGGTGATGTCTGCCCACGACGAGTCTTTACGCCGTTGGCCCATCAAGGCGATCACCTCGAATATATTCAGGAACGTTGTCCGACTTGATCGGATGTTTGAGAGACACCACACTACGAATGGCTCAAGAACTCGTCAAACTTGCAGTGACAATTCCATCGACGTATTATAGATGATGAGAAAATGAGGGAGATCAATGTATTCGACCGCTGGTTCTTGCCCATGAGCAAGAAAAACTCCCAACCGGCTCAAAGGCTGCAATGATTAGTGTTATCATGGCCGCAATCCGGAGTGGGTGGGTCGTTGCTCCGGAGTGGGTGAATATATTTGAATATATGAAGCAGTTAAACTACCAGCTGGAGTCTTTCGCCTCCTACTCGTTAAAACTAACAGCTTGAGTCTTTCGTCTCCTCCTCGTTGTAAGAAGCAAATGCGCTAGCGCTTGATGTCGAAAAGCACGCTTGTGCCAGCTGATTCCATTCCATTCGCTCCACTACCTCGGGATCCAGGTTAATCTTGACATTGCTTGGAATGTGTTCGTCGACTTCGGATGCTTTCAGCTTTGGGCACTGGCACACATCGACAAATGACCGGTGTTGATGAAGGAAGCAAGCCATGTCGATATTAGCCGTGCTTGTAGAAGCTCGCAGGGCAGTCACCATTTGCCCACTGTGGCCGAAGTCCCTTTCAATCTGAGCAGACGAAGATGGGACTGCAAACAGGATGCGAGCAACCACGGGTAGCAAGACGTAGCGCTTGGACTGCTGCTGCCGATGCCAAAATTCCAGGATACTCTCCGGTCTGCGGACGCTCGTCTTAGCTGGATCAGGAACTGTTATCATCTGCAGCCCATCCGAATCTTCTAACCACCTTTTCAGCTCACCGGCGATGGGAGCATCGTGCTCGTTACGTTGTTGAGCAGGTCGTTCGGTGCTTCGGAAGGGTTGAACTGCAAAGGTTGCCAAAATGTCGTCTTAGAAAACATTGGCCTGCACAGCTGGAGCAGCAATCGGATCAACGGGTGCTGGGTCTTGACTGTTGGCTACTAAGCGCATTAGCGACTTCAAGCGCTTCAAAATTGCAGCTTGAACGGCGACAACATGACCAGCGACAAGATCATCCCGCATTCTCCCTTCAGTACGTGCAACGGCGGCAATCACTTCGTCCATCGGACTCCCCACGTGCTTAACCGAAGGATGCATCACCAGTTGCATCTCAAAAATGTAGGAACCGGATGCAATGTAGTCTGCATCTACATATCGGCGGAAGAAGTTGTGGTAAAACGCCTTCTGTAGCAGCATCCCTGTCCTCGCCACCAGCGATGTTAGTTGAAAGGGGTGAATATTGACGGCGTTCGTCGGAGCCGTGTCGTAGAGCCTGATGGGGCTGTCAAGTGCGAGAGAAGTCATGCGCATCGTATACAAGGACAGCAAGACTTGCACTTGATTCGTATCCTGCGCCTGTGATCGCTTCGTCACGAGAAGAATCGGTGTAAGGATTGATAATAGCTGCACCAAATGCTGTTGACAACCGGCAAGGTGAAACCCTGGTGGCGCTCGCTTCTTTTTCCGTGCATGCTGAGCTGAACGCGCCTCGTACCATGCCTCCAGAGCTGGCCACTTCTCCAGTACCCGCTCCATCGTGGCTGCCATCCCCATGAAGCGATGCGGCTTGTAGCCTACTAGTTGGGTACCATTGCCTTCCCCCAACATTATCATCAGCATGGGAAGCAGGTCGCCAAGTGTCGAGTTGGTGGAGGTGCCGTACACCGTTTGAGATAGCTTGTTTAGCAACTCCGACATCTCGGGATTGTGCGATTTTCGCGCCAAGCCGCAGGCCATCTTGGTGGCAGCGTTCACCATGTGAGGGATGCACCATTCCCACTTCAATCCATTTAACGTCGGGGCTGCTGTCAGTGGTGGAGCCGAAGAAGTCGCTCGGGGACAGGCCAAAGTCAAACAGAATACCACAAATCCACCGCTCAAAAGGGCCGCGAATCCTTGGTCGCGTTCTCCGTACATTGGCAAGAAATGACGAGTACCGAGAAGCACAGTACGCAGTCGGAAGTGGGAGTCGACGAAGTAGATGCGCAAACCGAGATACTTTTCGCCACCATGCTTTGGGGTCCAGAAGTCAACATCCATCGTCAAACACTTGATAAGTCCCAAACGATTGTCTCTGATGAACCCTATCAGCTCTTGGCGACCGGATGCGTACAACTCGACAAGTGAATGTGTCACCGTTCTTGAGTTCACTGTTGTCTTGAACTCATCTTTTGTGACGACTTCCTTCAGAATGACTGACTCTTCGTACTCACCAAACCGGAATGGCAAGTTGTTGTAAACAATTCGAATCGTCTCCAGCAACAAACACAAACGCTTCGCATCGTCACGGCATAACGCGGACGCTAGAATGCAGTTGACCTCTTCAGCGCGGTCCCGCTTGCGCGTATTCTGTAGGGCCGTCTTTTCAGACTGGATTTGGTGCGTCTCCCACAAGTGCTTTGTAGCATTAGTGGTTTTTCCTCCATGGAAGGGCAGGAACGTGATATCCCGACGGCACGCATCGCTTGCCATGCACAACCACCCGACAACAAGGGATTCGCGGAACCAGCACTTCACGCGGACTCCATATTGGAACGTAATAGACCGATGGCTTCGGGGCAGAGGCATCGGCGTACACGTTTGGGTTGGCCTAAACTGGAGTACCGCCTCACGGATACATGCTGGGATCCGAGCAATATCGTCTGCATCATACAGCGCCGTCGGCTCGGGAGGCCACTCACAGGAGTCACGGCCAGTAACGTCGGGTGGCTGGTGTGGCGTTGGTGTCGTAGCTCCAGCACCGGGTCCTACGGAGTTCGAAGTCGTCCGACGGAAATCACCACAGGGTAGACTCGAAGTTATTGGGGGTGCCGATTGCGTGAAGGGTATCTGTTGGGATGCTGACGTCCTTGCTTGTTCTGATAACGGAAGTCGCGCAAATGCTGAGCCGTGAGTGACGTTTTGGGGAGGCCCTCCTCTTGCTCCAGCAACAGCAGATTCCTCTTGGGACTGCTGGCCATTTGCGTAGCCTCGTGTAGCCGTCACTTCAGTAGTGTCATCGCAGTAATCTTCAGAATCATACTCGACAGGAGACGATGGTGCTGTATCAACACCTCGAGCACCTCGAGTGGAGGCTGGTCCTTCAGCATTGAAATCACGACTGGAAGAGAGTTGGTCCATCGTCACTTGCAACCCGACCGCTTCTGGCGACGACAGTGAAGTGGGTTATTTGACCGCCCGTTTGCCGTAGTCACGCGTTGTGGCGCGGCCCGCTACATATATTAGTAGAGAGAGAGCAATGCTAGATAGCGAAAAGCTGATTCGGGCATTCATTTAGCACTTACCGATAAAAGCACGAGGAGCGAAGGCGAACTCTCAAAGAGTTGATGTGATTCAGGGACAACGAAGTTGTGGAGCTTGGGGGCCGGGAGAAGTGTTGAAGACGAGAAGTGGTAGACGATAGGGGTGCTCGAAACAGGGACAATTGAAATGTGACGTCTCCAGCCAAGATGGTGAGGTTGCTACGCGCCACGGCGTCCTAGAAGCTGCAGGTGGCGTATGCAGCTGTCACCATTTGCCTTTCTTGCGTTGGAACGATAGTGCGGCTTGGATACGCTGCCGGGAAAAGGTGCCAAGAGTGAGGAAGCTACATGTACGTGCCTTTGCTTTTCCTCCACGACCCTACTGAAAGGGTGCGGCTTTATCCGAAGCCAATTATATCTGCGCGAGGAGCAAATAGGAGCTCCAGGAAGCGAAGCTGGCGATCCGTTACACTTCCTGTTTTTGCAAGAGTATTGGTTTGAACAGCAAATACCGATATACCGCCTTCAAACTTTGAAACCCCGCGCCGACGAAGTTGATAAACCGGTTTATCAAGTTCCTTTTTCTAAACTCATTCCAGCCATGGTATCCTGGGACGAACACGAAAACCTATCGGCTGGGTCATACAGGGCTCGTCATCGACGTGAGATAGATGGAATAAAACCATCATTGTCGCCATCTAGTCAGGCTGGGTGCAGCTTGCCTCCTTCTCGAATGAATACAAACCATAGAGCGGGGGAATTTTCATTTGATTGCAACATTGACAGAAGTTAGTCTGGAGAACGGCGAGTACGATGAAATGTCGGACGGCGCTAATGCACTACGTGAAGCTGTGGCAGATGTCACAAGGGGTCCGATATTCCACAACTGGAATCGAAATGTTTCGCCGGTCAGAAGACAAACATTACGGCAAATGAATTTTGCCAACAAGTATCCAGCCACTTCGTTGGGATTCTGTGAAATATATTTTTTGGGAGTCCGAGCCAACGCAACTGTCAACTCGGCGGTGGTCGGATCGATCGAATCTCGCATTGTCGTTCTCACATTGACCATTTGCGAAATGTGGCAACTTCCGATCTGCACCGGCAAGCGCAGACAATAGGAGGGCCGAAAAGCCTTACCAATTGGACAGGAAGTGAACACAGTTGGCCAGGATGCCACTGAATACTTCTGTCGCCCAGTCTACATATGAATTGAAGCTATACAATCCACATGCGCTTCAATTGATTCTTCCACCCCCACCGAGCGATGCGTTCTCTCCAAAGGCATGAAGTGTTCGCCTGCTTTCAATCATCCGGGGTAAGAAGCTGTCATTCTCGTGAAGTGACACTTTCTTCAGATATAGGGCATTTCCCTCCCTCACTTTCGGTTTGCCGACAATGGAATCCGACTGGACGTTTCTCGATCCTTGGCTGTCTACCCTGTGGGGTAGTGTACTAGGGTGCGGCGAGCCTGAACTGGAGCGGGTATTATCGGACCAGCAGATTATCCTCTCGCCCCTCTATCCAAAAGCAAAAAATGTGGAGGAAAATGTAATTTACGTCAAGATTTCAGTGGATGAAGTCCATCGACACGACCGAAAGCACTTACAGCATCTCCGCGAAGCGATTGAGTTGGTCTCGGCAGTGGCTATTGTCGACAATGCAGCGTTCCAGCAGCTCATGTCCGTCGAACCTGACGAGGCCTGTACCCATCACCCGAAGTGGATATTCTGCATTTTCGGCACTTTATCGCCTCAAGACCCTGCTGCAACGCAGTACCACGTTAGCTTTGGCACTCTGCTTGGATTTCCAAAAGATCCATGGGTTGACTCGGCGGAGTTCAAAAAAGCCATGGATAACTTGGAAGCAATGGGTCTGAAAGAAGCTGTGAAGCTCTACAACTTCAGTGAATTCACTATCGATTGGCTTACTGAGAACTCGACTGGTAACATTGGAGGGCGGTATTGTCCTGCTCTTTGCGATGTACCGAGGCCTTTGTCAACTCATCTAAAGAAACTATTTGATAGTGATGTACCCCCAGTAGTTCAGCTGCACGCGACCGGAAATGCTGCGAGTGTGGTGAAACGTTTGCAAGAAACTCGTGTGGTGTTAAAGTATCCCTTGTCAGCCACTCCAGCCGCGCAATTATGCGATGGATCGAATGGTGACCAACCTGTATTGCACCCAACAATTTATGCGTTTAATCTGGATTTCTCAGAATCAGGGATACCAGAGCTGACAACGGCGTTAGCACGAACCGCAATTCAGTATTTCTCGCTGGGATATCGTAAATACGACATGGTCGATACTGCACAGTCGGTGATGAGTGCTGGGTATTTACTGAGTACGTTGGTCAGTGGCCGCTCAATCTGTGGAGTAACACTAGGAGATCTCAGCTTTCCGTCTATCGCTCGTAATGTGGAGTATGGCCTCTTGGATCTGAATTGCGACTGGGCGCCAGACGGCGTCTTTGCTGCGACGTGTTCTGCCGTAGCGGAGTTGAGCTCGATTAGGAAGGTGGACTGGCTGGGGTTTTCACGAACGCAATCTCCTACTCAGAATCGGTTGTCGTGGGTGCTATATGCGCTGTGTTGTGGGTCTTTAAGTGTGTCGATTGGTACGCTCCAATGCGAGGGTGTTTCCTTGACGAAGCCAGCTTTGACTGCTGCCAAAGCAACGTTGCAGAATAAGTTCCCTGGAGTAATTCAAGATCAGGGGTCAGTGAACCTACCGAAGTACGGATTTGTCGAATTGAAGCAAGGAGCTCAGATTCAACTCGTTTTGCCTAATGGTGAAGAAACCGTGCTCGAGGTGTCAAGCCCGTATCGTTGCCGAGCACGGTACGACCCTTTCAGTTCACCTGAATTGGTTGATGCTGTTGTCCCTGGATACGGAGTTTGCAAAGTTATCTTGAGAGATGAAGTCAGCGAATTTGTCCGAGATGGCCAAGGAAACTCGGTACTGTCGAGAGCATTGTGGAATAGCATCCGTTCCCTTACATTTAGCTTTGAAAGTGTCGAAGTAGGCGCGTTGGTAACGGACCTCCTAGGTTTAATCTGCTGGAGGGTAAAGAGCCTTTTCGTTCGCAAGAGGAAGACCGAGAGGGACCCAACGACTCAGCCTGTGCTGGATCTGAGTATCCTCTCGGAGGTTTGTCCAGATCTAGAAGAGCTCAACATCATTGGATTTAACGTGGTAGTGGGCTCTCGGAGTCATGCATTGCGGACTTGGCGTATCCGGAAGATTGAGATTTACGGTTCTACGATTGTCCCGGATCTGGGGCCGTGTTTGGATAACCCTTCATATCAAATGGCTCGCGGGTTAGCGATACTCACAGTGTCTGCTTCTTACCAATGGGAGTATGACATCAACGAAATGCTGGCGCTCAACAGTCACGACGGTGATTATTTGGCTCTGACGAAGAACAGACTTCCCAGCGAGTCGAAAGCTGCACTGATCAGTGTCGTGAAAAGCAGAAGACAACGCAAGGCCGTGAACCTTCTCGACGTATTGTGCCTCAGCCGAATTTTTGCTTTCGTCTCGACACCTGTCCGACGATCGGTTCGCTGTCACAAATGAATTGTGTGCTTGGCAGAGACAGAAGAGAGCAGTGCGATCAGAACAGTTTCGTGTTAGGCCCGCAAGCCCCTCGTTAATACTTCGTACTGTAGTATTAACAACACGAGAAAAAATTGCAGTGCCAAATATTAATAAGTACGTGCTCATATTTCTTTTTTTACGAACACGTAAAGAATCAAAATACATTGTATATTGTATATATGTAATAATAAAAATAAATCGTATATACCACCAATCGGATAGTACTAACTACTTTGATTGACAGCTATTGAACTGACATTTCATGTTTCCCTCACTCCACCACTCATTCCCGTTTTCTTCTCAGCGATGGACTCGAAGTGGGCGTTCCTCCATCCATGGCTGTCTACTTTACGGGCTAGCATGCTACTGTACGGAGAGCTCGAGCCTGGATGTCCTGGATCGGAGCTGCAGATATCCGTCCAGCCCCTCTACCCAAACGTTAGCCCCGCGAGCTGTCAATCCAACCCTGTTTTACCTCCGACTTTCCGTGGATGAACTCAATCGACAAGATCGAAAGCGTGTGCAGCATCTTCGCGAAGCGATTGAGCTGATATCGGCTGTGGGTGTAGTCGATAACAAGGCGTACACGGATCTGATGGGTCGACACTTTCACATACCCGCTGTCAATGCCAGATATGGTGTTCAGCTATCACCCGCAATGGATATTTTGCTTCTTCGGTACTTTACCGTCTCGAGACCCCGCTGCAACGCAGTACCACGTAAGCTTTGGCGCTCTACTTGGGTTTCCAGACGACCCCTCGATGAACTCAACGGAGTTTCGGGAAGCCATGGACAAGTTGGAAGCAATGGGACTGAACGAGGCTCTGAAGCTGTACGACTTCAGCGAATTCACTCTCGAATGGGACATCAAGAACTCAACTGTCAATGCTGAAGGTCAATGCGAAGCTGACCCACCTGGAGATGCACCGAAGCCGCTCTCAACTCAGCTGAAGAAGCTTCTTGACGCCGACGTACCTCCCGTAGTTCAGTTGTTCGCGACTGGAAATGCTGAGAATGTCATGAAACGTTTGCACAAAACACGTCTGGCGACTTATGCTCCCGTGGCGTCTACACCAGCGCCACAAAGCTGCCGTAGGTCGACAAATGCCCAGTCAGCATCGAGCTCAATAATCCTTATTGATCATCTGGACTTCTCACAACCAGGGATCCCCGCGTTGACGACAGCGCTGGTACGAGCTGCTACACAGTGTTTGTCGCTTGAGTATGGTAGGAGTGACGATCCTGACAGAGTGGACTCTACGATGAACGCTGGGTATTTACTGAGTACACTGCTCTGTGGGCGCTCAACTTGTGGAAAAACGTTAGGAAATCTCAATTTCCCGCCCATCACTCGTGACGTGGAGTATGACGAGCTGAACTTGAAGTGCGACTGGTTGTCGAACACAATAATCGCAGCGACCTGTTCTGCCGTGGCGGATTTGGGCTTGATAAGGAAAGTAGACAGGCTCGACATTTCAGGAGCACAATCTACCACTCAGGATCAACTGGTGTGGGTACTGTATGCGCTGACTTGTGGATCGTCAAATTTCTCGATGGAAGAGCTACACATTGGAGATGTTTGCTTGACAAAAGATCTGAGGGTTTCATGTGTGATGGAACGGGTTCTCTGAGTGACATGTTGAGTGCGTAGTTCTTACGGTTGGGGCCGCGGGCTAGGAGCCGAGCGCAGAGAGCTGAGCGCTAAGAAGCCAGGAAATGCCATGAATCAGCTTCTTCCATTGTGACGGTGACAAGCGGAAAACCTTTTGGCTCTGTGATGGGATAGAATAGATTTTTTGGTAAAAAAAAGAATCGTGGTAATGCGTTATTACTGTACTTAAGTACGCCTCAAATGTATCTTGCCTATAATTACCATGTCCAGCTCACAACCAACCGAGGGAGCACATGTATCGTGGGTGTGTTAGGAGGATTCCTGGAAACGCGAAGCCTGGACAAAGATACAGTACAGTCTTCCAAGATAAGACATTGTGCGTTGGGCTGCTGATGGGGATCATTCGCGGTCTCAGCTTGTTAATTATGTATTAAATGCTGGCGAGGAGAACGGGGTCGCTTGAGTGTCGACCGTGGTGCGCTGTCAAGGTTCAGTTTATTACAAACAAATTGAAGTGGTGGTATCTGCTCGACAAGTCCCTGCCATCAACACGCTAGAGTTACCCCATAATTCGGGTAGCTCAGAACCTCACTGCGAATGCTCGATAACTTGTTAAACTTAAAGTGAGAGCAAGAAGGAATACATTTGGTGGTTGGGAAATGGCGGGAATGTATTTTGATGATTAGTTCTTGCTTTACAATATTTTCCTTGACCCCATACCGTTTCTACTTGGAGCCACAACTCTATTAATCCACACGATACCCGTCAAGCAAAGTAGGATCGACAGAACACCTGAATAACGAAAAGTGTATTGCGCAACTTTTCGCAAGGTTGCTGTTAACATTTCTAAAGATTTTTTTCCCATACTATGTATAACCCTAGCCAACCGCTGCCTTGAATCGAGCTGCACCCGGTGCCTTGGGTCGAACAGTTGAGACACATCCATCCGTTGGTAGTCGACTTGTTTGGTACGTCGGGGGTCTAAGCCTAGACAACTCCCGAGATGGAGCCGGAATTCGGAAACGATTTTCCCTTGCTGGTCTTGAGAAAGCACGTGCCGTGGCTTGAGTCATTCCACGTGAACGCAGTGCAGCCATTCGTGCGGGCACAGATGGCGCAGCACCCGATAGGATCGATGCTGGCGCGCTTACCAATATTAGCGCCAAGGAACATAACGTTCTTCTGCAAGCTCGAAGAGCATGTCGACACGCTCGAGACGGCCGCCTGGGAGACGGTTGCGCCCAGCACGCCCACGCAGACAAACAGGAGCTTGGCGATCTGCATTGTGTCAGTGCGAGAAACTTGGAGAATGAACACGGCAAATGCTAGCATGCACGCGAAGTCAAGCACGCTGTGACATTCATTGCCAATGTGATGTATGTTCGCAGAGAGCCAGACGCGTGCTACGCTCCTCTGAGAGGAGTCCTCTCGTCGCAATTCGAACTGGGACTTGCCTCATTATAGTATTGGTATGTAGCCTCACTATTCGCAGCCGTGTATGTACAGTAAGGTACGGTGCCAGTCGCGTGCAATCTGCCAGTTCCGTGCCACTTTAGCTTCAACCAATTAGAATGCCGTAAGTATTTTTAAAGAACCCTATTGGCAAAAAGTCTGTAAGCGCTACCAGCCAATAAAACCCGCCAAACTGTATACGAACAAGACACATTTCCCGCCAGTTTGAGCTCAGTCTCCTATTTCCTGAAGCCTACAAACCACCCACCAACCCCGCAGCGACCACCTCGACAATGCCCGCGTACGAGATCGAAGACCTCAATTCTGCAGTGAAGCGCGTCCTCGCCGGCGACAGCGCCCGCAGTGTCAGCGACAGCACCCCAATTCCGTATCGGACCCTTACGAAATGGGCCGCGAAGGGGAAAATGGGCATCTTCCGCGCACCTGTTCGTCATGGCCCGGCTCCGCTGCTCTCGCAACCAGCGGAGGCATGCTTGGTCGAGTGGATTGTCGGGCGCCAACTGGTCGGTCACCCCGCAAGTCGCAAGGAGGTCATCTTCAAAGCCGGCACCATGACCTCCATGGCTACTGGTCAAACGGTTGGTGGCGGGTGGTACCGCCGCTTCATGGGGCGACACCCGATGCTGGCAACTCGAACGTCTCAGGCGGTATGCAAGGCCCGCAACGCTGTGACCAAGAGCGATCTCGGGCAGTTTTTTAGTTCACTGATCAAGGCTGTGGTCGAGAGTCGTTTGGACGCGTCTCGCGTGTTCAACATGGACGAAACAGCGTTTCAGACCAACAAGGGCTCCAAGAATGTCGTGGCGGTTCGAGGCTCCAAGAACGTTTGGCACCAAGACGTTGCGCTCAATTTTCACCTCACGCTGGTCGCGTGTGGCAGCGCGTCGGGGTGCATGGTGCCACCGCTTTTCGTGCTGCCGGGGTTGACAGTCAAGCTCAAAGTTCTAGATGGCTGCGCCATACCCGGGGCTGCCGTCACCACCTCGAGCTCCGCGTTCATGAATGGATTTCTCTTTCTTGAGTGGCTGCGCTTTTTTTCGGCTAGCGTGCCCAAGGACGTGCAGCGACCTCTTCTCCTGATTCTGGATGGGTGTTCGTCTCATTACTCCGTGGAGATCATCTTAGAGGCAGCTCGGCTTGGCGTGCTTCTGTTGTTGCTGCCTTCGAACGCGACCCACCTGCTTCAACCACTGGATGTCGCTGTGTTTTCGTCGTTCAAGGCGAAGCTACGCCGCCTAACCGAGATCTACGTTGGCGAGACTGGACGCAATTCGGTCGACAAAGAGGAAGCCATCCGGATGGCAAGCGCAGCATGGGTAGGATGCAAGATGGGTGAGAACGTCAAAGCGGGGTTTGCTGCGTGCGGCCTTTTCCCTCCGTCCAAGCCTCGTATGGACATGTGCATCGACAATTTCCGGCGCAACGGGACCCCCGCATCTACGAAGCTGGCAGCGTGGCTCCGGATCAAGGAGGTCGTGCAGAAGGAGGTGCTCGTGCTACCGCCGTCCAAGAAGCAGGTGCGCAAGACAGCAACGGTCGCCGGTCGTCTTTTGACCTAGGAAACACTGGAAGCGATGGCACAACCGATGAAGAAGCCCAAGAAGGCAGCCAAGACGAAGAAGCATCCGATGGCAACGAAGGCGACGAAGATGAAGAGGGTGCCGTCTCCGGTGCCGGAGCCTGTGCAGCTGCAGTTCCAGTCTGCGTCGAAGCACGGTGAGGCAAACCAGCAGGATAAAGTTGTGTGGGAGGCGATAGTTTAGTATAACCAAAGAAAAAAGCTTTTGCTGAGGCATTTTCCACCACATTGTCTTCATTGTTTTTGTTGTTTATTTCCTACTTTCTATAGTGATACGATATCCCTCTGTATGCCTGGGCCCGCTGTGATGTCCGGTTTTTGAGATTTGACGATCTCAAACCGTTATCAGAAGGGGAACCCGACTCATGGTACTTAGCATACTGGCGGTCAATCCGTTCACTCGGTGGCAGCCGTCGGTCGCTTTCGCAGTTCTGTGGCAGCCCCCCAATGCTCTAATTGACAGTTAGCCCACTAGTGTTTTGGTTGAGTTAATGCTGCCAGGTGGAATCGAACCACCGTCCTCTCGGTTATGGTCCGAGGACTTTACGACTAAGCTATGGCAGCGCTGCCACTGAGCACAAATCATACTATATTTATACACAAATCACATAATATTGTGTACCATATTGTGATATCGTATATCCTGTCTTATACGATTTCAAATGGGTGCAAATCATTTTGTACAGGTTGTTTCGGTGCTGTCATGAGAGCAAAAAGAGATTTGTCCCCCTTACAAAACAACAGATAAAATGCGGCAGATAACTGGTCCTGCCGTGAATGGGTTTGCAAATAGTCAGCAACTCCTAATTGAGCTCTCATTTACTGTAGAGCTCAGTAAAACAGTCTGCTAACAGAAGAGATTGCGCTCTCTTCAGATATGCGTTTACATCTCAAAACTAATTGCCCAATAAAAAGTTATGAGTGAAACAGTGAGCGGGATTACATTAAGACACACAAGTGGGACCGTACCTTAGATGTATTGTGGTTTTCACCCGTTTTGGCATATCGGGTGGTTCAAGATCCGATATATCGGGCCCGATTAGCTAAGGGAAGCAAAGTATATCTGGCGCGATTTGACTCTGGGGCCCAGAGTCAAATCGGGCCAGATATATTTTGCCCCCAGACTGGGGGCTCCGAGTTGTGAAGCAGGGGACAGTAATGCCGCTTTTCGGCGGCAAAAGGGACCACCGCCAAAACATGTCTGGGACCCTTTCATATCGGTGTGGCACGAAGTTGTAGCCCCGTGGATGATCACACAGGTGCTTTAGCTGGCCATAGTGCCATGTAGTGGGATATATAAAGTGTACTGTTGTCCCCAATGTCTTCTTCTTCTTCTAATGCGTCGTGAGAGGTGGGTAGGATATGGTCAACATGGTATGCCTTCCCTCTGAGCATTATGCTCCTAACTCAGTTCAGATCAGATATAGCTAAATTGAGGAACCCTTTTCATATAATTCGGAGTCCGAGATAACACGTCAAATCGGGCGGCAAAAAGGTTGAAAACCACAATACCGGTATGCATACATCTGCACGTAAGAAGCCAGACTTAGGTCTCATCACATGATGACAGCCATAATCTTGTTGAGTCAGCGTTGAACAGTTCGCTTACTTATTCTGAAGAAGTAGGCTGTTACCAATGAGGTTTTCGTAGCTCACGACCTCATCAAACTAAATAAGGCAGTCTTGAAAAACTTTAATTAGGCATTGCATAGAGATTGTATGGGATAGGATGGGAAAACGGATGAGGCACGCATTTATATAGACTAATGTAAAGGATGAGGGCGACTACAGGAGGAATTTCCTGCATAAGTCAGTAAATACTACTGAGATTTGCAGATTTGGATTTGTTAACTTGAAGGCCATTAGCATGTTTACTCTTGATAGATTAATCAGAGCACATGTACTTACTAAGTTAACATCCTCATGCCCTGTACTAAGTACTACTTAGTACAGGGCATGAGGATGTTTACTCTTGACGGAGTAATCAGAGAGAGCACATGTACTTAGTACACTACAGTACAGACAACGACTTACAAAGCCGGCAGACACAAAAAGCCGGCAGACGAAGTCAAGCAAAGCTGCAAACCATCCAATCAGATTCTATCAAATGACTTCATCTTTGAAAACCATCTGGTTTTGTGTACTTTATATGCTTTCTTGTGTTCTTTATGCAACACACCGTGTGTTTTATGTGTGTTTTATGATAGTTTTACAGATTTGACGGGAGGGAATTTATCGTTGTTTTTATATAGGAGGATGGCATTAAGCATGCCGGCTTTGTACAGTAAGTCGTTGTCTGTAAGCACTAGTGTAACTTACTTACTGAAACTGATTTCTTACTGTCAGTTTGGCGGTTTGTTCTGAATAACTTATTGGCTGCTACCAATGAGGCATTATTGCATAAAATGCCAAACTACCTCGTTAAAGGTTTCTGAGAGCGCCTCATTGAAAGCAAAAAATTCAGGCTGAACCCAAGAATGTGTGGATACTTGCTGCAGCAGCAGTGCTCATAGCGAAGCTGGCAGCCATTGCAGTTTGCTAAACATCAGTAGAGAAGGTAGTTGGGGTCTAACTGTGGAATACAAGCACTAGCCACCCCCTCCCCAATCGGCTTCACATCGACAAACGCTATACATTTGTACGTTTCACGTTTCACGTATGAACTCTGATACGCTATTTGTTAATAAAAGAGCAAAACTTCTTACCTCTAGTAATTTTCGTTAATTAAGAAAGTAGTACAGACAACTTCCGTGAAAGCAACAACGCACCTTAAACCCACCACTGATGCTGCATCCCGATGAAACCCAAATGAGAGATTTCAGTAAGACTAAAGGCCGTGGCGAATGCCACTAAAAACCAAGTCAGATTACTTTCGCGCCCACCGCGACTTGGGTAGCAGAGCATTGCGTAGTGTTGCCTACAGCTCTGGACAGGCCGAAGTCAACCACAGAGAACATTTTCCTCGACACGAGCGAGAGCTAGGTCTACGTTCTCCAGACCTACAGTTGTAGAGTCTAGGGTAGGCTGCTCATCAGCAACCGCAATAATGACATTCCCTGACGGCCAGTCGGGACTTGACGTTCGAAGACGCATAGAGAAATCTAGTGACAGCGTTAGATTCTAGCTTCTCATCGCGTTCGCAGTAGGATTAGTATTTCGTCAGATGGGAGGGTCTAACAGCTTGAAGCGCAAAGGTGCCCCGCTATGGTCGCTTTAGCAACTACGCGATGGAAGGCGGGCTTCAAGCGCAGCAATGCCGCACTGCACTGAGGGACACTGCCTGCAAGAAATTATTGGACAGGCTGCTTTAGACGCTGTAGTCGCCCTCATCCTTTACATTAGTCTGTATAAATGCGTGCCTCATCCGTTTTCCCATCCTATCCCATACAATCTCTATGCAATGCCTAATTAAAGTTTTTCAAGACTGCCTTATTTAGTTTGATGAGGTCGTGAGCTACGAAAACCTCATTGGTAACAGCCTACTTCTTCAGAATAAGTAAGCGAACTGTTCAACGCTGACTCAACAAGATTATGGCTGTCATCATGTGATGAGACCTAAGTCTGGCTTCTTACGTGCAGATGTATGCATACCGGTATTGTGGTTTTCAACCTTTTTGCCGCCCGATTTGACGTGTTATCTCGGACTCCGAATTATATGAAAAGGGTTCCTCAATTTAGCTATATCTGATCTGAACTGAGTTAGGAGCATAATGCTCAGAGGGAAGGCATACCATGTTGACCATATCCTACCCACCTCTCACGACGCATTAGAAGAAGAAGAAGACATTGGGGACAACAGTACACTTTATATATCCCACTACATGGCACTATGGCCAGCTAAAGCACCTGTGTGATCATCCACGGGGCTACAACTTCGTGCCACACCGATATGAAAGGGTCCCAGACATGTTTTGGCGGTGGTCCCTTTTGCCGCCGAAAAGCGGCATTACTGTCCCCTGCTTCACAACTCGGAGCCCCCAGTCTGGGGGCAAAATATATCTGGCCCGATTTGACTCTGGGCCCCAGAGTCAAATCGCGCCAGATATACTTTGCTTCCCTTAGCTAATCGGGCCCGATATATCGGATCTTGAACCACCCGATATGCCAAAACGGGTGAAAACCACAATACATCTAAGGTACGGTCCCACTTGTGTGTCTTAATGTAATCCCGCTCACTGTTTCACTCATAACTTTTTATTGGGCAATTAGTTTTGAGATGTAAACGCATATCTGAAGAGAGCGCAATCTCTTCTGTTAGCAGACTGTTTTACTGAGCTCTACAGTAAATGAGAGCTCAATTAGGAGTTGCTGACTATTTGCAAACCCATTCACGGCAGGACCAGTTATCTGCCGCATTTTATCTGTTGTTTTGTAAGGGGGACAAATCTCTTTTTGCTCTCATGACAGCACCGAAACAACCTGTACAAAATGATTTGCACCCATTTGAAATCGTATAAGACAGGATATACGATATCACAATATGGTACACAATATTATGTGATTTGTGTATAAATATAGTATGATTTGTGCTCAGTGGCAGCGCTGCCATAGCTTAGTCGTAAAGTCCTCGGACCATAACCGAGAGGACGGTGGTTCGATTCCACCTGGCAGCATTAACTCAACCAAAACACTAGTGGGCTAACTGTCAATTAGAGCATTGGGGGGCTGCCACAGAACTGCGAAAGCGACCGACGGCTGCCACCGAGTGAACGGATTGACCGCCAGTATGCTAAGTACCATGAGTCGGGTTCCCCTTCTGATAACGGTTTGAGATCGTCAAATCTCAAAAACCGGACATCACAGCGGGCCCAGGCATACAGAGGGATATCGTATCACTATAGAAAGTAGGAAATAAACAACAAAAACAATGAAGACAATGTGGTGGAAAATGCCTCAGCAAAAGCTTTTTTCTTTGGTTATACTAAACTATCGCCTCCCACACAACTTTATCCTGCTGGTTTGCCTCACCGTGCTTCGACGCAGACTGGAACTGCAGCTGCACAGGCTCCGGCACCGGAGACGGCACCCTCTTCATCTTCGTCGCCTTCGTTGCCATCGGATGCTTCTTCGTCTTGGCTGCCTTCTTGGGCTTCTTCATCGGTTGTGCCATCGCTTCCAGTGTTTCCTAGGTCAAAAGACGACCGGCGACCGTTGCTGTCTTGCGCACCTGCTTCTTGGACGGCGGTAGCACGAGCACCTCCTTCTGCACGACCTCCTTGATCCGGAGCCACGCTGCCAGCTTCGTAGATGCGGGGGTCCCGTTGCGCCGGAAATTGTCGATGCACATGTCCATACGAGGCTTGGACGGAGGGAAAAGGCCGCACGCAGCAAACCCCGCTTTGACGTTCTCACCCATCTTGCATCCTACCCATGCTGCGCTTGCCATCCGGATGGCTTCCTCTTTGTCGACCGAATTGCGTCCAGTCTCGCCAACGTAGATCTCGGTTAGGCGGCGTAGCTTCGCCTTGAACGACGAAAACACAGCGACATCCAGTGGTTGAAGCAGGTGGGTCGCGTTCGAAGGCAGCAACAACAGAAGCACGCCAAGCCGAGCTGCCTCTAAGATGATCTCCACGGAGTAATGAGACGAACACCCATCCAGAATCAGGAGAAGAGGTCGCTGCACGTCCTTGGGCACGCTAGCCGAAAAAAAGCGCAGCCACTCAAGAAAGAGAAATCCATTCATGAACGCGGAGCTCGAGGTGGTGACGGCAGCCCCGGGTATGGCGCAGCCATCTAGAACTTTGAGCTTGACTGTCAACCCCGGCAGCACGAAAAGCGGTGGCACCATGCACCCCGACGCGCTGCCACACGCGACCAGCGTGAGGTGAAAATTGAGCGCAACGTCTTGGTGCCAAACGTTCTTGGAGCCTCGAACCGCCACGACATTCTTGGAGCCCTTGTTGGTCTGAAACGCTGTTTCGTCCATGTTGAACACGCGAGACGCGTCCAAACGACTCTCGACCACAGCCTTGATCAGTGAACTAAAAAACTGCCCGAGATCGCTCTTGGTCACAGCGTTGCGGGCCTTGCATACCGCCTGAGACGTTCGAGTTGCCAGCATCGGGTGTCGCCCCATGAAGCGGCGGTACCACCCGCCACCAACCGTTTGACCAGTAGCCATGGAGGTCATGGTGCCGGCTTTGAAGATGACCTCCTTGCGACTTGCGGGGTGACCGACCAGTTGGCGCCCGACAATCCACTCGACCAAGCATGCCTCCGCTGGTTGCGAGAGCAGCGGAGCCGGGCCATGACGAACAGGTGCGCGGAAGATGCCCATTTTCCCCTTCGCGGCCCATTTCGTAAGGGTCCGATACGGAATTGGGGTGCTGTCGCTGACACTGCGGGCGCTGTCGCCGGCGAGGACGCGCTTCACTGCAGAATTGAGGTCTTCGATCTCGTACGCGGGCATTGTCGAGGTGGTCGCTGCGGGGTTGGTGGGTGGTTTGTAGGCTTCAGGAAATAGGAGACTGAGCTCAAACTGGCGGGAAATGTGTCTTGTTCGTATACAGTTTGGCGGGTTTTATTGGCTGGTAGCGCTTACAGACTTTTTGCCAATAGGGTTCTTTAAAAATACTTACGGCATTCTAATTGGTTGAAGCTAAAGTGGCACGGAACTGGCAGATTGCACGCGACTGGCACCGTACCTTACTGTACATACACGGCTGCGAATAGTGAGGCTACATACCAATACTATAATGAGGCAAGTCCCAGTTCGAATTGCGACGAGAGGACTCCTCTCAGAGGAGCGTAGCACGCGTCTGGCTCTCTGCGAACATACATCACATTGGCAATGAATGTCACAGCGTGCTTGACTTCGCGTGCATGCTAGCATTTGCCGTGTTCATTCTCCAAGTTTCTCGCACTGACACAATGCAGATCGCCAAGCTCCTGTTTGTCTGCGTGGGCGTGCTGGGCGCAACCGTCTCCCAGGCGGCCGTCTCGAGCGTGTCGACATGCTCTTCGAGCTTGCAGAAGAACGTTATGTTCCTTGGCGCTAATATTGGTAAGCGCGCCAGCATCGATCCTATCGGGTGCTGCGCCATCTGTGCCCGCACGAATGGCTGCACTGCGTTCACGTGGAATGACTCAAGCCACGGCACGTGCTTTCTCAAGACCAGCAAGGGAAAATCGTTTCCGAATTCCGGCTCCATCTCGGGAGTTGTCTAGGCTTAGACCCCCGACGTACCAAACAAGTCGACTACCAACGGATGGATGTGTCTCAACTGTTCGACCCAAGGCACCGGGTGCAGCTCGATTCAAGGCAGCGGTTGGCTAGGGTTATACATAGTATGGGAAAAAAATCTTTAGAAATGTTAACAGCAACCTTGCGAAAAGTTGCGCAATACACTTTTCGTTATTCAGGTGTTCTGTCGATCCTACTTTGCTTGACGGGTATCGTGTGGATTAATAGAGTTGTGGCTCCAAGTAGAAACGGTATGGGGTCAAGGAAAATATTGTAAAGCAAGAACTAATCATCAAAATACATTCCCGCCATTTCCCAACCACCAAATGTATTCCTTCTTGCTCTCACTTTAAGTTTAACAAGTTATCGAGCATTCGCAGTGAGGTTCTGAGCTACCCGAATTATGGGGTAACTCTAGCGTGTTGATGGCAGGGACTTGTCGAGCAGATACCACCACTTCAATTTGTTTGTAATAAACTGAACCTTGACAGCGCACCACGGTCGACACTCAAGCGACCCCGTTCTCCTCGCCAGCATTTAATACATAATTAACAAGCTGAGACCGCGAATGATCCCCATCAGCAGCCCAACGCACAATGTCTTATCTTGGAAGACTGTACTGTATCTTTGTCCAGGCTTCGCGTTTCCAGGAATCCTCCTAACACACCCACGATACATGTGCTCCCTCGGTTGGTTGTGAGCTGGACATGGTAATTATAGGCAAGATACATTTGAGGCGTACTTAAGTACAGTAATAACGCATTACCACGATTCTTTTTTTTACCAAAAAATCTATTCTATCCCATCACAGAGCCAAAAGGTTTTCCGCTTGTCACCGTCACAATGGAAGAAGCTGATTCATGGCATTTCCTGGCTTCTTAGCGCTCAGCTCTCTGCGCTCGGCTCCTAGCCCGCGGCCCCAACCGTAAGAACTACGCACTCAACATGTCACTCAGAGAACCCGTTCCATCACACATGAAACCCTCAGATCTTTTGTCAAGCAAACATCTCCAATGTGTAGCTCTTCCATCGAGAAATTTGACGATCCACAAGTCAGCGCATACAGTACCCACACCAGTTGATCCTGAGTGGTAGATTGTGCTCCTGAAATGTCGAGCCTGTCTACTTTCCTTATCAAGCCCAAATCCGCAACGGCAGAACAGGTCGCTGCAAATATGGTGTTCGACAACCAGTCGCACTTCAAGTTCAGCTCGTCATACTCCACGTCACGAGTGATGGGCGGGAAATTGAGATTTCCCAACCATATTCCACATGTTGAGCGTCCACTGAGCAGTGTACCCAGCATTCATCGTAGACTCCACTGCGTTGGGACTGTCGCTTCTAACGTACTCCAGGGATAATCTCACTTGAGATTATGCGGGCGAGGCTTGGTAGTCGAGTGTTGGTTAGGAAGGAAATCCAAAAGTGAATTAGAATGAGTTAGGCCAAACTAACTATCATATCCTAGTCTCCTATGCTTAAACATGAATCGTACCAACGCATACCTCTTACTTCGTCGTAGGAGAGGCGGGAGAGCAGAAAGTAAATGTTGCAGATCGTATCCAGAAAGGCAACTTCAACTTGCCTTTCTCTCAGCCAATCAGAAGTTTCAAATCTAGGGACTCCGCCAATCAGATCCCAGTATTCCACCACGTGTACCACAATTGCGTACCTTTGACAACGACTTCACAGCAAGCATGTGCCTCGATACGGACACACACAACTAGACTGCGAAGCGTACAATCGCAACACCCCCACTCAATTTGCAGTCTACCCGAGCATCTCAGTGATGTTACTGCGCTCGAGCAGATAGCGAAGAGTCTTCGTCGAGAGTTCCTTGGTCAGGAAATCAGCGAGTTGGTTCTTGGACTCAACGTAGTCGAGCTCCACAACACCACTCGTGATCTTCTCGCGGATGAAGTGATAGCGGATGTCGATGTGCTTGGTGCAAGCTTGGTAGCCGACATTCTTCGCCAACGCCATGGCGCCTTGGTTGTCCTCGTAGATCACCGTAGGTCCAACTTGCTCCGCACCCAAATCCTTGAGCAGCAGTCGCATCCACACCAGGTCGTGCGCCGAATCGACACTTTCTACATATCCATGCACTAATCTTGCCAATTGGCCAGACTTGCACTTGCCCGGCCTTGCCATTGGCACCGCGACAACCTCGATCATAGTTGCTGCCACCCCATTTCTGGGCACGTCTGGCCGTCGAGCATCACGCCGATGAATGGTGCAAATGGGCCTCCTGGACGACGTGATGATCTTGCATTTCTTGGCCTTTTGGAGGAGTGACACCATCGCCAACGAGCTTTTAAACGCCGTCGTACGAAGGCCGTCCTGCTCCCCGGTATGCTCGATGTTCAGCGCCTCGCTGGATTGCCAAGGCCGTCCTGCTCCCCGGTATGCTCGATGTTCAGCGCCTCGCTGGATTGCCAAGGTCGTCCTGCTCCCCGGTATGCTCGATGTTCAGCGCCTCGCTGGATTGCCAAGGTCGTCCTGCTCCCCGGTATGCTCGATGTTCAGCGCCTCGCTGGATTGCCGAAGCCGGCATGGTACACTCGTGCTGTCCCCCGTCGAGTGGCGGGATCCGTTACGCTGCCATGCCACGGTGGTGCTGCTCCCGCGTCGGCGAAGGTATCCCCCGCCTTCTCCTCCTCCCATCCCCGGCCCCAACACGCTGGACTAGCGTGTCCCTCGTCGGCGCACTGGACCTACATCAACGGACGTCGCACTCGCACTGTTTTCGACGGTATGGGCTGTGGAGGCTCTCGTCAACACGTTAGCCACTCAACAATCAACACATTTGACCGAGTCCCCGCCCCCTGGTACGCTGGCCTTGAATGGCCTTCGTCATGGCCCTGAATATGCACAATCTCTATGCCAAGCCCGTGCTGCGTGACGATACGCCGGACGGATCTTTATCGATTCGATGTCCTGGACCGTGATGCTCACGAGGAAACTGCGCCGCGATGTCGCCATAGCAATGCTCGTACAAGGAAGGGATGATGGTGCTGATTGGACGCGTCCCCATCCCAACCCAGCATCCGGGGTCGTGCTAAGCGGGCCACATCACCGTGCAAAGGCAAGCTGTGAGTCAACCCCTGGTGACAAGGCCGTCAGGTTTGATTCGTTCACGAGCGCCATGATGTCAGCGACGTGCTCCTGACCCGATTCGACACGGACAGTGCCCTCGATCGCGGACTGGACGCTGGTAGAGCATGAGCTTTGGTCTGGCAAGGGTAGTACGAAATCGCAGTGTCGGCGAGCTCCTGGATTGACGCTATTTCAAATCGGCGTACATCCATCTGCTTCACCATGTCCGTACTGGCGAATACTTACAGACAACTGCGTAGTAGATGTTGGAAGCAACTCAAGCACGGATTCTGGCCCACTATTCCGCGCATGGCAGGTTGTAATAGTTGTCGTAAATGGATTTGTACACATTGATTGCTGGGTTGCTTTTCATCCACTTTTCAGCTGGGGGTACCAAAGCACTTGTAATTCAGCAACGCTTAGTTAGAACACGCGGCGGTCCGCGCGATCTGCCGGTCAAACGACACGCCAGATGAGTGCTGCTCCTGATCTGCCGGTCAAACGACACGCCAGATAGTAGCCTGGGTAGTATTGCTACTGATGTTAGTTGATGAGAATGAGGCTGTATCCCTGGGACGAGGGTGGAAGAAAAGAACAAACCAACACCAAGATTCACTTTCAGAATTCTGATAGCAATGTCACGTAGATGGTTCCGTGAGGAATGCAATAGGTCGTGGCCTCATCGGGTGAGCATGGAAGGGAGCGCAATGGACGAGTTGAGGGCTGCCCTTCTTTCCCGTGGCGTAACACGTGTGAATAATTTAAGTTTTCGCTACAATTACTTCTAGGTGTCCCGACCGGCGTGTGGTATGAATGGCCAACAAGGAGATGTGGTTGTCTGGTGTTCGTTGGACCCGAAAACCAAACGGATGCGAAAATAATGTAAGAAGTAGGATATGTATTTCAAAGCAGTTTGCTAACGTTCATCCAGTGAGGGTCCGGGCTACGTACGGGTGAGTGTCTCGCTAGAGCACTCGTGGAAGTGCGAGGTCAAGCAAGCTTAGGCCATCGAAGTCGGTGAGCAGCCTGGACGCAAACTCTGGCATCGGCAGTAGTACTGCGTTCGAGGTAGTTCCATCGGTGAGTGGAATGGTTGTTCGCGGCGCCATTCTTGACTACGGTAATAGATGTTGCAGTCGTTGCCGGGGCAAAGTTGCGTTCCGTGTCCGATCATAAGGTCGTGAGCCAGGATGTCGACCACATCCATGGCCTCCAGTAGATCTTGGGCTGCGTTGAACTGCTGCTCTCGCTTGAAGCCTTGCCGTGTATGCTTCCACAGCGTGTCGGCATCGCACGTCTTGTTCTGATCCATCGTAATATGGATTTCGATGTGCCGGTCCAAAGCTTCTCGAGCATCGGAAATCTGAGCCCGCAAATAACGAATCCGATCCTGAATCATCGATCGGTGATCTTTAGGAAGCACATAACAGTAGCGTCAGAACGCTTAGAATATTGTTGGTACTTACCTCCGACAACTCCAAGCAGGTCTGCAGCCATCTCAGCATCCACAGATAGTTGTGAGCGCTCTCACTTTTGGCCATGCTGATATCTTTGTGTAGCTTGTCCATATCTTTCACCGGAAGAGCCACAATCAACTCGTCGACGTCCTCAGTTGAGTTGTACTTCGTCTCAAACACCTTCCTCGTTATAGGTTAGTGGTCAGTCCCAAATTTCTTTTGCTGTCATTTGAATTCAAATGGGTACGCGGTTAGACGCTGGAACGAACACAGGAAAAATCCTGTCAAACAGCACGGGCTCCCCACAAATAAAGTATGCTAGTGGCTAGAAAACCGCGTCAGGTCGTGGGTGGAATAATGATCATCCGCCACTGGCACTTACGTCACGAGGTTTCCCATACAATGCTCTGCCATTAGATGCTGTTGTTCGAGTGGGACCTGGGAGCTATCATGCATTGTTCAGGGTGACCAAGTATTAGATCGAATCAGCTTAGAGAGTGGCTAGCTAGCACTTACATCGATTGCATCACGCCGGCGATCGACCATCCGGCTTCCTGGTGGGTTGGGAAATGAGCGCTCTCCTAACCTCTCTCGATTAGGATCTTGATTTTGTGCGGCAGTCGTTGTTCGTCGGAGGCGCATCGCGACCATTACCAAGATCTTTGCCCTTCGGTCTTCCCAAGAATATAATTCTGTATCGACAACAAAAGGGGATCTCTCGCTAGCGCAATGAGCTCCCCGCCTGTACCGCTGAACCCTCGGCGAGCTATTGCGCCAAGATCACAAGCCGCTACTTCCGGTAATGTTTGAATTGACCACCTAGATGAACCAAAACCTAATATGTTGTACAGTGTCTGGTGGTCGCACAGCCTTTGCCGAAGCCTGGAAGGCTCTTCGTCGCGCTGGGTGGACGTCACGACCGCCACGTGGCCGAGGGAATCTGGATAATCGCTATCGCTATGTTCGTCCTGGTAGAAATCCGGACGGGGTCGAGGGCGGCGATTACGTTCTGGGTGAAGTGGTTCTGGTGGAACACTACAATATGACTGTGACTGGTGGCGAGATCGACTCTGGTAACATCACGATAGATGAACCTATGGATGGCGGCAGAAGTTCTGAAATGCATGGGCCTAGTCGTGGTGGAGCAATGGGGTATTGGAATTCGTCTGACGCGGAAGAGGGGTCGACGGCTTCAAGTGGTTGCCCTGCAGGAAAAAGGCAGGTGGAAGGCTCCGATGCGATGGGTACCAGTAGCAACGAGTTTGAAACACGTGAAACAAATGTTGAAGTGGCGATTTGTGCTGTTTGCAGCACTGGGTGTTCGACTGACCGAAGTTGTGATGCATGCAACGCATTCATGCATCATTTCTGCTCTCACGATGTGGCATCGTCACGTGCGCTTCGCACCGCTGACGGTGAGGTCATTGAGGATTTTGGAGATCAATGTTATTGTAGTAAAGCCTGCTACGAAACCACGATCTCCACGTCGAGGCCACCATCACTACTGTCTTCCACATCCCACGAAGAGGTTCGTCATGGTATAGTGGCAACGTTGACAACGCACACTGGCGAGAGGCTTCCACCTATCCAGTCGGATAGTGATGATGTGGCTTGCGTAAACGCGGGTTTGTGTACCCAAGGTGATCAACGTGAAAGGGAAGCGCTAGCGAGGCAGCGATCAGCGAAGAGTGCGCGAAAAGTATCATCGGATACGGGAGGTGGAGCATTGAAGCGAAAGTCTGCATCGAATCCCCCCAAGCGCTCTGCTGCCAAGAAATCAAAAGTCGCTACAACCAAAAAGGCATCTAAAAAGACGGCTGAAGCAGCCTTCAAACAGGAGTTGCTACTGCGAGCTCAAATGTCTGCTGACAAAATTGTGGGGGCGAACGTTGTTTTCTCGCCGGCTGATGAAGACTGGATGCTTCGCAAAAACTATCGCGAGGTAGGTGCGGCTTTTTTCGTCGGCATAATAACAAGATATGAGATGAAACACGAAAAAAACGCTGATGGTGTCAAGGTACCGGTTCCCCAGTTTGAAGTTCGATGGACCAACACCGCGTTTCAAGCCAAGAAAAAACATGTTCACCTGATTCCAGAAGCCACGGCTTTCAAAGGGATCAAGCAGTATGTTAGTCTGCAGAGAAACAATGCGGAGTTTGGTGATTCATGGAGTTCTCTATGTAATGTGCCCCCCCCCGCTTGTCCACCATACCTGCTTTGACGGAAGAGTTCGAAGAAATGACTGACAAGGGCTACAAAGAATTGTATGCTTTTCGAAGCCAGACCGAGCTGCAAATACCGTTTTGCCCTGCCGAAGTAGAAGCAATCGAAGCGATGACTTTTTCCACGACCGAAACGCTTTCCGAGCCACCCGGGCTGTTTACCCATCCCGATGGTTCAACTACAACCAAACTTCGTGAGGAGAGTCGTCCCCTATTTGGCCACTCCGCTACGTCGAGTTTTTTCGCCTTCCTACCACTTTCATTCTGGAAGCAGGTAGTCGCGTTCACTAACAGTCACGCATCAGGTGCAGGGGAACCATCACGTCACCCGATTACACTGAATGAGATGATGAGATTTCTGGGTATTCTGTGGTTTATGCAGCTTTTCAAAAAAGGTGAAATGCGAAATTACTGGCGAGATGATGGGGAATCATCAGCATTACCCGGTGCCCGATCAACTAGTCTGGCGATTATTATGCCGTGGAAACGATTCCTGTACATTCGAAAGCACTTGTCATTTCGAGCAGCAGTGACTATTGAAGAAATCAAGCGAGATCCAGCAGCACGAATTATACCGCTCATCAGCATACTGAAACGCCGTTGTGCAATTCACGTGATTGTGGGTCGGATGTAGCCGTCGACGAAGCCAGCATCGCTTGTCGTTCGCGCTACGCAAGGCACATCATTGTATATAACCCTCGGAAGCCGACAGGAAAGTACCACTTCAAGCTGTATGCCTGTTGTTGTTCTTCGACGTGGTTAGTTCTTAGTTTCAAGCTTCATTGTGCGAGCGAACTGGAGGATCGTTAGGTGGAGTGATGTCTACGCCAGAGATATCGCGTGTAGCCGAACTGACGCGGAATCAAGGCATATTCGATCTCATGTAATCGAAGTGACAGCTGCATTGGAGGGATCACGGCACATCGTCAACACTGATAACTTATACACGTCTTGTATGTTGCTGGAATCACTGCGGACAATTGGACTCTACTGTCGCGGAACTGTTCGTCAAACCAGTAAGCACTTCCCCAAGTTTACGATGATAGCCGCTGACGAGACCACGGAGAGGGGTGATATGAACCAAGGCGTATCCACTGAAAAACACATCGTGGCAGCTAGCTGGGTAGATGGGTCGGTCGTCAACGTCGTATCCAACGCTGATAGTTCCGCTGTATCAAATATGCATCGAGGAGCAAGTGCCCTTCCCTGCTCCTGCCTGTGTGAAGAATTATAACGAGAAAAATGCAAGGCGTTGACCGCGCCGACCAATTGCGAGGCCGGTTCTCAATTGCCGATGGGCACACCTTTAAAAGGTGGCACAAGAAGCTGGGAATGTCTATGATAGACATAGCGCGCTGCAATGCATACATATGCCACGAGCTTGCGGCTGGTAAAACGCCTACCTGTGACGATGGTTCGGACGACGATCCTGGTGATTCATCCGCTTCTAGCAACCGAGATCCGCATCGGTTCTTCGTGCTTTCGCTGGTCCGAGAGCTTTTTGATGGCAGTTGGATGCGATGGTTAGAAAATGATAAAGGTATGATATACATAAACGACAAGACTGCGCCGAACCTGCAAGAGCCTGCAGCGTGTTCGCAGGATGCTACTGCAGCTTCGCGAGATACTCTGGCGCCATGTGTGGCGAAGGAAGCATGGATAGTTTTGAAGGGTCGAAGCCGGTCAATGCGCGAGTGTACAGTGTGTCGGTTTGAGTGTCGACCAGCTACTCAGAAGACGGACTATTACGAAGCTCACCGTGTCTCGTTGTGCAAACGCACATATCCGACCGACAAGTTGAAGCCACACTTGCGCCAAAACGATACCTGGACGTGGTGGCAGAAATTTCACGAGTTCTACCCCCCCCCCAAAATGTATTCACCCCAGATGGAAATCTCAAGCGGAGCTCTCCGATTTATCGAGCCCAAGCCGTTTTTATCAAGCAATGGAAAGATCAACAGCGGATTTCGGCGCAAGTGAGACGAGACCAGGAACAAACATCATCTACAGTGGAACCACCCGCGTTGAATTTGCAGGTAGATCAGTAAAACGTGACTTGCTGAATAATAGCATCGATTTCAACTAATGTGTGATGGCATTGATAGTTCTATTGCTTCCTTCTTAGTACTAGAAGTGGTACACACTTTAGGATCAATCTTGCGTCTATCCTTGACGACCTACGAGCAAGGTCGTGAAATGTGCTCGTTGCCTAAACTAGTTTACATGTTCATGAATGTCATCTCATGTGGAAGACCATTTCCGATAACCAGCCCTCGGTTTGTCCAGCTGGTCAAAGTTGTTCGTGATCATCGCTTCTGCAGGATCAATTTCGTCGACAGAGCCCTCCCCCTCCCTACAGATACGCACCTATTAGCTTCAGATGGGCCCCCATTTCGTGATCTTGCTACCTTCACGAACTCGTCGAAATTCTCCAGTATCGCCTTATCCTGCAGCAGCAACGTGTCACCTGACTATAGCCATCGAGCTCATCTTGCATACCTCTTGGACCATTATCTTCTCGGACATCGCAAGCTTGCGGACGGGCGTGCAGCATTTGACCTGGATAACGTTGTTCGGCATGCGTCGTGACATTGTTAGTAGGACTAACAACCCTCTCGAGCGCTTTCACCGGCATCTGAACGGGAAGATCAAAGCTCCACACCCTGCCATGAGCATCTTCGTCGACACGCTAGAGCGTATTTCTCGCGAATATGTGGCGCAGCGTGTTGCTATCCAGCCCGGGCTCGTCAGGCCACCTCAACGGAAACGTTTCCAGCTGCCGCGTGCGCCGCAGTTGCCTGAGGTCGGCGACATCGTGGATTCGGAGGAAAGCGAAGACGAAGACGAGCAGCCTACCATCGCCACGGATGACCCTGCATCCTGCTCAAGTGCGCCGGGTTCAGAGGACGACGCTGCTGAGATGGATCACGATACGGCAGACTACAGTCCAGATAACTCATTTGACTACGACGGCGATGCATCAGCAATTGTATAATGGTGCGGAAGTCGGTATCGTTCAGGATGGCGTTGCAGCAGAATTGATATAATGCATTTACTTAGCTTCTTGATCGTTTGTGAATTACATGTGACCTCATTCCCTTAGGTCACGTGACCAAAGTAAGGATTTGACACGTGACCAAAATGTAGGATTGACCTAAAAATCCGGCTACCGCGGTTGAAGGCATTGAGCTCCCTCATCTCCTCCTCAAATATTATACGTCGTCGAGATGTCACTTCAACCTTGACGATCGAGCCATTCGTAGCGTGGTGTCCCTCAAGCATCCGATCAAGTCAGACAAGTATTCTCGTAAGGCGATCGTCTTGATAGGCCAACGACGTAAAGACCCGCCGTGGTCAGACACCACTACACCATATTTTGTAATCGACAAATGTTGAAGACCGGGACATGCCGAAGACAGCGCGGATAGATCGATACCCATCGACGCTGCAGCGTCGTCGTTAGCAAGTAGTCTTAACGAACGCAGGCCGCGGGTTACCAGCGTCAGCAACTCCATCAGCACAGCAGGGGTCTCGAACGTGACAAAGTTTAGTGCCAGCGACCCGCTAATTCGTCTCTCTCTGCAAACTGGATCCTCAGGATCGGGTGTAAATTTCACGCCATGTTCAAGTTTCGCATGGCACATTCCGTATCCAGGGACGACGAAGTTGACCCAGGATCCATTATATGTTGGGTCGTAGAGTGCTCGGAAGGGACGGGCTCTAGATAAAACAAAGCTATTGCCACTGCCATCATTTACTCCAGATGGATACAGCTCGGTCCCTTCTCGAATGTCCACAAACCCGTACGCGTGGGAGCCCCTTCCATTCGCTTCTAAGATTGGGAGAGGATAGTTGTTCTGAAGTACTGCGGAGAGGGCTAAAACATCCGACTTTTTCAACTTACCACCGAAATCGTGACTACCGTGACAATGGTGTCTGAAGATCCACAGCACAACGCGTATATCAGCCAGGGCCATCGCTCCGAGCTTACTGAATTGTATGTCACATCTGCCTCCGTTGAAAGATCAGCGACTGCCGAGCAGATTGAGCTAAGCATCCGATCGCATACCCCAGAGCATCATAGGTCTAGTTCTCGAACTCTTACTGGAATTCCATATCTGCTATAGAAAATCAGTTCACCCCCGCATACCAACGTGCTCAGCAAAAGACCAGCATTCACCATGGCTTGGTGTGAATTAATCGTAGCATTTTCGAGGTCCAGTGAAAGGTATTGTGTTGCGGTTCTAGTCAGTGCAACCGCCAGCTCTGGGACGACTGGATCGACCCAATTCCGTATCACAGCGTACACAGACTCACACCAACCCTCTCCTTAACGTGGCGGGATCGAAGGAGCAGCAAGCGGAGCTCCACCACAGCCCGTAGCCAGCTCCACAATTGGAGGAACATTGGCATTGAATAGTCTTCGAAGTTGGACACGAGGAGAAGTCGATAGGTCTGCAGGTTCGTCGGACTTCTGCCTGCCAAATACTTTTGATCCTCCTAGTCTAGCCGTCCAATAAATCGCAGACCGCTCATCCTCACTCGTTTTAATATACGGGTCCACTCCCATTGCCTCTAGGTTTTGGACAGCTGCAAGAAACCCAGGCGAATACCCCCACGAACCATCCGAAAACCCGAGCAAAGCGCCCCACGTGACTGGAATCTGGGGTATCTTTGACGACGAACTCTCAGCGAGTCGGAACTCCCATTCTGGAAAGTAAACGGACGGGGTTGCAGTTCCCGCGAAAACGAGCTTATTGCATGCTTCATTGTCCACAACCGAGAGCAGTGTGAACAGCTCCATGTCCTCCCGAAGCTGCTGTAGCCTCCTCGAAGCTTGCGCACTGCACTGGTCTCCCGAAATTTCAAGGTAAATGCTTTTCCCTTCAGCCAATGGGTGCCGGCCTGGAACGACAAACGCCACTTCGAGAACCGATTCGGAGACGTGCGCAGATCCTTCTCTTGAATTGTCGCGCAATACAGAGCGCCAAGGCTCCAGAAACTCCCACGTAGTCGACATGTCAATGTATCGGCAAAGCTCCAAGTGACCTTCTCGAAGCTGACAGTCGAGTAGCATCAATCTTGCTCGATGAGTCGTTCAATCAATCACTTGTGTCGAGCATTCGTAAGACAGTTTGACGACAGAGCAAATCTAGGGATTGGATTGGCTAATACGTGCTGTTGCTACAGTATTGTACTGAGGTGAAGACGACAGCGACTGCGTGCTGGTAAGTTGGTCTTAGTCTCTCTTGCTCCGTTTCCGGTGTCTATAGTACGAGCGTTTGCGTTGTCGGCGTGCTCTGCCTCTCTAACTAGACGCAGAATAGTCGCGACTTTCAGTTGGGTTGGTCGGCGGGTATGACGGCCTACACCCTTTCTCACCGAATGAGTCCCATAGTTTTTTTCGTTGTCAGCATTTCCCAAGGCGCGGGCAAATGCCTTGCGAAACCGGTTGCGTTGCAGGGAGCCTGGGAACAGCGGACCGGTGCCTTGGCGAGGGTAGCACGCCCAATAGGCCCCTAGCGCGGTGATGCAACATGTCCATGGAGCAAATGGGTTGGCGTAGACGTGTCGGGGGTCTTTTGGTCCTTTACCATCTTGATTCGCCTTGCTCTTATGAAAGACGAAGCCGATGCTGTCGTCTTCGTTACTCATGTGCCCGGTGTGAATAGTTTCGACCGACTGAGATCGGCACATCAGATTCCACTGCACCGTCAGAAATAGGTGGGCAAACCCACCGTCATTTAGCACGAGCATCTGCTTACACACTCGCTCGTACACAGAGTACGGTAGCGCCATTTCCCCCGCCATTTTTGCCTCGCCGGCACTTCCTTGGTTGCGCTCCGCCTCGATGCGCTTGAGCCCAGCGAAAAAAGTCTTCATATCGTCCATGTACGCAGCAGGGAGAGGAAGCTTCTTCTGTCGGTAAATGTCCTTGACTGCGCTCCTATAACCACTGAGTGTGGTCACCTTCAGCTTCTTCTCAGTGGCATTCATCTTAGCTAGCAAAAACGCCTCGAAATCTTTGGGAGTGAACATGGAGATGTCAATTTCACCACCAGGCTCGAAATACCGGTCTGCATCGGCCTTAGACTCGCGGATCCACGCAGCTATCCCGTGGCGATAGCTGCGGTATGCACGCTGCGTTCTCGAGGTCGTACACGCGCGGCGTACATTCTCGGCTCTAAGAGCGTCACTGGCGCGGGATGAGGGATCCATGCCGCTGTTCGTTGGCTGCCCGACGGCAGTGCTGATGCCTTTGGGGGGGTGGCTGCTCTGCGGACGTGGCTGGAGGCATGGGAAGGACGGCTGAGTGGAGGATGGGGAGGGGTCTGCTCTTCGGGGTGCTGTACGAACTGAATAGGCTTTCAGCCAATGGTACGAGACAAATACGTGTACGACAAACTGTCTTACGTTTCAGTGGACAATTAGCAATGTAGTCAGCTGTATACAAAAATCAAGATAGTGCCAAACTGCGTTGATTGGAAAACGTAAGACGCAACGTCGTACGGCAGTACTCTGAAGACAAGTATCGTCTTATGAAAGAGCATGAATCGCCAGTGTAAGCTGGACATGCGCGACCTTCGACGCTAAGTACGATGCGGTACACAGCGAATTCACAACATTTGCGAAGCTGGCGTGTAGTGGCGCCACTAAAGAACGGGACCAAGAACTACGTAGTTTGGAATGCAGAGGGTGAGCCGTTCTACTACTGGCAACATCCTGAGCCCGATATGTGGTTTCGCCTTGATACCTGCAACGTTGCTGCTCGTACTGTGAACAAGAACTCAGCATGCAAGCCAAATAACCAAAAATAAAATATGACAATCCTCTTCAACTTCGAGCCAGCCGGTTGCGTGTCAACAATAGCGCCGCCCTCCCATTGGCTAAGAAATGCCGTGTTCGTAACGGTTTTCAACTGCCAGCAGCACCGCTGATTCGACTGACTGTGCCTGTGCCCCTTGTCAGGCAGGAAAATGCGCTCGGCGGAGGAGGAGGAGGCGGACGCAGCGAGGGCAAGTGGTACACACGACAACACCAATGAGAATGCGGTGGACGTGGCGGCGTTGACGTGCGCTCTCGACGCGGGGCAAGTGGACGTGGCGGTGCATTGGCTGCAGCTTCTGCTGCTGGAGAACGGAGACCGTCACCAGCAGCCAACCAAGCGCAGGAAAGCACTCAACCGCTCTCGAATTCGACGACTGAAGACGCTACAGAACGCAGTGGTGCAGATGCTCAGTGACCACGACACAGACCGAGAAGAAGACACCCTCACACTTCGTCCGGGACTGGCCAAAGCGACCTGCGAGCTGTCGTACTCGCAGCTGCAGATGTTCGCGTTGCAGAGGATGCAGCCATCTAGCACGGCTTATAATGTGGTTCGAGCGCTGCAGTTTTGCGACGTTCCCTTGGACTTGACCGCGTTGGAGAGCGCCTGCCACGCATTGATGGCCAAGCACGAGGCCCTACGGACATGCTTCGACGCCGACATGAACGCTGGAGGACAACCGCGACAAATCGTGCACCCTTTGACCTATTTTCAAGGCAAATTGGGGGTCTTTGGAGTGATCCAAAGCGAGTTATTAGCTTCTCGCTGCAACGAAGACTCGTCGAGGGATGGAGAACTTGCTGCACTTGTGGCAAAAGTGGTGGACGAACCCTTTGACTTGGCACACCAAGCTCCAATTCGCGTATACGCGCTCGTTAGCCCAGATCAGAGCCCAACATCGCAGTGGGTTCTAGCTGTAGTGCTGCATCACATCGTGACCGACGCAGCCTCCAGCCAGATCTTCTGGAACGACTTTCATGAGCTGCACAATCGGTTCCGACATAGCGATGATGCCATGGTTTCGAAGACGGAATTCATTCAGCAGTTGGAGACTCAGGCCTCTAGCGGCTCACGTGTGACGTACCAAGACTTCGCAGTGTGGCAGCGCTTTCGAATGCGCTCCGGGATAATGGCGCCGGCGCTGCAGTATTGGATGCAGCAGCTCACTGAGGGTGGTGCACCCCCGCTTCTTGAGCTTCCGTTCGACTCGGAAGCAGCTATATCTAGTGCTTCTGACGAGCCTAAAGCGCCTGGATCGACCACTACAGAGGGCGACGTAGTAGTTTTCAGATCGACTCCTGCGCTGCAGAAGGCCTTCTCTGCACTGTGTCACGCCCAAGGCGCCAGCATGTTCATGGGTCTTCTCACCGTCTTCTACCTCCTGATCGAGCGCTTGTCCGGTCAACAGGATTTCGTTATCGGCGCTCCCTCTTCAGGTCGTGTACGTGACGAGCTCCAGGACGTTATGGGCTACTTCGTCAACACACTCCCGTTGCGGCTTGGAGTAAAATGCAGTGAGGTTGCGGACTTCACTGGCTTCCTGGCCTCTGTGCGTGAGGTGGTGCTCGGAGCCTATAACCACATGGAGATCCCCTTCCACAAGGTCCTAGAACACTTGCGAGCGACAGCTCAGAGCAACCGCGACGTGGATGGAGACGCTGAGCGACGATGGCAACATCCACTGTTCCAGATCATGTTCTCATGGGAGAACAGCGACGACGACATCAATGCTGACTCGTCTAACGCCAATAAGCACATGGAGCTCTCGCTGCCTCACCACTCGGCGAAGTTCGACCTCATGCTGTCCATGCGCTATCGCCAACTCAAGGGAGGAGCTGCAGGGGACCGTGTATTGGAAGGATCGATGGAGTACCCCACCGCCCGATTTACTCGGGGCACTGTCGAGCGATTCACGGGCTACTATCTGACGTTATTGGAGCAGGTCACCAATGCCCCAACGGCTGTAGTGCGATCTCCAACCATTTGCATGTTGTCCGAGGCTGAACGAAGGCAACTCGTGTCCAAGTGGGGGATGCCGAAGCCTCCCTCTTCGTCATACGATAAACCGTCGAGTTTCCTGGACGAGTGTTTATTTTTCCAAGTGCAGAAGACGCAGCATAGTCCTGCACTGCACTTTGAAGGCACGGAATGGACGTACCGAGACCTGTGGGAACAAAGTGGACGCGTCACGCGTGCACTGTGCATGCTCGACCTTCCAGGTTGCGCTGCTGAGCTGCATATCGGACTGCTACTGGATCGAGGGCTGCAAAATATCGCAGCTATGGTGGGTACTTTGCGGTTGAAAGGGGTCTTTGTGCCGCTGGACCCGGAATTTCCACGTGAGCGTCTGCGCTACATGGCAAGAGATAGTGGGCTTCAAGTGATCATCACACAGCAGAAACACTATGAAGTCGCTAGGTATTTGTCGGCCTCGGTGACTAATGGCTCTGAAGATGCCGACGATCTGTCGCCGTGCGTCCTGTGCTACGAAGACGTCGACGCCCTGACTTCGCTCTACGGGCACTCACGAGACGACATTCGATCCCAGAGCCGAGACTCGCGAGACCCTCATAAAGCCGCCGCATACATCCTCTACACCTCTGGGGTACGTCTGCAGTACTGTACACTTGATGAGCAGACCGCCCAACTCATCAAAGGCTAACTCTCTCTACTTTACAGTCGACAGGGAATCCGAAGGGAGTCGTAGTTCCCCACGCTGCTCTCATGACTACGCTCTGGTGGACAGTGCGGACCTACGAGGTGACTTCAGACGACGTGTTCCTCCAGAGCACATCAACAACACTCGACGGTTCACTTTCCCAGCTCTTTTCGCCTCTGCTAGTGGGAGGGAGCGTTCGAATCACTCGTCCGAAGGGCTTGCACGAGCTGCACTACATGCGGAATGTGCTGTTGGAAGCTCCTCACATCACATTCTGTGTGTTCGTACCTTCATACTTCGCGCTGATCGTGGACTTCTTAAGCGACAAGGGCGACAGCTTCCCTACCTCAGTCAAACACGTTGTGCTAGCGGGCGAGGCCTTCCCCATTGAACTGGCAAGGCAGTTCTACCGCAAGTACCAATACAGCACGGCGTGTCTAGTCAACGAGTACGGACCGACTGAGGCTTCTATCACGTCAACAGCGTTCCAGCTGCCTCGAGAGCTGGCAATGCAGAGCACTTCGAGTATCATTGAGGGATTACAGAGCGTTCCGATCGGAAAACCCATTGACGATCACCCTGTCATTGTACTCGATGCTCAGCGACGGCTAGTACCAGTAAACGTCCCTGGCGAGCTTTACATTGGCGGTGTAGGTGTTGCAAGAGGCTACTGGCACCGTCCTGACCTCACTGTAGAGGCTTTCATTGCTCACGAGGATCTTCACGAAATCGCATCGATAGTCCCAAAGCGTGGACGGAGGTGGTACAAGACAGGGGACTTGGTCAAGTGGTTGCCTAGTGGAGATCTCGTCTTCCTTGGACGCACAGACGCTCAAGTGAAGCACCATGGGATGCGGATTGAGCTGCAGGAAGTGCGCAATGTGCTGCTACGGTACTCGAGTATCAAAACGGCTGAGGTACTGTCCATTTCTCAGCCGAAATCTCCTGGAAGAAAGCAGCGGCAAACCTCCTCGAGCTCGTTGGTGGCTTTCGTTATGCTAGTCGACTGCGTCAACGACGGATCAACGGGAGAGGAATATATTGATAAGCTCCGCGTCTACCTCCGTGATCGTCTGCCAGTGCACATGGTGCCTCAATCCATTCGAGTCGTAAGTAGCTGGCCACGGACACCTAACGGGAAGATCGATCTGCGCGCTCTGGCTGGTTGGGCTGGCGCACGGTCGAGTAATAGTGAGCCATCAAACCGTGGAGGAATTACTTCGAATGGCTCCACAGTCACGGTGCAATTGGCGATAGACATATTGCGGCAAGTTTGGATCCAAGTTCTCGGCCTCGACCACCTCAACGACCAAGAAAATGATGAAGCTGAGGAGCTCGAGGATCGACTGATGACCCGCTCGTTCTTTGAGTTGGGCGGTGACTCTCTGGCGGCTATCCGTGCTATTGCTCTTGCTCAAGCGCGGGGGCTGTCGTTGTCTCTAGAACAGTTCTTCCGTACATCCTCGCTGCCAGAAATGGCCAGCAGTGCTGCAGCTTCTATGGTGGATTTACGTGGATGGTCATCGCAAACGCTGGTGCCGCTCAATTGGCCTACGACCAAGTCGTCGGACGTGATGCCGACTCTGTTCTTGTTCCATGACGCTGACGGCACAGTGTGGAAATTGCTGGAGTTAGCTAGACAACTGCCATTCCCAGTCATCGGTGTTCAAGCTACCACTGATTCTGACGCTATTGCTAAACCACAATCTGCCAGCGTTGAAGAGCTCGCCAGAGGTTATTGGGACAACATCCGCGAGCACCAACCTAAAGGCCCCTATGCTTTTGGTGGGTTCTCCTTTGGCTGCCGTGTGGCACACGAGGTATCACGTCTAGCTGTGAGTCAAGGGCATGATATCTTGCCGCTTATTCTGCTCGATGGTCTCCCCTTCGAGGTGCCTTCCACCCATCAGCAAGTTACCAAAGCCAAAAAGGCAGCGGCTCGGATCCGAATTGAAGAGTACGCGGTCGAAGCATTTAGCGACGAGCTACTCCGACCTCTGGGGGTAAATTACCGCAGGTTTTGCGCCATGGAGGAGACCTACCAACCCTATACGGCTGCTCAAGTGGAGACGGGGCGTAGCTCTGAGCCGCCGATCTGGCTGAGCGCGGACTTGTACATGACTCAGCGCTGGAATGCAGACGTTTCTCAGTATCGAGCTCTGGGGATTGATATTTCCACGGGCGTCACTCTACAAAACTGTACGCACCTAAACATGCTTCGCCACCCCACCGTTGAAGTGATTGCGCGGCATATCCGGCAACGCGCCAGTATGAAATAAACGCAACAAGATGCACCTACAAATACTACAATTGTACATCACCTCATAGATGACTCACAGATTGATTGATTGACATACACTAACAGACCATTCCAACAGTTTTGCTGCAAGGTTTGACGTCTTGGAGAAATTAAAATGCCCACATAAGATGTGAGTATATTTAATTCGCAGTTCGAAGAACTGTGTTAGGCGGCCTAGGCGAGTTTGCCATCGAGCGACAATCGCGCTACAGTCAGGCGACATCGTTACAGCACGCACAATTCGGCGGAGAAGCTGCTTATCAACGAGCTCATTGTGTCATTAAGCGTCTAGGGAGATAACGGAGATTACGGGAGGCACCAATGTGAGCGCAGCACACGTGTTATTTGTTTTAGAATTAAAATTCTTTACTGTTTCTTTTACTTTCAAATAATGCCGGGCAGATGCTGCGGCTGCGAAGCAGGCGCCGGAGATGGCCGCTACTAAAGTATACTTCGAAGTACTTCCTACTCAAAATATATTTAAGAAAATTACCTTCGTAGTGCCCTGGTCGCACTTTTATTTTTTGAAAGTATCGGTGCTGTCGGAATTCTATATCGCTCTGAGAACTGCGAATCCCCCGAACCACCAGTCCGGGTACCCCGAATATTATTTGAGTGTGCACTTTTTGAATTTGAGGGTTAACTTGAAAATTTAACACTATACACGTCCAATAGGTTTTCGAGAGCAGGAATTTATGTGGAACAAAGTGTATCGCGCAGCTTACCGCTCGCAAGTGTCCATATGTTTAATTATCTTACTCGCTAGAATATACAGCCCTTGTCAGTCGTTATCTTGGAGTGCACGAGGACGCACCGCACTCGATGAAATCGAGCGGCAGCCGCTGGCGTCGATATGGTTTTCCAGAGTTGGGTTCGTCAGAGTGAGCATAGAAAAACCTGAGACGGAGCCGGAAGCCGTCAACGCTTTTCCCTTGCTGCTCTTGAGCTAGCACACGCAGCGGTTGTAGTTGGTCCACGTTCACCCGGGCGCATCCAGAGCAGCACCCGTCAGGGAGGATGTTAGCGCAGCATCCTACATCAGCACCACTGAACTTATGACATGTCCCCAGTCTTGACACTGCCGCCACCGAGCCGGAACCGCCGAGCAAGCCGACGCAGATAATTAGCAATTTTGGGATCTGCATGGTGTCAACGCGAGTAAATCGGAGAATTGACTTGTTGACAGTGAGAAATATTACTAGAAGACCCACAAAACGCAGGCACTCGCGTCTCGAAGAATTCAAAACGCGTTTCTATCACCATTCGCAAGCTGGGTACGACCAGAAGAAAAAGAAAAAGAAGAAGAAGAAGTTGATTAACTGCTTAATGGGCGCCTCGTTTTGCTAGCTACCACTGTATAACTCGACGAAGTTGTTGCGCTAGTTATTGGCAAGCTGGGTACGAACATTTTGTTGTGCTGCTTTATCGATTCTTCGATGCCTATGGCTTCCAGTGTGCGTACAGTATTACTATCCACAACGCATATGCGTTCTCTCCCGGCATCGAAACTTCATTGCGTAATACATCGGACCGATGGTGCTGGCCACGTACGGGATTATCAGATATACCGACACGTCGCTCAAATCTAGTGCTTCCACCTTAGTAATGCTGTGCTCTAGCTCGTAGGCGTCAACATCATGCGTTTTGGTCTCAATCGAAGTATGGATCACTTATTACGTGATGGAGTCCCATGCAAAACAAGGGTTTGAAAATGGATCCAACGAGCTCGTTTCGTCTCTCAAGCAATTGAGGCTCTGGTGGACGTATAAATGAAGTTGTCCGACTTCCAAGGCGCAGCAGATGCGACCATAGATGCAGGTCGCCCACAGTCGTGGACGTTGCGGAAAACTCATAGCCAAGATGAATGACATTGTACCATATCGATAGCAGGTCTATGCAGAAGATTTACCATTATGAGTCTGCCGCCACTTCATAACGATTCTGCAAGGCGGAGTCTGTACTATGTTTGATGACGGATTTCCCAATTAATCGGAGATCCCACGTCGGACAGTACACGCGATGCTTGCCATCCTGAAATTGAATCGCCACCGGATCAATAGTAAGCCCCTTGAAAGCTTCGTTGTTCACAAGAGAAAGCAGCTCAAACAACTCGAGAGCCTCTCGAAGCTATTGTAGCCTCATCGAATCTGATGCGTCTGATTCCCCCTGCCATGACTGAGTTCCTCTTTGGACAGCAGAATGACAACTTCCAGTGAGTTTTCATCAGAATGAGAGTATTCTTCTATCAAACGTCGTCCAATGCAGCCCGCCATGGCTCCACGAACTCCCACTTGGCCGCCATGACTCGCAAAATTCAGAATGCGTGGTGACGCCATCACATAAGTTTGTTGACTACGATAGTCCAGCGATATTTCAGTAGTGTATATCCTATCAAAATCTTCTTACTACGACAACAACATCGACGCATTCTCAGTTGACAGTCCACGTGAATTTCAGACTTTTTTTTCAAACCTTCTCCGTGAACACGTTTGGGGCAAAAGGGAACGTCCTTAGATCACCGAAGGCATGCCTCGCAGCGGGTTCGCAGTGAATCCGTGCGAGGCAGCCCCGGGAGTGGTGTGGTGGGTCTTAAAGTCGGCCAGCTAGTTGGCCTGCACGCAAGCTAGCTGAGAAACGCCGCCCCCTAAAACTAAAACTAAGCTGCCTACTGCTGGCCAGGCAGGCCTAGTGCAAAGCCGTGGACTGTCGTGGTGTCGAGTTCGGGCTTGAAAACGTGGCTCACTTCATCTCTCGAAAAATGGGTTTTCCACCGCTGCGCTTGTACAAAACACCTATTTTTTTACTATCAAGCGAATCATTACGCGCCGCACTGGACCGAACGTTGGACAGGCGTCGAGGCCAAAGCGAAAATCCGACTCAGACACATTGCATCTAACAAGCTCACAGCAGTCGGGGTATTCCCCCCTTTTCTGCTTTTCACGACACTTGTCAGTGCGGCCTTCGCCTCGTTGGGTAACTTCTCCTTCGTTAGCGGCAGGAAATCCCCGTCATGTTCATTAAGCGACTCCACTTCTCTGGTATCACACGTCGAATGATGAAGTCTACACACTGACAGCGTGGCTAGCTCTCGAGCCATTCGATACGAGTGGTTTCTCAAACACGTCGCCAGATCTGGGACGCTCGTGGAACCATAAATCTCAATCTTCTGGATAGGCCATACGCGCAAGGCGTCGCTGTCTACAGTCACAACCACATCGAAATCTTCGATGTCGAGGCCTTCTAGAGCGGGACAAGCCTCCGCGAGCGCACTGAGATCCAGCTTAGCGTGATCTGACGGCTCGTTCTTGAGTGAAAGTTTCTTTAGCCGCCAGCAGACCAACGTCAACAAATCCGCCACCATTGCGCCATCTTCGACCACATCAAAGCTCAGCGTGAGCGAGTGAACGCGGCCCGACGGGTGTCTCGCAAAGCACGAAGTCTCTTGCGCGTCCCGAGTAAATTTACTCACGCCATCCTTCAGCATCACTTTACAAATTCTGTATCCAGGGACAACGGCGTCAACATCTCCAGGAGAGATTGCGGGATTGTATCGTGCCCGACAACGAGTCAAACTTGACACTACCAGGCTAGTTTCTTCACCATTGGGTAAGACGAGTCGCAACTGTGCTCCTTCCTGCATTTCGACGACTCCATATTCTGAGAGGTGTTCAGTTCTCTGGCCACGAACAACATCAGGGAAGTTGTTCTTCAACGCTGCTTTGGCGGTATCCAGGGAGTCCTTCGTCAAGCCTACGCCCGTGACACTCAGTTCCTCGATTGGCACGCTCCAAGGTCCGCAACAGAGTGCATAGATCACCCAAGACAAGCGATCTTGACTAGGGGATTCGGCTCGTGGGAAGTCAAAATTCGTCACCGTCTTGATCATACGCAGTTCTGCCAGAGCAGAGCAGATCGCAGCAAATGTACCATCTGATACTGATCTGAATTTCAACGTCAGCTCACTAAACTCCACATCGCGATCGATAGACGGAAAGCTGCGATGCCCTAGCGTAATCCCACACATTGAAGCGACCACAAAGCACCGTACTCAACAGATACCCTGCACTCTTCGCCGATTCAGGTGTGGCAGCATCATCTTCGTCACTACCATACTCGAGCGATAAATGCTGAATAGCTGTTCGGGCTAGTGCCGTTGTCAATTCAGGTATCCCCGACGCTGTGCAATCCAAACTCTCCACGAATGTGGTAGAAGACGATACCGGTCCAATGCCCGTCGTTTTGCTATACAACTGCGTTGCTGTCATAGCGGGGGCGGGGGCCAGGTGCGTTCTTTGCAAGCGTTTCAGCACAGCATCCGCATTTCCCGCCGCGCACAATTGAACCACGGGGGGTACGTCGGCATCAAAGAGCTTCTTCAGCTGGGCTGAGAACGGTCTTGCTGTATCTTCCGGAAGATCCAGCTCATGTCGGCCTCCAACCTTGGCGGCCGAGCTCTTGATGTCCCATTCCAGGGCTAAATTCTTGAGATGGTACGCCTTCAGAGCCTCGTTTAAGCCCATAGCTTCCAGCTTACCCATGGCTTCCCGGAACTCGGCCGAATATGTCCACGGGTCTTCTGGACAGCCGAGCAGGGCGCCAAATGGTACGCGGTGCTGCGTCGCAGCAGCATCTTGAGACGACAAAGTGCCAAAGAAGCAGAGAATCCACTGCGGGTGCTAGGTGAAAACTCTGCCTGGCATGAAAAATGAGTGTGTGATCGTGCCGACCCGCATGAAATTCGTGAACGTCTTGTTGTTGACGATGGCCACTGTCGACATGAGCTCAATCGCTTCGCGGAGATGCTGCAACCGCTTCCGATCCTGTCGATCGGCTTCATCCACCGAAAGTCGGAGGTAAAATAGGCTTGGCATAGCTGTTCTCGGAAAGACTACGACTGCGGGGTAAAGCGGTTCGAGAGATACTTGCAGCTCCGATCCAGGACATCGAGGCTCAGGCTTCCCATAACGTAACAGGGTCTCCCGCAGGGTAGACAGCCAAGGTTCCAGGAACGCCCACGTTTGATCCATCGCTGATAAAGGAAAATGAGTACTAAGTAGCAGAAATGAAAATTTTGGCCGAGGGCAAGAAATGTCATTTTAAGTGGTGGACTGGTGCCTTTCAATCATACATCTTTGCAACTAGGTGGGTGGTTAGCGCCGGGGATACCGTATACGAGAATTCCTACATCCTACCCCAGGAACACGCACATTTTACAAGTTTGGCTGTCTTTTTTCTATTTTGATTTTTAGTATCTTGAGTTTGTATGCTATGTTCTGGTTATATACCGCTGTTGTGATACGGATCAGGTGCGCTTTAGGAGAAAAGTAGGATGTAGGAATTCTCGTATACGGTACGTACGGACACGTAGTGGCTATAGCTTTTGTGCGCTTTGCGCTTATTATCTGTTTTAGTTTATTTTTGTTATCTCAGCCCCCCGAAGCCCTAGTACAGAATACATCAACAGAACAGGGCGACGTCCAGGCGGCTGCGCTCGCCTCAACGAGGTATGAGTTTGAGGACACGTGGATCACTCAATCGGAACTGCTTCAGAGCACTATGACAAGCTTCTTTAACAAAACCATATAAATCTGGGCTCGTGTAATGACAAAATTTGTACTGCGAAGTATATATAAAGAAAAACAAAATAGTTGGTAGTTGCAAGCTCAAGCCGCTTCATGTACTACCTCGTTCGTACATCGAGCCATGCGTTTCAGCTTGAAAATCCTCACTTTAATCTTTATCAAGGCCGTCAACAACAACTGAGCGGTAGACGGGCGTCGAAGCAAACCTGAGTATGAGACTCAAGATGAGTGAGTCGAGGTGACCGGTCGCCTTCGACTTCCCACCGTTGTAAACTTCCACGACGCTGACCATGGCCAGCTTGGCTTTGGTGTCGCCAGTCACGCGAAGTTTGGGCAAGAAGTCTCCATCGAATGCCTTCAGAGTTTGGGCTTCTTTCGTGTCAACCGACGCAGTTGTGATCTCCAGCTGACAGAGGTTTTGTGTCAGTCGAAGCGTGGAGTCTGCCAAATACGATGCCAAGTCGGGCACGTCGAATGATGCCAGTAAGAACATCTGATAGACTCGCCAGTTCCGCAGAGCCTCGCTGTCGGCAGCGACTGTCACGTTGAAACCTGCGACGACGACGTCTCTCAGACACGGACACGCTTCAGCCAACAGGCTCAGTTCCAGCTGTACTTGGTTGTCGCGAGTGACTGGCCTTCTAAAGATCTCAGTGTTCACCTTCATGAGCATGAGCGACTTCAATTCCCGGCCGAATAACTTGAGCAACTGTGTCACCACTGTGTCATTTTCCATCGACGCGAACCCCATTGTAAGGGAAGAACTCCGTTGCACAAGGTACTCTTCAAACGGCGTGTTTTTGGACGAAATGAACTTGTCTTTCTCGCTGCCTTCCATTTGTGTAGTGCAGATTCCATAACCAGGTACGACAAGCTCGACCCAACCAGGCGCGTTGGCAGGGTTGTACACAGCTCGGTAGCGGCCCGCAGCAGAGGTAACCAAATTGGGGTCTTCGTCACGTTTGCAGCCACCACGCCAAAGTTTCGTTCCCGCTGGCAAGTGCACAAATCCGTAATCCGGGTTTTGATCGGGCGGTTGAGCGGATAGAGGCCTGGGATACTTGTGCAGTAGTACATCTCTTACTGCCAGCACGTGTGAATTGGTCAAGCAGGCTCGATGAATCTCCACCGAGTCAATATCAATAAGAGAGCTTCCACAGAACAAGGCGTACGCCAACCATGACCATGCAGCTTCGCTCGTAGGCGCTACTGCTGTAAACTTAAGCCCCTTTTTGGTTAAGGACAATTCCGCTACTGCCGAACAGATCGCGGGAACACTCTGTTCATCTGCGATGCACTTCAATTCCAATTGTTCATATTCGACGGGGCGTGAAACAGGTTGTCAGACTTGGGCATTCCAAGTTGCACCAGCCACTGGATGACTGCAAAGCAATGTACTCAGCTGGAAGCCCACATCCACCGCAACTTTGGGCGTGAGGTTCCCCCGGTCGAGGCCTAAAGTGAATTTGGTCGTAGGTGTTCGAGCTAACGAGAGCGTTCTCTCACAAATTGTCCTCTCGGGGATATCCATATTCTTCCCTGGCAGCGTCAACACGACCTTGAGGTTGCTATGCGGAGGGTCTACTTGCTGTACTATCGCGTAGCTATGGCGGACAGCTCGCATTTGAACAACCGGAGGAACCAGACCATCCAAAAGGTTGCGGACTTGAGTCGAGAACGGATTTGGCGAGTCTGCCGGCAGAATTGACGTCTGCGTTCCCTCGACTTCGGTACGGCCAAAGTGTCCAATCATCCACGTGAAAGCGAACCGACTGTTGTGCCCCTTTACAGATTCTCCGACACCCATGGCTTCCAACGCGCGTATTGCTGTCTGAAATTCCGGCGAGTTCTCCCGCGGGTCGTCTGGGAATCCAAGCAGCGCTCCCCAAGATATCGGCGTCTGGTTTGCAGCAATATCTTCGGGTGATGGTGTTTCGACGAGGTAGAGCAGCCACTCGGGATAAAACTTTTCTTCGCCTCGAGCATAGGGCTGAATAAAGTCGTGGAACCACGTATCGGCGTGGAGAAGTTCCCGGAACGCTTCATTGTCTACAAATGCCAGCATCGTGAAGAGCTCTATCGCCTCACGAAGTCGCTGCAGCTTTGCTCGGTCTTGTCGGCATGCTTCATTCAAGGAAAGCTTCATGGAGAGATCGTGCATCCTCAGCCGCTTCTCGCTTTCGTACGAGCACTTGAACCATAACATCACCTCCCAATCGAGACCTCTTGGCTTGCTTTCCGGCAGTAAAAACTCCTTCAGAACGGAGAGCCAAGAGGCCAGGAATGCCCATGCCGAGTCCATGCTGAGATCGCAACAAATGAGCTACTTGTTCGCCACCCGCGCAAAACCAGAAATGAAAAGCGTGAAGAAGGAGCGTGGATGGATGTGTGATGGCCCTGGACACTGCCCAGTGGACAGAAAGGGACACCAATCCATCATTGAGCGATCCCATACTTGCCACGCATAAGCCTGCACTCAGACACATTTCATTCAATGGTGAAGGTAGGTATTCTTGTCGCAGAGTATACCATTCCAATGGTACGCCATATTGTATCAGGCACTAGGCAGCCTAAATTTTCTTAGTTCGTAAGAACTATCGTTAGGGCAGGTGTGACGGGGTCACACAGCACAATGCACAGAGGAAGTGCGTGCGGATATTACTATCCAGGTGAACAGCAGTTCACCAGTTCCCGGCCTCAAAGGAAACGGTTTGCTACAAAGGAGTAGGTTATAAGACTGACTGTATTTTGGTAGAGGTTAACTTGGTCGTAATACAAACTACAAGTTAACTATACAAAAGCCCACACAAACTAAAATGGTTGGCTTGCGGAGCTACTGGTACCATGTACCATGTACTCGGGAGAGTGACACCCGTCACTCTTCATGTAATGGGTACACTTGATTGTACCCCGTTACATCCTCCCCCACTTATCTGAGAATCACATCTGATTCTCCAATCAGCTTCGAGAGAATCCGAACACCCAAAGGTCGGATTCTCGGGCGCTGCCGCCGCAAGGCTGGCGCGCCTCATCGTCACGCCCACAGTGACTTGTGCCCGCAGCGGGCACCCTGCGCGGAACCCCCCTGCCCTCGGCGATGTTGGCCGCGAAGCCGACGCCTTTAGTGGCCGTATTCACAGCGCTAGCAGGCGCAGAGTGCCTCGGCACGGGATGCATGTGCCTCCAAACTTGCGGTGTCCCTCATAGACAACCAGCAGTTGGCGTCGCATGGCCCTCGGGCCCCGCTGGCACGTTCGTGCTGCAGTGCCTCCCGCGAGGGACAGCACCTTTCCGGTCAGCGCGTAGCGTAACCATGGAGAGAGCTGTGCTGCTCATCTCCGGCCATGACAGCGGCCCAACAGGGCCCCGCTCGTCACAGCACGGTGTGCCGGTCGGCCGAATACGTCGGCTCGACCCATGGACTATGGTCAAGCGCTGACCACAGCCATGAAGCGTCATGCTTCAACGTCGTGTTTGCTTGAGCGATCATGGCTGCTTCCAGCAACCCGCTCACCATACAGAGCAACGCGGCGGACTTGTCTAAAGCCCTGCAGCGCGTCACGGCCATCACGTCGCCGACACTAAGGTGTCTTTCTTCGACACCAGGGTACCGCAAGGGTACTTCATCGTGGTGTGGGGTGTATTGCCCTCCGTCACCGGCGATCGCATCCTGCGTCGCGGCGACCAACACCAGGTCGGTGAGCGTGCAAGACCGCATGGCACAGTCCATACAGGACCTCAAGGTTTACGAGGGCACCACCTCATACACCAAAGGCACGTCGTGTATGGCACGTACCACGACTGCCATAAGTGCCTCGTGCACCTCAAGTGCCACGTGCACAAGTAGTGTCGCGTGCACTAGGGGTACCTCGCGTACATCAAGTGCCACGCGCACAGTGAGCGTCACGTACCGCGACTATCTCACAGGTAGTATGTGCCGCGTGCACGCGTATGGCTTCGCGCCTTACAGGTGCGGCATGTGCCGCGCCAACTGTGAATGTCTGCAAAGGCAACACGTTCGGGTTCTCCCCTCGTGGACAACACCCATGCTCGGGACTGATAGCTACCTGGCCGGCAGACGTGCCGCGTCCAGCGTAGCAACAGCCTGGAGCTTTGGCGTGGTGCTGATGGCTACCTGGCCGGTAGACGTACCGCGTCCAGTGTTGCAACAGCGTCACGCTGCGGCATGGTGTTGCGTATGTACACATGCCATCGTCCGCGGACCAAGCCGCAGACTGGCTGCCATGTCTTTGCCTGACAGAGGCAGCCTTCCAGCAGCGAATGCGCGCGCCATCTTCGGCTCAGCAGCGACAGTAGCCGCTGCCAAGGTTGCTGGCCATCGGTCACCATGACCATGGGACCTGATCAGCGATGCATCAGGTCCAGCACCTTCGTGCAATACTTCGTGAGTGGCTACACCATGCAGCCACTACACTGGCTTCTACGACGAAGCAAGTCTCATGCCAGAGACCTCGGGAGGAAAGGCACTTCCGATCCCCTCCCCCACTTACGATTGGAGCCCCGGCGGGTCAGGCGCCAGCCGGCCGCCTAACCTCGCGCCGCCCTGCAGCACCGAGTCACCGTGCCAGCAGACTCCGGTGGCACGGGCAGCTACCCTTCTTTGGCTCTGAGTCAACATCGTCGACCAGGGCTTGGCATCTACCAGCCTGGATGCAGTTTGAGTCTGCGTGACTTGACGTGTTACTATGTTACCCACGTCTTCGGGCAATGACACCCATGACAGCGTACGGCTTGTCCCGCATTCAGAGTAGCTGCATGGCATGCACGCATACTCAGACTCAGCCATCTCGGCACCGAGTCATGGAAACTTGTTGTCCCAACGCCGCACAGTGCTAGGCGCGACAGACCGTACCAACGATCCCTGCCGCGCAGCGGCCTTTGCCTTCAGACCGAGCATGATCCTGCATGTGGTCATTGAGGTGTCGCCCTCCGGCAGACACGTTCCAGTCGTGATCGACCATGCTCGCCGAGTCGGCGGCGACGCAACATGCATCGCCGCAGGTACATCGTGTACCCAAGCCACGTCTTCTGTGCGCATGGCCACAGCTGCGCTGGTCGACACCCAGTCGAACGTCATCCATGATGACCGGGTGCCAAGCCCTTGGAGGAAGGAAGTGCTTCCGCGCACTCCTCCCCCGCTTAAAATCAAAGCCGCGCGGCGCCTTCAAGAGGACCGTGCGGCTATGACATCGTGACGGTGTCACGAGCCTCTTAAACTCCGTGTGGTCATCCACCACACGCGAGGAGACCCAAGTGACCTGATCACTAGTCTTGCTCATACTGACCGTGCGTGGAACTAAGTTACCCACGCTGAAGTCGCTTCGAGCGACTCCTTCCGGCTCATGCGGAGCCTTACGGCATCGTGTGGAACTACGTTATCCACACAGGAAGTGCATCGTGCACCTTCCTCATCAGTTTAGGTCTGAGTGACCTGGTGTGGAACTGGGTTACGCACACAGGAAGTGCCTGCAGCGCCTTCCTCTTCAGTTATGGTCTGGGCGACCGGGTGTGGTACTTGGTTACCCACACAGGAAGCGCGTGCAGCGCGTTCCTCTTCAGTTAAGGTCTGGGCGACCGTCCGTGGTACTTGGTTACCCACGCCTGAGGTGCTTTGAGCGGCCTCCTCAGCATTACATGCTCTGTGCGGAATTAAGTTACCCGCTAGTCAGTGGTCCTTGGTTACCCACCAGGTGGTGTCATCGAACACAACCCTTGTCAATGCTCATGCCGAGCAATGACTCTCAGCGCTGGAGTTGCTTGTTGAAGCAGCTCCACATGCCAGGCATAACAGCCCTCGGTTGCAGATACACTGCACCTTCTTCATGGAGATCAGCATGTCAATGATGCCTCCCTTCTTCTTCTTCGTCTTGGCGGACGCATCCAGCGCCCTGGTGGCCCCATCGGACGCCCTTGTGTCTGTCCAGAGGTGGGAACATGACTCACCAATGCTCTGTCAGACACAGAGGGCCGACTTAGCCTCAAGGCGGTGTCGCGCTACTCGACCGAGAGCCTGTGCAGCTTGCACGGCGTACTCAGGGCCAAGTCATACTTGCTCAAGCCGAGGGCATATACGGTTCCATGCCCAGGGCCGGCTTCGGCACGATGTCCGGGACGATGTACGGTTCCATGTCCGGGACCATGTGCGGTTCCATTGCTGTCAGCGCCCTCGAGCGCGGCAGCCAGGGTCACAGCGGACCCCAAGGTTCTTCTTCGGCCCAGCCTCAGTCAATGAGACCTGACCTTGTGCTTTGACTCTCTCGCAGAGTCTCGGCACTTGTGTCGTTATTCCAACCGACACATCTGGCGACGTGCGAACATCCACGCGACGTCCGAGACTCAATCATGTCTAGGGATACCATTACCCCCGCACACTCACGTGTACTACCGACAACCCACCGTTGTCCTTCACCAATGCGAGCGTCAGTGCTCGCAAGGGACCCCGGGTCTCTGTGGTGTACGCCTTCCGTACACCCATCACAAAGACTCGGGCCAACCCCAGCAAGGCCCTCGTCCTTACTGGTGGTTGTGTCCCCCTTGAGCACCTGACGGTGCATGGCGTCGGCGCCCCGTTGACCCTCTGGTCTTCGGGTAGGTTTTCTTCCCAGACCCAGGCGATGGGCAGACACGTTGATAGTGTCCTAGTCCGCCGCAGCCGTAGCAGCGGGCTGAGTACTGCTCAGCCGAACTCAGATCCATGGGTTCTGGTTCGCTGTCAGCGACCACAGGCTGTACAACAGCCAGAGCAACAGCCTGCTTGTGGCTGTACTCTTCCTGGAGAGCGACTTGGATCGCCTCCTCCACAGTGGCGGTGCGCACGCGGAACAACTGCGTGCGCGCATGACCGACCTTCAGGCCGTCCACGAAGACTGTCATCTTGACGTCTTCTGACAGTGGGTTCCCCACCAGCGAGGTTACCAACGTGCACATCTCCTGTATGTACGCGTACAGCTCGCGCTCCCCTTGTTTGCAGGCAAGGAAGCGCGAGCGCTGGCGGAACTCGTTGTTCGCCGGGAGAAAAGCGGCTCGAAGCTGCTCACACAGCTGAGCCCAGGATGTGAAACATCCAGGCGACATCGCTTCGCGCGTATACGCCCAAGTCCTGGCACGTCCGCCAAGATTGGAGAGCGCGAAGGCGACTCGAAGGTTCTCGGCCGAGATGAGACCTGCGCTCATTGCGATCTCGGTGTCCCGGATCCAGAAGTGAAGGTTCTCACGTTCCTTCCCTTCGAACGGAGGCACAGCTAGCCGCAGAGGCTTAGGCTGCACCCGTTTGGGCTCACT